TGAAAAACCCAAAAACTAAAATTTTTTATAAATTCGTTTTTTTGTTTTTTTTTCCACAATACTGTTTTTTTTTTTTTTTGTACAAAGTTCCCCCAAAAAAAAAAACCCCCCCCCCCCCCCAAAACAAAAAAAAAAAAAAAAAAAATATGGTCTGGTGGTGGCACAGATATGCTGACCCGTTGTTAACTAGTGGTGGGCCGAAACTGGGGTATCTTCTGTGCTGGCCGAACCATTGTGTATGGCGCCGTTGGCTGTAAGTGTTTTTCGTCTGTCCATTGGCTTCTTCGCCTTGAAGTCCTTGCGCTGATAAACCCCGCAAGACATTGAGAACGTCGTCCCCCTCTACATCGGCGAAATCGTCTACCCAGAGTCTCGAGGATTCTTCATCGCTTGCTACTCGCTCGTTCTCGCGGGTGGCCAGATCTGGGCCAACGGAGCCGTCCAGGGCATCGCGAAAGACACGACCCAGGCTGGCTGGCTCATCGTCTGCGGGCAGCAGCTGATTCCCGTCATTTTCATCCTCGCTGGTGTAAGTCGAACCCCGGCACCAGCCTCGTGTTCAAATCTAATCACTCATGTTAGTTGAAATGGTGTCCGAGTTCACCCCGATGGCTCCTTCAAAAGGGCCGCGATGCCGAGGCCTTGCGCGCCTTGGCCAGCGTGCGTACAGCCGAAGATAACGAGTCGGGCTGGGTCCAGATGGAGATCCTCGGGATCCAGGAGGCCATCGAAGCCGAGAAGCACACGGTCAATAATAGCTGGTTTGATTTGTTCAAGGGCACCAACCTTCGGCGAACTTGGGTAAGTGGTTCTGAATTTTCCACAAAAGCAACCATTGGAGAGATGGAAATACACAAGGCTAACCTTCACCGTGCTGATAGATCGCCTCCCTGTCGTTTATTGCAAACCAATGGACTGGTAACCAGTTCGTCACTGCCTATGCCCCGACCCTCTATGTCCTGCTCGGGCGCAAATCCCAGGCCTTCATCTACACCATTATCAAATCCGTCATCTCCCTGGTTGCCGTGTTTGCCGCCATGCTCGTCGTCGACAAGTGTGGCCGGCGGTTCGTCGTCATCTTCGGCTGCATCATGCAATGCATCTTCTTGTATGTCCTCGCGGGCATGGGCATGGCCAAGAAGCCGAGTACTGCCGAGCTCAACACCATGGTGGCTGCCATCCAACTGTTCATCTTCTTCTGCCGTGGGTCGGTCAACGCCATGGCCTTCCTCATCCCGGCTGAGGTTTCCTCCTTGACTCTCCGGAAGAAGAGTACGTTGATAATACCCCTCCCCCATGATATTTCAGAACCCCTGTCAACTGACTCACTGGTTACAGCTATGGCTATGGGCTGTGCGGTCGATGTCGTCGCGGCCTTTGTGGTTACCTTCGTCACGCCCTACCTCATCAAGCCGGAATACGCCAACCTCTCCTCAAAGGTCGGCTTTATTTTCGGGGGCTTCACCACCTTCTACCTCATCTGGGCCATCTTCTTCCTTCCCGAGCTGAAGAACAGATCTCTGGAGGAAGTCGATGAGTTGTTCAATGCGAACCTCTGGGCTTGGCAGTTCTCAAAGTACGAGACCAAGAGCCTGGCGGGCCGCATGGCGCAGCAAAAGGACGGAGGGGGGAAGGCTATGCCGGAAGATGTCGAGGACGATGCCGTTGAGATGGAGCATAGCAAACGTGAGCTATGAGAGAGTGAGACCGATGATTTGTACTACCTATATAATATTCGTGGGGCTTGAGGAAGACAGGCAGGGAATTGCTGATTCCTAACCTTCGCCTTGTTGCGAAATCCTCGACTTGTCTTGACCCCTAATTAGCTTCTCTTATTCATTATCCTGCCAATCCGAAGATTATTTCCACACTCTGTTTCGGTAGTAGAGCTGTGAAGCTCGCTTTTCATGATATGTTCCCGCAGTTTGTCTCGCGTCTCGTAGATGTTTTTACAGTCGCTTCCGATTGGGCAACGGTAACTCACATCTGCTGCAAACTGCTCCCAGCGCTCTGTTTTTGCACGTTCAAGTCGAATGCTGACAAGCTCCGTTGCAATTGCGTTGATACTGGCTTTTGTCGTTAGCAGATCAAGGTCACCGACCTCTAGATGGTTGGCTGCTTTGGAATCGCAAGCCCGAAGCTCAAAAGATCCTTCTCAGCTTTGCCCTGACAGAGAGTCAGGGTCCTTGGGCAGCAATTTGACTCCCCACACGCAGCCTGTCTTTAGCTCATTGTGAATGCCAATCACAACATTACAATGAGACTCGCCATGGGAGATAAACTGGATGTGTTGGCATGAGGCGGGGAGATATGCTGCGCTTACGGCATTGAACAGAGCTGGAACTCGGGAAACCAGATGTTAAGCCACCATGCTCAGGCAGTCATCTTTCCACGAAAATTAATTCATTGTCGCCTGCTGCCAGTCCTACAAATTATTAATTGAGCTTTTCGGCCTTTTTCATGTCTGCTATGATATCTGTTAGGGTTTCCCTTTCAGGCACACCAACCGTTGTGACCGCACTGCAAACTCCGAAACAAGGCAAGACACTTGATATTTCGTCAATTTCTAGAAACAAGCCTAGGATTGGTCTACTGTCATTTGGTCTAGACTTTGACAGGCCTTTCCGATAAGTATCATGTGATTGCCCACAGGAGGTCATCGCTGTGCGGCTGAATTGAGATCTTGCGGCTGAGGCAGTGTTCGCTACTTAAAGAAAGGGGGGGTGGGGCTTTTGCTGGAGGCGCAGCATGCATTGAAGTCAGCTCGGCAAATGTTCCGTCGCGGCTCTGGCCAGAGGCCTCTTCTGCTAATTAATTAAATACTCTTCAACGTCGAGATTTCACGCTCCGCTTGTTGGTCTGTCAGTTCTTCGACAAAAACATAGCGCCAAGGTTACTTACACCATGCCGCCGTCGAACCAGCCAAAGACGGGGTGGGAGATTGCTCTACAGGTCCATCTATCATCGGCCACGCCCGCCCATCGACGAATCCTTTCGTCGGACACGACGCTAGTGGATATCGTGGGGATCTTGCAACGAGCTCAGAAGAAGGCGAAGGGCGGTAAGATCAACAAGCTCCTAGACGCAGTCGATCGTGCAACTGCACCGCTCAGGGACTTTCAAAGTGTTGTCGATGTTCTAGTCCAAGTTAACGCCGAGATTGGGTGGGTAATTAATTGACCAAGTGACCAAGCAATACTTATTGGAAGAAGTAATATCGCTAATTGATGACCTCGCCTCGTTCGCAGATCTGTGGTTTGGGCACCCTTGAAGCTCGTCCTCTTGGTTCTCGAAAAGCGTGGTCGCGGGTTCGAGAAACTAGCCGAGAAGCTAGATACTCTCGTCGATGCTCTGCCTCGATACAACATCTACAGCGACCATTTTCGGGATAACACCATCCTTCAGAGAGCCCTGGGCAAACTTTACGTCAGCTACATCGACTTCTGCCTCAGGGCCGCCCGGTATTGGGAGAGTGACGGCTTAGGTATGTTTCCGCACGTGTTTTTCTGCTCTTTTCTTTTTCTATTTTTCTTCCAGCGTCTGGGTCGGGAGCGGCGGAAACGGCTGACGGATGATCGGAGCAGTCAACTTTTTAAAGTCGGCGTCGGGCTCTTTCGACCGGCAGTTTCTAGACATTTTTACATCGATAAAAAGGTGCCGGGATGAAGTCGAAAAGACAGTGGCGGCTGTCACGCTGATGTACGTGCAAGACGTGAAGCACGTTACGGCGGAGATGAGAGATGTTGGCATCGCCCAGCGGGAGAGTAGGTTCACCACCACCCTGGTCATTTTGCTTGCGTTGCTTGCGTTGCTTGGCTTTGTTTTTGACTAATGATTATACGGCAGGCGAGCAACGCGAGAAAACCCTGAGATGGCTTTCCCCAATCGACTTCGAGCAAGACAGCACCGCCTTCTCTAAACAATGGGTCCAAGGCACTTCCCAATGGATCCTTCAGCTGCCCGAATATGTCAAGTGGGTCGGGTCCAGCCAAAAACACGAAGAATCTCTCAAGTTGGGGTGGATCAGAGGCGGTGTTGGGTCTGGAAAGACTTTCCTCGCGCACTTCATCGCAGGAACCCTCGCCGCCAACAACTGCAATGTTCTCCAGTACTTCTTCAACGCGAAGCAGGAACAGGGTCCCCGGCGCACCAACCTGTCTTTCGTCAGGACGATTCTACATCAGCTCCTAGTCAACGCCAATCTCGACACATCGTCGACCTTGGAAGCTCTTCTTTCCCTCCGGACGACCAGTGGGAAATCCGAGGCCCACTCTGCAAAGAATTTGTGGAACGAGTTGTTTCGGTGCGTGCAGGGCTTGACCGACACGCCAGTGTACTTGATTGTCGACGCCATAGACGAGGCCGATCGAGGCGAACGGGAAGATATTCTGGAATCGCTTACCAGACTTGTCTCCGTGTCACCATCCGTGCGAATACTCGTCACGGGTCGGCCAGACGAAGACGTTCTCGAATGGTTTGACAAGTCATCAAGGGCGAGCAACCTGGCAACGGTCATTTCTGAGATCAGATTTCCGCCTACGGAAGCGGCCCGAGACATCGAAACCTACATCGATAGTCGGATTCGCGGGTCGAGCAAGCTGAGTCACCCATCAGTGGCAGGAGAGATCAAAGATGCCGTCCTTGAGCGAGCAGAGGGGATGTTCCTCTACGTCCGCCTCATGCTCGACGAACTAGGGGGTGAAGCCTCGGTCGCAGCAGTCCGACGCCGTCTGGGGGAGTTTCCCAAGACATTGAATGGCTACTACGACAGTGTCTTCTCGCGAATCAACAATGGCCCCGAGAGTGCTCGCGAGCTGGCGCGTGATCTTCTCGCGTGGATCACAACTTCATACGAGCCTATGCATGTCAACACTGTCCTGATCGCACTCAAAAGCCAAGCTCAATCTCGGACTGCGTTTGTCCCAAGCCTGACAGGTGGCAATGCCGGTGACGAATTTGAGCTCCTGGATCCTCTGAAGGAAATCAGGTCTATCTGTTTTCCGTTGCTGGAGGTGACCGACAGCGGCATTGTTCAGGTCGTACACTGCTCGGTTGCTGCGTACATCCTCGCTCAAGGCACGAACTCCCAAGCCAACAGTCAGGGCCCGACCACCATGCTCACCCTTCCACAGGCTAACCAGGAAATTGCGCTGGCGTGCATATGTTTCCTACGCTGCTCCGCCAGGGAGTCCTCCAACCCGAACCGTACGACGCCGAACGATGCGACACCGGATGGTAGCTCGCTCTTCCTAGAGTATGCGACAAAGTACTGGCCGGAACATATGTCGGAGTCTGAACAAGATGTGTTGGTCCGGATGCCACTGTTATTCCAGGCCATCAGGTTCGAACAGAAGTGGTTCCTGGAGTGGGTCGCACGACGGTCGGAGCATGACTACAGGTTCAGGAAGACTCTTGGTCTGGATGAAGGTGATGAAGGTGCCCATCCGTCATGCCTCGAGATTGCAGCGTACTTCGGCATCACGTCTTGGGCCTCGTCAATCTTGGATGACGCCCCCCAAAACGCCCCCCTGTGGCCCTTGCCCAATATGATCGCTGTGACCAGGGGCTCCTTGGGCGTCTTGCGCCTCTTTCACGAGCGATCTTGCGCGAGTGGGAGCTGGAATCGACAGGACGAATTGCTTCTCCACTCCGCCGCTCGAAACGGACACGCTTCAGTGGCTCGCTATCTGATCGCCGAGGCGGGATGCGACGTCAACGCCGTCGATTCATTCGGGAGATCGGCTCTGATGCATGCTTGTTCCCGCGGACACTGGGCGGTGGTCGGCGAATTGCTAGTACGAGGTGCCGACACGTCTCTTCTCTCGCGTGCCGGGTACAGCGCGGCCGAAGATGCTGCCGCTGCCGGGGATATTCGGAGTCTCACGGCCCTACTTGCCAGATCCAAGACCGGTGCAACAAGCAAGTGTTTGTTGCTATCGTCGGCAAATGGACATGGCAGCGTTGTCGAGTTTCTTCTCCATAACACCCCTCTCGACCCCAACGGAACGGACGAGAACTCTTGGACTGCTTTACACTGGGCATGTCGGAATGGTCACAGGGGGGTTGCAAAGCTGCTCCTCACCGGGGGCGCAACTGTCGATGCCTGCGACAGCTTCCAAAGAACGCCACTCAACCGAGCAGTGCGGATAGGGAGCTCTGAGCTTGTTCAGGCACTCCTGCAAGCTGGCGCCAGCCCGGTCAGCTGCGATTCCAGCGGATTGTCTCTTACCCACCTCGCCGCAGCTGGAGGTTTCAACGAAGTACTGGGTCTTCTCCTCGCAGAAGGAGTCGATCCAAACACCGGAGCCTTCCCTCGAGGGCCTTTTCCGGAGACGACATGGGAGCACTGGTGCGACTCGACTCCGTCTGGGCCGCCCCTCCATCTCGCTGCCGAGAACGGGCACGCCACTACCGTCAGCTATCTACTCGAGCGTGGGGCTGGGGTGAATAAAAAGGGCATCCATGGCGAAACAGCACTGCATAGAGCTTGCGCTGCCGGGCAGGAGGCAGTCGTACCGGTTTTGCTCGAGGCAAATGCTGACGATAACCTTGGCACCACGAGCACCAAGTTCCCGTTCCCGCTGGTTATCGCCACCAAGAATCTCCACGTCGGCATTGTATCTATCCTTGCCCCAAGGGCGTGGTCTAGGTTGGACCCGAGCCCAAGTAATGGCGTGGTCTCCTACTTACCAGCATATGGCTCATCCATACGTGGCGCTGTTGAAGCAGCAGTCGAATGCGACAGCGTCCAAATCCTGGCAACGCTGTTTTCACATGCACCCCAGAATTTGCAGGCACCGGCACATGTTGGCCTGAGAATCTTTGACAAGGTGTTTCGCAACGGCAACATTGCCATTGCGGAGCTTCTCGTTGGCCTAGGATATGATCTTTCTCGCTCGACCATGGAGCATCAACAATATCCCACGCCGTTGAGCTATGCCGTTGAGGGTCAAAAACTGCCCATGGTTCAGCTTCTTTTGGGTCGGAAAGTTAGCCCGATCGACTTCCAGCCGACGCCGAATCCGACGTTTAACAACATGTATGCAGATAGTCCATATTTCTCCCGCAACAAGCTCACAGCCCTTGATATGGCCGCCCTTGTGGGAAATCTCGACATCATCGAGTTGCTCGAGAAGCGTCAAAGCCAACCACCGGATCCGGAAGACCCGCAGAGCACTTGGCCGTGCTTGCTTGACCGAGCCACGCTTCTACCCCGGCTGATATACTTTGCCGATATCCGACAGAGGATGCAGGCACAATCGGGGAGTTGGAGACTTTATAGCCACACCAATGACTACGGTGTAAAGCCACACAACCCCCTGTGCAATGCAATCGCGAATAACGACTTGGAAGAGGTCCAAGTTCAAATCGCCAAGGGCATCGACGTCAACCAACTGGACTGGGAATTCGAGACTCCTCTCATAAAGGCCGTCAAGGCTGGCGATCCGGACATCGTGGCCCGGCTACTCGACGCCGGAGCCGATGTGTCTGTCGATGCCTTGGACGGCACATCGGTGGCATCCATGGCATGCGAGGCTTTAAATCCGAGGCTTGTGAAGGTGCTTCTGGACGCCGGGGCATCCCCAAAGGGACTCACTCTGACTAAGGCATGCCTTCGGCGGAACTTGGAACTTGTCAAGCTGCTTCTAGATGCCGGGGTTGATCCTAACCTGCCTCGAGGTACCACTACGGATGAGCCTCCACTTTACCACGTCGTCGGAAGCTGGGACGATGCCTTTTTTGTAAAGGCACTGCCGCTACTTCTCGATGCCGGGGCGAGGGCATTTGATGAGACGTACACCGTCGAAACGGTCCTGCATCTGGCTGCGGACCATGGAAGAGTTTCGTCGATCCAAAAGTTTGCAGGCATGGGAGTTCCCATCGATGCCTGTGACAAAAAGGGACGAACGGCTCTACACCGAGCTCTTGTCAGCAAAAGTCCAGCAATGAGAGAAGTATGTGAGGAACTGCTCCGCCTTGGTGCCTCGACGGCGCAGATCGGGAAACGGGGAATATCTGCGCTCCACATGGCTGGCGGGGCCGGGATTCTCTGGATGGTGGAACGATTAGTCCGGGCCGACTCGGGGCAGCGAGACGTCGAGACAAGAGATGCAGAGGGCAAAACGCCGCTGATGTGGGCAATCGTGGGCGATTGGGCGAACAGTCCCCAACGAGCCCTCCTCAACGGGACATTCGTTGCGTCGTGGTCTAAGAAAGGGCTAGACGACCGCACGAATGTAGAGACGGTGAGGTTTCTCCTCGACAACGGCGCCAACATGGACACGGTAGACCACGACCAACGAAACGCACTCCACTGGGCCGCCGTGGTGGGAGATGGGGACATGATGTCGACCCTCCTCGGTCGCGGAGCAGACGTCCACGCGGTGGACAAGAACAGACAGACCCCGCTGCATCTCGCCGTCGTGTCCGGCGCCGTGGAATGCGTGAGGATGCTGCTCGCGGCGGGGGCGAACCCCAATGCCATAGACAGCGCCCCGACCGAGGGCATCAGCAAGCAGCCCCTGAGGGCGCTCGAACTCACCATCGATAACCAGCCCTGCCAGAGCCCGCCGATGCACCTCGCCTTCGGAGAGCTGGATGGACGGCGCCTACACCAGATGACGCGGCTCTTGCTCGACGCCGGGGCGAACGTCTTTGGACGCAATTTCAACGGCGAGACGTGTCTGCATGTTGCCGTCAAGGAGGGGAACGTCGCTGCCGTGCGGGAGCTCATCTGTGCGAATAGTTATGATAATCTATATATCGGGGTCAAGGATAACATGGGGAGGACTGCGAGGGACCGTGCTGAGCAGCTGGGTCATGCGCAGATTGTGGAGCTTCTGGGGGAGGCCGAGAAGGGGAAGCGAGGAGGTTGCCGGTACTCGCGGACGACTGTCATTCCTTGAGCGATTCTGGCACGGAGGAAGAGTTTGATCACGGCCTTATGCGTATCATGAAACAAACAGCCTATGACATTGCCTGGCACACAGTCGTATCGCCGTCTCCTCTGCAGAACCCATTGGTAACCATGTTGCCTTTATACTTGTCAAACCGGGCGTTCAAGATCATTCTGAAAACTCCGACGGGCAAGACTATCAGTATGCCGTATGCCGCATCACAGGCCGAGCCAGCCAATCAGGACAATGCACCTCCCGCATGCCTCCGAAAAAAGAGGCACCCGACCGGCCCCGCATTTACGTCACTCCGCACGGCAAGGAAAGGCTAGTAGCGGTTCAAGATAGGAACGCCCCTCTCCTATCTATAAAGCAGGGAAACTGAACTCCTCGAAACGAGACATGTAAAAGCTGTGCGAATACAACTTTGCAAACCAGACAGCCAGCCCCAGTCAAGCAAAAATGTCCGACTACACGCTCTATAGCTACTTCCGGTCCTCATGCTCGGCCCGCCTCCGCATCGCCCTCAACCTCAAATCCATCCCATACGACCTCGTCCCAGTCAACCTCGTGAAGGATGAGCACCTATCAGAGTCACATAAAGCCCTCAACCCTTCAAAAACGGTACCGCTCCTAATCTGCCACAAAGCCCGAGGCGGGGACTTCAAGATTGGGCAGTCCGTCGCAGCGCTCGAATTCCTCGACGAGGTGCATCCGCAAACCCCGCTCCTCCCGCCAGCGACCGACCCCGAGACTCGCGCCGTAGTGCGGACGCTCGTGAACGTCATCTGCGCAGACATCCAGCCCGTGACAAACATGCGGGTGATGCGACGTGTGAGGGCGTTGGGAGGGAGTGCCGAAGACTGGAATCGCGAGCTGATGACGGATGGTCTTGCCGTGTGTGAGGCTGTGATGAAGGACTCTGCCGGCAGGTACTCCGTGGGGGACGAGATAACCATGGCTGATGCTTGTCTCATGCCTGCTGTTTGGAATGCCCAGAGGTTTGGGGTTGATGTCAAGGCGTTTCCGACTGTGATGAGGGTCTTTGAGAACTTGGAACAGCATCCAGCTGTGGTGAAAGCGCATTACTTCAGCCAGCCGGACACACCGAAGGAACTGCAGTCACAGTAGGCGTTATCTGGCAGAGGGGAATCAGGGTCTAAGAAATGTCAGGTGTAATTAGCAGTTGCTGGCGGGTGGCGGGCCGGGGCCGGAGGGAGCTGCTTATGGAACGCGGCACTGTCTATGTATAGGAGTAGGATTCCATCCTGCTTAAGGGCAGTATTTGGAGCATTTACAATCAGGGTTACCGTCTAGTCTATTCTTGCTTTTCTGGTTATCGACTGCTCGATCTTACTTCACTTAGTCGGTACAACCAAAGGATTGGACACACTTCATGTAGGGATTGCCATAATTCCCTATCTCCCTCACCTAGAATAAGGGAAGGGCTCCTTGGATAGTGCCAGATACCTCTCCAAACCCGACCATGGCACCATTTTCCCCACACCATCCGCGAATAACTAGCGTGTCCCCATCCTGCAAGAACGTCCGCTCTTCTCCCGTGTTCAGACGCAGCGGAATCTTTCCGCCCTGGGTTTTCTCGAGAAGGCAGCCTTCTGAACCAGGCTCGTGGCCAGAAATTGTACCGGAACCGAACAGGTCTCCCGGTCGCAGGTTGCAGCCGCTGATGGTGTGGTGTGCAATCATCTGTGGCCACGACCAAAGTAGGTTCTTGGAGTTTGTCCGGCAAACAGCTGTCTTATCACCTTTGGCAGCTATTGGACCACCAGTGAGCCTACAGCTTCCCAAGCAAAGAAGGTATTGTGGACTTACTTATGATTTCGACCTCAAGCTCGATGCCCAGGACATTGTTATCGGTGTCTTGCTGAAGATATGGCAACAGCTCCGTCTCATTGGGGATGCCCGGCCCCTTGGCTCCCTCCAGAGCGTCAGCAAGAACCACCCAGGGACTGATGCTAGTCCCCAGGTTCTTGGATGTAAATGGACCCAGAGGCACATATTCCCACGCCTGCAGGTCTCTTGCACTCCAGTCATTCATGAGGACATAGCCAAAGATGAAGTCCTCCGCCTCGGCCACTGAAACCGGCGAACCCAAGCCATTCTCTCTGCAGATAAACATGCCCATCTCAAGCTCGAGGTCCAGCTTCTCGCTCGGCGCCAGCACGGGGACTTTCGGGTCCGTCTTGTTGGGGTCTCGCAGGATCTGGCCCCACGGTCGCCGAATCGCTGTCCCAGATACCACAACGCTACTTGCCCGTCCGTGGTACGCAACGGGTAAGTGCATATAGTTTGGCTGTAAAGCATTGGCTGGTCCGCGAAAGAGCACCCCAACACTGTGTGCGTGATTTTTCCCGGCATAGAAGTCGGTGTAATCCCCGATTGCTAGGGGCAAGTGGTTCTCGACCTCGGACAGGGGCAAGATGGCCTTTTGCCTTAGCTGCCGATTATCTCGCAGCAGCTCGGGATACCTTGTCTCGGCGGCCAGAACGGACTGGAGGTACTCGCGGACAGCCCGGTGGAATGGGCGGCCGAGCGCGGCAAAGTCGTTTAGAGTTGCGCTGGAGAAGACATCTGCGTGTTTCTGGATGTCGGGCGAGGCGGAGAAACCCCCTCCGTTGCTGAACTCGAGGAGATCTAGGGCATTCTCGCCGATTGCAATCGCCGGGCGCGGTGATGATGGAGCGGAAGCCCGCGAGATGATGCCAAAGGGGATGTTGGCAAGGGAAAAGTGGCTGGTAGGGTGGATGGGTAGCCAAGACATGGTGGAGGTTTGGGTCAATCGTTGCAGTCTCTAGGTAGATCAGGGCACAACTTGCAACACATATTAATGCCACGTTATACAGGATATGCGGCGGTGATTTAGTGCCCATTGCCCATACACGGGACTGATATTAGTTTCGGCCCTCGGTCTGGGCGAGTTCCGGGCGACCAATGGGAGGAAATACGCGGCTTGAGTTCGGCCCGCTAGAAGCCGGCCGGGCCGGATAACGAAGGAACCCATGAATGGCTCCAAGAATTCCAGTTTTCCACGAGAATTCAGATTCTGGACACTTCTAGGCGCCGGTCGAAGATTTTCCCGATGTTTGCCATGCCCCCAGTCGAACCAAGGCGAGTTCAGGAACCCGGCAGTCAACAGCGGCAGTAAACAAGGGGGGTAAACAGGGGGGAGTAAACATCGGGCATTCATATGGCCAGTTACGTAGCGCGCCCCTCCTTGGGCTAGACTAAGCGGTATGCCGTTGAACAGCCCGCGAATGCTTAGTATACTTGGCAAATCGACATCATTCCGAAACTACTAGGTTAGGGCCCCAAGCGATTCCATAAGTAGCAAAGTGTAGAGACCGAGAATTGGGAATGTAACGCTCCCCATCTTCGTCTTCGGGGTAGGCTGCGGAGGCCAACCGGGAACTCCCCGGGCCATCGTAGGTAATTCTGCCCATGTAACCAGAACCATGGAAACTTTGTTTGTCTGCCAACCATGCGTAGAACCTGGGGTATCTGGGCATCTGGAAATCTAACCAAGTGCCGATCCGAAGTCGCTGGTTTCCAAAGGACCCCGCTGATCCATCTGTGTTAGCTGCAGCCTCTGCCTCTGCCTCTGCCTCTGCCTCTGCCTCCAGGCCAGGGCAAACATTTTCCGCTCTTCATCCATGATTTGGCTAGTAACTACCCCGTCTCGAACCCCATGGGGAAAAAACCAGCCAGCCCTGGGTGAGACAGGATCGGCCATATAAGTACCATCTCCTCACCGTCTCTGGGTCTCGTATGGAGTCTCCGTCTTCCACCCCTTCCACCATCTTCTCACCTCTCGCGCCTCTATCTTCTTGCCCATCATGGTCCGCACCAGTTTTGTTGCATCCTGCATCGCCAGCCTCGTAGCTGTGCAGGCGCAGTCGCAGCTGAGCAGCAACACCATCGACGACTACGACGGCTTCAACGCCGGCAAGTATGGCAACAATCCCAGCCAGTCGTATGTGTCCTCGGACCTCATCTCGCCCATGTTCCAGGTCAACACGTGGGAAGACGAGTTGATTGACAAGTCCGGATTCATGTTCATCTCTCCCAAAGTAAACGCGGGCGGCCGCATCCGTGGGCCTATGATCTTCTCCAAGAAGGATCTGAGCCTGGTCTATGCCAACCAGACATGGGAGACAGCCTGGAACACCAGGGTGCAGCAATACAAGGGCAAGCCCTACCTTACCTTCTGGGTGGGCACGGAACCGCAGGGCCACGGATTGGGCTCGTGCCTGATGGTCGACCAGAGCTACAACCTCGCATATAACATCACGACGTCGAACATCGGAACGGAAGCCGACAACCACGAATGCCAGCTTACGCCTGACGGGACTGCTCTGGTTACGGCCTACCCCACGAGGGACTTTGACATGAGGCCGCTCAACGGGCCGGAGAACGGAACCCTTCGCGACAGCGCCTTCCAAGAGATCGACATCGAGACCGGTCGAGCTGTGTTCACATGGTACGCCTCCGACCATTTCAACATCAGCGACTGTGCCGTTCCGTACGCCAGCGAGGACTACGGCACCGGCACGGACGTCTACGGCTGGGACTTTGCGCACATCAACTCGGTCCAGAAGACAGCTGCCGGCGACTACCTCGTCTCCCTGCGACGCCTGAAGGCGGTGGTCTTGATCAGCGGCGTCGATGGCTCCGTCATCTGGCAGGTCGGCGGCGTGAACAACATGTTCAAGGACCTCTCGTGCGGCAAGGCGACCAACTTCGGCTTCCAGCACAACGCCAACCCGCTGGACCCGGAGCACCGCGACCTCTCACACATCACCATGTTCGACAACCACGCGTACGCGGCCACGGCAAGCAACCCGGGCTGCGAGTCAAACTGCAGCCGGCTGCTGCACCTCAAGCTCGATTTCGACCGCATGACTGCCCGCGTAGTGGCCGCGTACCCGCACCCGCTGAGCGTGCAGGCTGCGGCCATGGGCGGATACCAGACGCTGCCTGGGAGTGGCAACATCTTGGCCGGGTGGGGAATGGTCCCCAGCATCACGGAGCACAGGAAGGATGGTAGGAACGTCATGGACCTCCAGCTGTCGCCGTTCAGCAGCATCGCGTCGAGAGGCGGCGCGTGGATCTACAGGGCGTACCAGATGGACTGGGTTGGGAAGCCGACATGGGACCCTGCCCTTGTGGCTGACGAGGCGACCAACAAGGCCTATGTTAGCTGGAACGGGGCTACCGAGGTTGCGAGCTGGCAGTTGGTGAGTATCCCTCAAACCCCCCTCCTATGATCATGTCTACTTCCCTTTCTGGGATCGCGAACTAACCGTATATTCCCCCCTCGTTAGTTCGGAGGAAACAGCAAGGACGCGCTGTACTCGATCGAGACCTTGACGAGATCAGGGTTCGAGACTGTCTTCGAGTTGGAGCCTCTACCAGCAGTGATGCGGGTTACTGCGCTGGACGCCGATGGTAAGGCTATCGGCCAGAGCAACATTGTTCAGACGGGAGGAAGCTGCCAGAGCAACTAGGGCCAAGATAGATCTAGGGTTGCTTATTTGTAGCTCTAAGAACATCAAATGGATGCCTTATGGCTTAGCTGTTTGAGCCTACCGTCCATTTTCCCGAAATGATCCATCCACCTTTGGTGATCCGACTTTGGATCAGTGAAGCTAGAGTACTATTATATCATGAATGGGTTAAATTGGACTTTCAGAGACAGAGGAGAAGTACATTGCAGTTGTACACGTGGGTCCTAATCATGGTAACCCAAGCAATAACGACGGATTATCTCTCCCATATAACCATTGGGTGTTGGCAGGTAATTAATTAACGCAGTAAGAAACATGTCCACATATTTCCCCCCCCCCTTCCCCCCATCTCCTTCCGACCTTCGTCTACAGCTTTAACCCCCCAGACCAATTCAAACACAGCGGATACAGACTAACAGGGTCCGGATGCTTCTCGCCAAGATTCTCCAGCTCCTCCTGCGGCAGCTAGCGGAGGTGATCGCGCTTACCCATCTCACGCTGCCTATTCTCCCACACGACCCAGCCCGACAGCCAGGCGGCAAAGACGACGCCGAGAGCCGAGAGACCGATGTTGATCATGATGCCTGGCACGTACTGGGGGCCGTCCTTGGAGGGGAACACGAGGGCTGAGATGATACCGGAGTAGCACGAGTGAGTTGAGAGTAATGTAATAGAGTAGCGAGTCCCGTATAACAACCGCGAGACCGGCTATCGGTGGCCGGCCCCGGCTCCGAGCAAACCGGCTTCGTTTCCCCGTGGGGTTTTAGAATTGCACATATGCATACTATTCCCCAAGTGTGTTAGAATCCATGGCCCCACCATGCCATTCACACTAATACTCGAAATGTCGGCCGAGTTTCACGTACTCCTCTCTTGTGTTACACCGGGAAGACGACTAGTCTGAACTAGGTATACTGCGATAGTGCGAAGCTTGAGTCAGGCTTTTCAGGGGCCCCGAAATGTCACTGGAAGCTGTTGAAGCCGGCCTGAAAAAGGAGGGAATTCAAGGAAGATTTACACTAGCATCTCAGCGGCGCCTACATCGTTCTAAGCTAGGTAGGCCGACGAATCAATGGCGAAGGATGATAAGCGCATCGTTGGGATTTGTCCCCCCCTTCCCCACGTTACTCCTCTCTTTCTTTTTTAGTCCGCCCTAGTGCTAGTCAGCCTACCCCAGTACCGGTGCCTCCTCGCCACGATAGTCAGGTAAAACACGGATGGATACAACAACTCGAATAACAAGCCGGGACCATCCATGGGGCTCCGCCTGGCTGCAAAGCGCTTGCCGAGTCACGTAGCCGACCGTCGGCAAGGTCCCACCATGGAAATAATAGGGACGCTTTCATCAAAAAGGCGGGGGACCTGGGGAAGGGCAATGTTGGAATCTTGTTTACCGTCATTTCCCCGCCAATATTCTGGGCAAGGCTATACTTGAAATGAAATATCACCAACCCCCTGCCTGCATCTCCTTCAGCTATAGTGGTGTCCTTGATAGTGCGAGTCGACACACGTTGACGTACCTTGTTTTATTAGCTAATTAGCACATCTTTCTTGGCTGTTTTACTTCCTCAAAATCATGCGCAATTGCGGAAAGCAAGGGGCCTAATGTGCTGATCATCCTTGCCGATGATGACCTTGGCTTCTCAGATGTCGGGGCCTTTGGCGGCGAGATCCAGACCCAACATTGACCGGCTCGCTGCCGAAAGTCTACGGCTTACTGAATTCCACGCCGCGGCAGCCTTGCTCGCCCACGCGTTCTATGTTGCTCAGCGGTTCGTCTCCTTTCTTCGTCCCTTTTTCCTTTCCCATTTCCTGCCCCTTTTCTCTCAATCATTTTATATCTTTCCCCCCACCTTTCCATCCTCTTCCCTTGTCTGGCCACCGTGGGCACCCCGTACCTGTGGACAGGAGGCCGCCTCAGCTAACCTTCAAAAATCTGGCTATGGGGCATGACAGGCACCAACCATCACATTGCCGGCATCGGCACAATGGCGGAGCGAATCACTCCAGACATTGCTGGCAAGCCTGGGTATGAGGGCTACCTGAACGACCGGATAGTCTCGATGCGGGAGCTACTCCGACATGCCGGCTACGAGACGCCGATGAGCGGGAAATGGCACCTGGGCCTGACGCCCGACCGCGTGCCCGCCGCGCGAGGGTTTGAGCGCTCCTTTAGCATTCTCAAGGGGGTTCATAACCATTATGGCTGGGGACGGCTGTCGAGGACCTGTCTAGCATCCGACCATCGTAAATGTTCTCGGGAAGATGTATTATGATGACATGAAGCCTGTTGCGCCCGATCAGCTGCCTATGGACTTCTACAGCTCCGACAGCTTCACCGACATCCTGCTAGGGTATCTCAAAGATCGTGAGGCCCGCAAAGAGGAACGCCTGGTGAGTGATGGGACAAGACACTTTGAAAATCGGTAAGGGTAACATGGCTAACAAGCTCGGCAGTTTTTCGCATACCTTCCATACTCGGCCCCTCGCTGGCCGCTGCAGGCGCCCAAGGAAGTTGTGGACAAGTAGAGGGGTCTCTACTCGGACGGCCGACGTCCAGAGCGCGGCGCAGTCGGCGCCCCTGACTGGCTTGAGCCTGCACGGCGGCTTACTAGAAGCGAGCGATCCGACCGGCTCCGCCACCCACATGGCCGGCGCCGGCCTTGCCCAACCTTGCCAAGACATCCTCCAGCTCTAGGAGTCGGTGCGGTTTGTAAGGCAGGGCTGGTTCACCGCCCGTGAGGCCGTGACCTATCTCGATCTGTATGTTTTGTTTATTGCTTGCTGTTTATTGCTTACACACTTCCTGCTTCCCCCTCGCTAATCACCGTTTTCGGTTCCTGAACATGTAGCTTCTTCAGAAGTATTGCCCCGTTGAGCCCGGTGCTTGATGACCTGTACTCTCGCCACGAGAACCACTTCTCTCTGGTCTCCGACGAGCCGCTATTCTGCTGCGCCATACTCATGATCTCATCCCGCTATCACGACCTCACAGGCCTCGGCGGCGCGTCCAGGTCGATCTTGGTCCACCAGAGGCTGTGGAAACATTGCCTATATCTCGTCAACAGGATCTTGTTTAGACAGGAGCACAGGTCGAACGCCTCCCTCCACACCGTTGGGGCCATCAAAGCGCTGCTTCTCATGGTCGAATGGAAGCCGAGGGCGATCCACTTCCCCTGGACGGCCGACGGTTGTCCAACATGACGGAGCCAGCCAAGTCGGCCGATTACGTATCCTGAATGCCTTGGGCTGTGCGTCCAGCCTGGCGCACCACCCGGGACTGTGTTCAGGCGGCGACTCCGACTCTGGACTGCCCCAGATAGCCGACGCCGATATGTCAGCTCTGCGGCTCCGAATAAAGCTGTACATCCTCCGGCTGGTGGACGTGCTCGGCCACTCAGGTTTGTTGCGCTACTGCCCCATCCGCATCACCCTCCGCGTCATCACCGCTTCCATCTTCTTCCTCAAGGCCCTCAGCCTCGGGCCCCGCGCATCCCCGCTAGAGACTTCCCTTGACCTCCTAGAGCGCGCCATCGTCGTCCTCGCCGGTAGCGCCGCGGACGACACTCACCTGTCGGCAAGGTACGCGGAGCTGCTTGAAGTCCACCTCGCGCGCTTCCGCAGTGAGATCCCCATAGCAGAGGTACCGCCTAGCGATGCGGTCAGCATTGCCGGCAGTAGTGGTGGAGGCGGCGGCATTGGCGCATAGCACCTGAGCTAGGGTGAACCTGGGCGAGACGATGCTGAGGCTGGCGGCGGCGGCGTGCCGGGGTCGACGGCGGACTACCTTTACCCTCCGTGGGATCCCGCAACGGCGTTCTCTGGGTTGGCGGGGGACAATCCATACCCACTAGACATGGACGATGCAACGTTCGACTTCCTGTGGAATCTACCCACTGGCTGATAGATAAACAGCCTAGTCATCATTGGTCTGCATGCTACGAATCCTACTATGTAGAGAAAACTGGAGACTGGGAATGTCTAGCTTGTAACTTACCAGGGCCATCCTCACCAAGGCCATGCTCTCATAACCACTAAGAAAATTGATAAAGCATGGTTCAGCATCCAACATATTTTGATGCGCTGCGGGATGCGGGATCTCCCGGATATTTCAGACAAATGGTCATCCGAGGTTCCTAATGTAGGCCGAACCACCTGGTATTTCACGGAAGATTTCCTCCATTCCGCTAAACATCGATAGCATCAAGGGGACATCTCTCCATCGACGGCTGCCGGAATAGGTTTACATAAGGAGCGGCAGGATGCGGAGTATCAAGCCATGCAAGCATCCCAGTGTGAGAGTGACTTCCTTTTGAACAAGCCAAAAGTGAAGCCCCAGGCCGGTGCGGTTCCTACATATTGGTAGTTGGGAGCGCCTTAGATTAGCCAGCCACTTGCATGAAGGCAGCACGAGTAGAATATGCTGTTTTTGTCAAGCCTCCGCTGGGAAGCTGTCTCCAGCGCGGCTTTGCTTGCTGACCAACGTGTAATTAGGTCCGAGTCAATCCCCGGAGTTATCCCCGTAGGGGCAAATTCTCCCCAAAAGTGCCTGTACGGGCTCTACGCGGAGAAGCTCTCGGGAACAGCATTCACGGCGCCTCGCCGCGACAACCTCCAGACATGGCTTTATCGCATCCTCCCCTCGGCTACCCACGGGAGATTCACCCCGTACGGGTCCGGGGCGCCCGTTTTGACCGATGACCCTAAGGAGGAGCATTCCCGCAGCAACGACGGCTGGCATTATCTCCCGGACCAGCTCAGATGGGACCCCTTTGACTTGACCGAAGAGTTTGACTGGATCCGAGGCATGAAGCTCGCTGCCGGCACCGGGGCTCCGGCCATGAAGTCGGGCATCGGTATCGTTATCTATTCGGCCAGTAAAGACATGCCAGACAGGACGGCATTTTATTCGGCTGACGGCGACTTACTGATCGTCCCCCAGCATGGGAGCCTCGATATCCAGACCGAGTTTGGGTACCTGCTCGTCCGGCCCAACGAAGTTGCTGTTTTATTCCCCGAGGGATCCGTACCGTGTTAGCGTCCCTGACGGACCGGCGAAGGGATATATCCTAGAACTAGGTATATCAGGGGCACTCCACATTGCCGGAGCTAGGCCCGATCGAGAGCAACGGGCTTGCCAACGAGAGAGACTTCCAGGTCCCCAAGGCGCACTACCAGCAAGACACAGCCAGTGTGTGGCAAATCGTAAGCAAGTTCAACGGCTCGCTCTTTTCCGCCGAGCAGCGCCACACCCCCTTCGACGTCGTCGCCTGGCACGGGCGCTACTACTGGTACAAGTACGACCTGGGCCGCTTCAACACGATAGGCAGCATCAGCTTCAACCATCCCGACCCCAGCATCTTCACCGTCCTGACAGCGCCAACTCCCACTCCGGGCACGGCGGTGGCCGACTTCGTCATCTTCCCGCCGCGCTGGCTCGTGCAGGAGGACACGCTCCGTCCCCCCTGGTACCACCGCAACACCATGTCCGTGTTCATGGGTCTCATCGCCGGCGAATACGACGCCAAGGAGCCGGGCGCCTTCCGGCCCGGCGGCGCCAGCTTGCACAACACCATGAGCGGGCAAGGGCCGGACGCGGCGGCGTTTGAGCAGGCGAGTAACTGCGAGATTGGGCCGGTGAAGGTAGGCGAGGGGAGTATGGCTTTTATATTTGAGAGCTGCTTGATGATGGGGGTCACGGAGTGGAGGCTCAAGTCTTGCTGGAAGATTCAGGAGGACTATAACGTGCATAGCTGGGTGCCTTTGCAGGTCCACTTCAGGGATCCGGGTCTGAATGCGGCTGGAAAGGAGGACATCATTAATGGCACTTGATGATTGGAACCATTTAGATTATTGATATTATTGATACTACTGTGATTAGAGCACACTCTGCGAGGATATAATCAAGTCCCCCTTCCTCTCATCTCCACCGTCCCGTCCCTCGTCAACCTGCATGTGTTAAAACCCATGTAGTCAGGCTACTCATCTCCCTCACAGACACTGGTAATAATAATCGTTAAGAACCGAGCACGACGACCCTTGGGCGCACGCCGACGGTCCCGTCCACCCGCTCCCTCCACACTGTCCATAGCGAGTCTGTGCCGGACCTCCCGCCGGCGGCGGCGTCGTCGTCGGCTTCGCGGTGGTGGTCGGCTTCGTGGTGGTGGTCAGGGTGGTGATCGGGGGCGTGCTCGTCGGGCCCTTGCTGGTCGTCGGTGTGGTCGTCGCTCCGCCGCCACCGCTGTTCCCGAGGGTCGGGCTCGCCGACGCCGTGATCCTCGAGCTGCTCTGCGCCACCGAGATGGGCACTCCCGCAATCAGTGTCGGGCCCGGCACGATGTAGTTGACCGGCGAGGTGTACAGGTTGAACAGGATGCCCGGGTCGTTGGACTTGTACAGCTTCGTGCCCACGACGCCGCTCGGCTTGTTGGTGCCCCCGCCCGTGACCTGGATGTTGATGCACTGCGGGTACGCCTGCGCGCCGTTCACCGACCCGGCGGCGTGCAGGGCGATGATCTCGTGGCGGAGGACGTAGTTGCCCGCGGCGAGATTGGCGGGGATCTGCACCAGCCACGTGCTGTTGTTCTGGATCAGCGTGTCGGCCGCCCACAGGCCCGGGTTCGCCCCCGACACCCAGCCCGGCCCGTCGATCTTGAAGAACTCGAGCTTGGTCTTGTCGACCTCCTCGCACAGGCCGTCGCACCGCGCGAGGTAGTCGATCACGGGGCCGTGGTGGCTGTCCGGCCAGGGGTTAAGCCACTGCAGGCTGATCTTGTCGCCCGCGGCGACGGTGGCGTGGCCCGGCGCCGGCTTCGCGCTGCGGTGGCAGATGATGTCCGGGTGGCCGAACTTGTCGGGCGAGACGAACCCGTTGTCGGTCTGGTCGATGATCCAGCCGATCGTCGGGGGAGGGTTGGGGCTGTATGAGTAGGCTGGGCTGTCGTAGCCGAGGTACGACACCCCGTTGATGACGATGTTGGTGATGTGCCCGTGGGCTGCGACCGTTGCTGCCGAGGCGAGCGCGACGGCGGCCGCTCTGGCTGCGGATTTGTAGTTGCCCATTTTTGGAACGTGCTTCTTCTTACTTGGTTTAAAGTCACGAAGATGGAATCCACTCGCTGGTCGGAGTGTCAAAGCCAAAGCCGGTGCAGGTAAATTAAAACGAACGAACCTGTGTAAGTCGATTCTAGAGTAGGAGAGTTTTTATACTGGGATCGACGGCATTCTCGGCATCCCCGTGGCATCGACTAGTAACCCTTGGTGCAGCCTCGGTCGCCCTTCCGACTTACAAAGATCAGACTAATGCTGCAGAGCCGGCACCCGTTCCCGGGGTTTGGCTCGACCAGCCGACGAAACCGGGAACGTGGAATCGCAGGGGACCCCCCAAACCTGGTTTCCACGCGCCGGGCGTGTGGGTCCCAGGGGTCACGCCATGACCGACGGGAGCATTGGACGCCGGAAGAGGAAAGCTCGGGCTTGAAGTCCCGCGGCCCGCCCGGAAGTAAATTAAAAGAAGCCGGGGGACAGGGGGGTGATTGGCCACGCTAGTGGGGCATTTGGGGGTCTTGCACCGTCGTGGAGGCCCGTGAGAGACTTGGACTGTGGGGAAATGCAATGGCAGCATTGGATGCCAAGCATAAAAGTCACCTTCTAGTATTGGCAGACTAGTTCTGGCGATTTTAAGGCTCGTGAGCAGCTTCGACACGGCTCTTCGATAGTATGCGGAAAACGTCCATACATGTCCTTGAACTTCTACCCAAAGAAATAACTACCAAAAGCGGCTAGGGAGATGGCGGAAATATTGGGATTGTTGTCGTCTTTGCTCTATCTTTCCGTCTTCCTCTCAGCTTAGATAGAGTAAGTATTAGTTCAACGTCATCTGATACTCTAATTACTTGACCAAGTATTTTCCGATAGCAGCGATACCCCCGTCTTCGCCCCGTTCGTCCACCGCTCGCTGCATAAGGGAACGAATAAAGTCCAGTCCACGGCCATCCACGCCCTCCTCCTCGCATGAACGGAGAATATTCTTCACTCCCGCGAGCTGCATCCCCAATGGATTCCCCTGGCTATCGTCCCAAGTCTGCTCATCATCCGCCGACTTCGCAATGAGGCCGACATACGGCACCAAGGCCGTGAGAAGGGGCACCATGACCTTGTCCACGGCTGGCCCAACCTTGGCGTCCCCATGACCCCCACCGGGCTGCCCCTTCTGTCGCTTGAGCAGGCCCATTCCCGTGAAGGCCCCTTGGAACATGCCATACATGGCTGCCAGCGCAGCATTGTCCAGAATCGCCGCTGCCCCGGCATCGGACCCCTCATAGTGCGCGTTCCCGAGGGGTGCGAGCCGCCCCGAAACCCCCGAGAAGCTCTCCTCGTCCTCGCCGCTGTACACGACAAAGGCGTGCGGCGTGCCCATCAGCTGCGGCGTCACCATAATACCACCGTCGAAATAGCGCGCCGCCCCCCGAGCCTTCATCCATGATTCTGCCTCGCGAGCCTGCCGCGGGCTGCCGTTGGTGAGGTTGACGATTGTCTTGCCGGCAAGGGAGGAGGGAGAAGAGTCGATCGGGGAGAAGGCGAGATATAAGGTGTCATAGTCGAGGACGCAGATGATGACAACATCGTCGCTTTTTGCGATGGCCGACTTGATATCAGCATCAAACTCTGCGCCGGCCTCAACAAGGGAGGCCACCCGTGGGCGATTGGCTGTCCTGTTCCAGATGGTCAGGGGCGTTTTCGCGTCGAGGAGTGTCTTAGCCAGAGCGGCGCCCATGTTGCCGATGCCGATACAAGTGATGCGTTGGGAAGGCATGTTTGGGGTTTCTTGAGACTGGAAGAAGATATCGAGTGGTACTCTTGGTTGCTTTGAGGTTGTCGGCGATGGAGCTGGGCAGTGGATGGAACGGCAGCCGGATATCTTCAGGTTTAATTACCTTCTCAACAACACGCCCCAGTATCATTGCTCTTGGTCTCTTCATCGTGGATCTCTTCGTCGTGCTCAAGGAAGCCGTGAGTTCACACTCTGGGGCTGACAAATTGGAGATTACAAATTCAACACGTTGCGTCGAGCTTCCTGTCCCCCATTTGGTTTTCATTTCACTTTTGCTTTCATCGTATCCAAGTCCATGGCACGAGCACATTCAGTGCTATCCACGATGAGTATGAGTCACACCGGAGGAGTCTAGCATTCTTTCTGTAAACAAATGCAGAAGGAGATGGGTCTTGGCATGTCGCACGTATTCTCCTCGCGATTGGGCTTGGCGCTTAGAAATCAATGTTTTGAGGTATCATTTCGTGAATTGACTTCACTTGAGTGGCTGTCTCTTTTCTCTATCCAGGTATTCAAGAGAGTCGAGGCATCAGCCATGCCTACAATTCCTCCGTCGCTAACTCGATCCGGGATCAACAGCCGCCTGAGGCCTTGATTCTACCCCTGAAGCCGGATCTCTTTGACAACCGGCCGGGTTTGCGTCCTCTTTTGTCATTTTGTACAATGCAATAAGCGGTGCGTTGGGCTGCGAGGTCCTTAGCACAGTCAGCACGTCGGGTAAGCGGCCAAACGACGATGTGGTGCCGCCATCGGTAATCATTTGAGCATGCCTTGGTCTGGAGGCTGAAAGAACCAGGTCGAATCGAGGCCTTTTACCCCTGGGAACGTTGCCTTGGATGAAAATCATGCAGACGTACAGCAAGTAAGAAGGGCTACAGCTACACAAGCCCGGCGTCTACCGTCTAGATCTGCGCATCATCTTGAACGACCACCGGAACCTAAACAACACCCGGCGACGGGGCCAATCGAACTCGAGGTGGGTCCTTCTCCCTTGTATTGGCTCCATGAGGCAGCCCGCACCCTCTTCCGTCTGGGCTTGACATCCGGGTTTACGGCTCTACAGGCTTTCCGCGAAGGGGCTCCGCGAACTTGGCGGATGAGGGGACAACAGCTTGTAGGTTAGCGCGGAACATCGCGGGAATATGGAATATACCAAGTCTAACCCTGGTTGACGAGGTTAAGTTTGACAGATCTCTAACGGACCGCATCTTTCAGATCAGCAGCACCTTTAAGCCCCAGCTCGACCGGGTTTGATTGCACTGTTCTCGAGCGCCGTCCGTGCAACCCAGTTCCGGTCTTGGCCGGGTCTTGGCTGCTTCCCCCCTGTTATCAAGATCTTGGAGCGCCAAGTTGAAGCCAAGGAGCGTTATTTCGCTTCCCCTTTTGCACAGGCTAACAATTTCTCGAGCTATGATTTAATGGTATTAACTAGCTTAATTATGATTGCCACCAAATAAAACGGGTAGAAAAGCAGTATATCCTCTACAGCCGTGGAGTGAGGATAAGGTCACTAACAAGTACTAATACACCATGAATAGGGGACAGCTCGTTGGTAAACATCACACCCATTACACAAGGTTGTGGTACAATTATGATGAACTTTCGACGTAGAGCAGATTAGCCACTACATATTTCATCCCATAGCCTCTCTATCCTCCCCAGCTATCCTCTCTCAGATCCTCTCTTGCCATGTCCAACAACACAAATCAAGCCCAGGCGTCAGCGCCTGCACCTTCCTCATTCTGGAACACGTCCGCAGCACCCGCCGCGACCTGGAGGGCGCCGGCAATACCACTCATGGACGCGACAAGGACCGCGACGTTGCCGTCAAGCTGGCCCAGGAACTCGGACAATACCACCGACAGTCCGCTATTCCATGTGGAAAGCACACTTTGGGAATCGTACTTGACTCGGTCCGCGACGGAGAGGATTTCCCACTGGGCTTGGGAGATGCTGGCTGCGAGGGCTTGGATTTGGCTGACGTCGAACTGGCGAGTGGCTATGCTCGGCGCCGAATTCGACTCCGGTGAAACGACAGCTGCCGAGGCGAAGCTGCTTGAGAAGACAAGAGCCGTGGCGATGGCGGCCTTGAGGGAAGCGGCTGGCTGCATTTTGAGCTCGGGGGGTTGAATTGTGGATGGAGGGTGAGGCGGTTGGGACGGTGACGGTGACGGTGATGGTGCCGTTTCGGTCGAACGAATGAATGATTGACTGTCGCAGTGATGAGGGGGCGTCGAGCGGAGGAAAAGGATGCTCTGCAAGATGAAAGTAGTGACTGAATTTAGGTTGCCAGAAAGTCCCTGGCCCTTAATATATACGCTCTACACTAGTGGAGAAACAGGAGTACGCATATTCGCTTTTATCGTGGGATCTCCGTCAGCAAGCGGCCGCCGCGCTTCTCAAATAGGGAATACACTGCCTCAAATGGCGTAAATAATTGGTTCTGGAGGTTGAATTTCTAACGCAAGAGCCAAGACAAGCGCAGTCTCCACAATTCATGATCCTTCGGCCCCACCATTCGTCAGGTAGTCGCACGACCGCTTCAGGGGCTGCACCACATTCCGCAGCATATCCTGTCTCCACCGGTCTGGAGGCGCAGCCCGATTCCCGCCCAAGCACCAGCCAACGGCCTCAGCATAATCCGGGCCCGCTTCTCCGTTCACATGGCACTGCCATTCTCGGGCTGCTCCGACGTCGAACACCTCCTTTTCCTTCTCGTTTTCTCCGGCTCGCCATTCTTTTCGGCACGGTTGTTCCTCGAGAGTCTTTCCGAAGCAGAGCTCCAGTAGCATGATTCCCAGACGGTCCAGCGAGTCGTTATACCTAGATCCTCTCTCCGCTGATGTCATATCCGCGTTTTCGAGTGGATTGTCAAAAACGCGGTTTATATGGGGCTGGTCGAGGAGAAACATGGTTGGGTTATCAGCGTCGGCCACGAACAGGATATTGGTCTTGTTAAAGGAGTTTGGTAGCCAGCCGGAGTCCAGTAGCTGCAAGAACGAAGAGGCCACAGTCAGAGCCAGAGTGTAGCGCTCAACTCGTTTTGGCTGTGGGAGAACTTCGCCCCGGAGGACCTGGTCAAGCGTCTTGAACGAGAAGGTGTCGGTGGTATGGCGAGCTATCGTGTAGACGTAATATCGGCAGTTATCGTTGAGAATATAGCCACAGCACATCCCTTCGGGTTGGCTTGGTGTGACGCAGAGATTCGATATTGGACGAGTCAGAGGAACATGAGTGCTTGCTTGTACGCATGAGCTGGGGATTGGTGGTATTGTCCTAAGACGACGGTGTTAGTCTATAGCGTGCCTTGCCATTGGGCTGCCAATATCAACTGACAATAACTCGCCACCAATTGTCGTGGCGTCATTGAGCCGCCTAGCTCGCCTGAGCTGACGGGCTTGGCGATGAGTATTCCGAACAGGGGCACTCTCTTGCATTGATGCTGCCATCGCGTCCTCGGCGTCTTCGACGTCTGATATCCTGGTCTTCCAAATGTCCCAGCAGGACAACATAGAATTTGTAAATGTGACTTGGAATTGGACCTCGAGATTTTGGTTCGTTCGGTGTTGGAGCAGTAGTTTGGCGGCGTGTTCCGGGCATCCGCAGTTCCATGCAGCGGCGAGTGCCTTGAGGAGACTCCTGGCTTGGACCCAGAAGTTGCATACTGCCATATCAATCTAGGCTAGTTTACGCTCTGACCTCGTCTTTTGCACCAGGTATGTGTCCTGATCGCCGGAATTTAGCAGTTTCTCAAGCTTGTTGTTGATTTCCTGGAGCTCAGCGAAGAGCTGCGTAAGAACAGTCTCGCGATTGCTAAACTTCAACCTGTAGAGTCGAAATGCCCAACGGTCCGCACTGACAGCAGCCATCAAGCCCTTAGTCCCCTTTTGATCTTTCTGTGGCCGGTGATTAGCGGGCAAATATTTCGATTGATGGCGTTTTTGTTGATCCTTACCGAGGCGTTGATTTGCTGTTGAACTGGTTCCGAGTCGGCTGCTAGCTCTTTGTGTATGTGGTCCAAGACACGCTTCATCTCTGTGACAAGGTCCAGATAAAGCTCGTAAGATTCCAGGAGGCGACTTCGGAGGAGGTTTGCTACAGACGGTTCCTTCCAGCCGTCTCCTCCAGGTGCAGAGAGCAAGTCATCAATCTTGTCATCGTCCACCAGGAGGGGCAGCAAGAGCTGTCTCAAATGCCTTGTGAAGCTTAACTGGTGGTATTTCAGAGTGTCGCGGCACTTCTTGTATTCCAGCCGAATCTTATGGAAGCGGTCAAGCCTCCTTGCAACCTCACGGTATTCTTCGAGGGCGATGAGGGCTATCGGGAATGCTGCAAGAACGGCTCCGGCCACTTCAAACCCAGACATTCCGATACGCTCAGGAGTGGTGATCCATGAACGATAAGAGACTCGAAAGTCTTGTCTGTGAAGGGATGATACGAGAGAGAGACCACCCCGCAGCCGGTGCTGAAAAGCCCAGCCTTGTTGTCATCATGCACATCTGCCCAACCATGACAACTTCCCCTCCCGCACGAGTTTGGTGCGGGGTATCTTCTGTCCGAGAATCCATCACTGTTATCCAGACCAACCTACAGATGGCATTACGGTGGCTGGATTAATTCTGGTTGCATCGCGCTTACTTTTCTGAGCATCTAACTATGGCGGACTCGGAGCACATCCAGACCATCGCGGATAAGAGTCGCTGCGTGCGGCAGCACTTCCTTGACTTGATATTTCTTGTGGACGAAAGGCAGAAAGATGGCCCATGGGCTTTGCCACCCTCAGCTCTTTCGGATGCTCTGGATCGGTTCAACTTGTGGGTTGGGGACCTCGGCGTCCTGCACAAACCGGTGACAAGGTTATCACTTGATTATCGGCTCTCTAAACAAGTGGAGATTCGCGACGAGTTATACCAGCAGTTGGATGAAATTGTCGAAGCGGTTGAAGATTGTGAGCTTCCTCTGTCTCAACCCTCAATCATCCGTTGTGCCATCTTCTCACCAAAGTTTAGTGACAAGCATTATTTCTGGCACTAGCCTGAACCGTGATACGGAATTCGACCCGAATACTGATCTTGGGCTGGCTTTGGATGCAAAATATCAAGATGATGTCCAGACAGGCGGAGAACCTGCTGACGAGGCTCATATGATTCTCGAGGTGATCTCTGAATGCATCAGCTCCCTTTTCCGGATCGGAATACTGGTGACCAAATTAACCACCCGTGACCGATTCAAGGAAGCACTTCGAGCCTCGGACCCGGTATCGTCCAACCTCTTCGACATCAATTACATCAAAGAAAGGTATCCCAAAATCAGGGCAGACTGGCTATTAACACGACTGGGCTGTGCCAATGCCAAACGGAGACAGTTTATCAAGTATTGCCAAGACCCTAATACATCTCGACAAGCGGCTGAGGAGGAAGGAGATGACGATGATGCAATCTCGCTGACAAGCGCTTCCACTATCACGGATGCGCTACCGACCAGGAGTTTACCGCGCTTAGCCGAGTTGTCAAAAGGGCAGGAGCCGTTCAAGTGCCCTATCTGCTCCACCCTTCAGTCCTTCGAAAGCGAGAAATCCTGGCGGTAAGTCCGTCTGTTATTATTACATCCTGGTTACATTCGTTGGATCTCACTGCCTATCAGCCTTCATGCCTTTCGCGACATCAAAGCATACGTGTGCACAGTCGGCGAAGATGGTTGTGAAAACAAACTTTTCGGGGACCGCGACTCATGGTTCAAGCACGAGTTGACGCATCATCGAACCCGATACGACTGTGCTTTGTGTACCCATGGACCACTTGAACCGAAAGACCTACAAGCGCATATCCTAAAAACCCATGGTTTCTTTTCTGGCCCCCAACTGCAGATGCTTCAAGAATGGAGTCTAGAGACTCTTCGCACGTTCAACGCGCAGGACTGCCCCTTCTGCGACGATTGGACTGATGTCCTCCGCTCAAAATCAGACCCAAGAGGGAAAGGATCAGGCTCAGATCACAGCCGCGCAGATACCCTTGTTAGTAGCCATCAGTTCAAGCGACATGTAGCGACGCACCAAGAGCAGTTTGCAATAATTGCTCTACCGCAAGCCATCGAAAAAGAGGATTCCGAGGCGGATAAAGCAGCCATGTCGCATGCTGCCCAGTCCCCATCTGAAAAGTTTGGGGCTGCTGGCCTCAAGCAGGCGGCTTCAGGCCTTCCAACATCTCGTTCAACTGAACCAATCGGCGCTGCTTCGACGACAATCGCGGGTACACAACCCCCAGTCATCCAAGGCTATGGGCCATCGTTTGGGAGGACCAACACAGTACGATTTTGGAATTGTGTAAGTAATCGACGATAGATTTGAACTTATTTCTTAACTAACTATGTCCCCAGCATAACTGCGGTCATCTTGGCATGACTGTCTCTGTGAACGACTCTTGTTATCAGTGTGACCATCTCCGTTGTCAATTCTGCATACAGGAGTTACATCATATCAATGCTGGTTAGCATATAAAGGTATCGATGGGACGATGCGCCGGTATTGACCTGCATTGGAATCACAGGGCTGGAACATCAGCCCTGGGAAGCGGGAAGCAAGGAGGATCGCAGCTGAGGACTTTGTTAGGTGGACGGATCTACGGATTACCAGCACACTGTAAGCGCCGGTATGTGTGGGGCCTGTAAGCCCGATCGGCGGTAGGGTGGCGCCTTTCCGCCTGGCCAATTACAAGACCGTGTTCACCCGAAGGATTCTTACTGCATACTTAGTACGATGGTACTGTAGGTACAGTACACTAGGAAAGCGCCCCGTTGGCTAGGCCAAGACAAGGTAGGGGCCGCACCGCTGGGACTAACAAGCTAATGGCGGGTAATACGAGGATAAAATAACCGCTAATTAGCCCCGATTTTCCTGTCGTGGTCGATCTCGTCCCCTTTTCTTCCATTTCAGTCTCCTTTTCGTTCTCGCAAAGCACGGCGCGACCGCTCTCTTGGTGAGACAGCGCTTCGCCCGCAAACATACGAGGACTTCGCTTGCCAGACCATAAGACAGAGGCTATGAGGGATTGATTACAATCGACGTCTTTCGATCGGGGAGCTCAAGAGTCACGACCATGACGTCCGTCCGCACGAACCTAGGCCCGTTGACAACGCCCTTCACCTACCCGGCATCATGCACCGTCGTCATCAAGGGATGCGCCACATGCGACAATGGCTTCCAAGCGCAGACATGCTCGGACAACGCCTTCAATACCCAGGGCATCCAGGACGACCTTGAATGCTGGCCGCCCCGGTCGGGCTCGAGCATCTCGTCTGGTGTGGCCGTCGATGGCTGGGGATTCTACTCTCCAGGCATCGACTGCCCGGTCGGCTACTCGACCGCATGCGCCGCGACCGCCGGCGTTGCTGGTGGCTTTCCCTTCCAATTCCCGCTGTTGCCGAGCGAGACGGCGGCGGGGTGCTGTCCAACGTAAGGCTCTCTCTCTCTCAGTTCCTCCCGCGAGGCTCCCGGCTAACCACTTGACTCCGGCCATTAATCACAGCGGCTACAACTGCCGGTACGAGCCCGGCATCGACAGGGCACAAACCTGCTACGCGATTATCACGAAGGGGTCCTTCCCGACGGTCCAATGCTCCTCCGGAACAAGCAACATGTTCTCCTTCCTGTCCATACCCGCCACCATCACCACCACCAACTCAGAGGCGGTCGAAGTCACGGTGCTATCGCGCGTCAGCGTGCTGGCGCCCCTCTTCCAGCTCAACTGGCAAAAAACCGACCTCCCGAGCTCCACGACCCCGACCAACAACGCCGCCACGACCGTCCCCACCCCATCGTCAACACCCACACACCCCCCACAAGAAACCAACCCACCCGCCGCCGGGCTATCCAAAGGAGCAGCAGCCGGCATCGGCGTGGGCGTGGGCATCGCGGGTCTGGTGCTGATCGTCGCTCTGGTGTGGTTTGTGCGCCGGCGAGTGCGGAAGCGTCCCAGCGTCATGGCGCCGATGTCACCGGTGGAGCCGATGCCGCAGCCGCCGGTGGGCCACGGCTACGTCTTCGGCTACGGCCACCACGCCGGCGGCAAGGACGGCGTGTCGTCGTCGGCGAGTCCGTCCCCCGTAGGGAATGTCGCGGAGCTGGGGACGGGGTATGTGGCTGAGCTGCCGGTGCCGTCGGGGAATATTGGCTCTAGGATATAATTATGTTGGGGACTGGCCGAGGATGGCGCTTTTGTGTTGGACTTGTTGGTGTTGGAGTCTTGGGGGTTGCCGCTTTTGGCAGATGATATCCTTGGTTATGATGTGAATATTAATCTGAGGTTCAAGCGACGGATAGCTGGGCCAACGTTCCTTGCAAGGACGATGCCGTGGGCCGACAGGAAGGTGCGGTACTGGCGCATGATGTTCTGGGCGGTGATGTGGGTGGCTAGGCGTGTCGTACTTAGCGCAGCCGGTTCGACGATGCGGTGCCACTCGTTGTCGCTGAAGACCCCTCGTTCGGTCACCTGGGCGGCTGCCGGCTCATCTCGTTGCCCGTCGTCCACCGGCTTCTGGTTTACGGTGCCGTGCCTGTCCCTGTCGTACTTGTGCTGATCGCCACCCTTTCCACCATCACGCCCTCCGCGTGGATCGGCCTCGCGTACCTTACTCGCCGAGTACACGGGAGGGGCCCTCCGGTGAACCCTCTACTTCGCCATGTAGTCCCTGCCGCTCTGATGTGCAGCGAGAGTTCCCTGATGATCATCGCCGTCGACATGGGAAAGAGTGCACAGGCCACCGCCGCAAGTCGAACTATGGGTACTAGGAATGTTCCAGTTAGGCATGGGACCCCTGCTTCATTCAGGAATTCAGGACGCGCTAGTATACAGCGTTTACCGAGATAACCCGTGTCGCGTCACACAATACACAATCGTCGTCTGTCTGTCAGACCCTTGGTGCAGACAGGAAGCCCGCATATCTTTGAAGGACAATAGACATATCGTGCATCCTTTGAATCTCAACATGCCTCCACGACTCAACGTAAGTAAAGTCGGTCTTCTAGGTTGTCAAGTGACTGACACGTCTCAAGCGGCGAGAGCTGCGTGACCTCTTGATGGCAAGGATCAAGACGTACATCGGTCTGCCAGAAGAAAATATCCAGGAGACCAAGGATATCATCACTGACTGTGACTATTTCAGCCTTCCTGACCACATGGGGGGGGGCTCTATGGCGCCGGGGCAGAAGTTCTATCGGAGGAATGGGACCGAGCATACGTTTTACGACGTGCCTTCCCCAGGATCCTGAAGGACGCCGAGAGCATCATTGGAATGGAGGCTTCACGCGATCGACGCAGCGCCATCTATAAAGAGGTCATGGTCGGAATGCCAGGCTACAAGAAGACGCCGGAATGGGACCGGCCAGTAATCAATCCGAACGAGAAGCCCAAATCGGCATTTTCTGTCTCCCGCGTGGTACGTCTGCTGATTCATGAACGATGAAGAAACAATGGCAAGAACTGATTTCCTAGCAGCAGCCTGGGTCGCAAAAATCAAACCTCCAGCTCATCCAAGACCTCGGGGCTGCGGTAGGTCTAAAGGATACAACCGTGTCTTCCCTCAGAGCCCAAATCACATGGTGGGATGGCCTAGGTGACTACAAAAGGCCCTGCACGCTCTCCCTGGGTCCCCAGTGCTCAGTTAGGGGCGGTCGGTTGGGGCGCGACCATACGCTAGAAGACGTGCCCAACCACTACGTTAGAGATTGCCTGATGGGCTACATCACGGGTGACGACCTCGCAGAGGACCTTCGACAGCCAGCACTGGAGGCCGTCTATCCTGACTTGACCCCGGCCGAGCGCGAAGAATACGACACGATCCTTAAGGAGCAGCAGAAAGAGCGTGAGAATGAGGTGAGGGCGAAGCAGACTGCTCCGAAGGCTGGAGGCAAACGCAAAAGCGGGAATGCCACCGATGGGGGCGGGTTGCGCCGTCTTAAGCGCACAAAGACATTCTAAGTGGGTAGGTCTGTCCAGGAAGACATGAGACAGGTTACAAGCAAGGAAGGGTCACTCATATTCTCCGATTCAACAATTGGTTCAATTTCGGCTTGAGGCGGGACCCCAATCCACACACACGACTTCGGTCAAAGGTCTGTGTTCGGCGTTACAAGCGCCAAGCTCTCCATCTGGGTTTGCTTCGCAGGATCCAGTCAGCTTGGCCGTTGTCGTATCCTCGTTACGTCACACGTGACGCGGCCACGACATGGCCATGGGAATTTAGAGAGCCACAAAACATGCGCTCCCTACAGCTTGAGAAACCACAATTGCAATTGCTATTGCCATTGCCATTGCCATTTTCAAGAATCCTGTTCCGAGACCTCAGCAATGCGTCAACCCGTGGTGGTGGTGGTGACTACGGTGCTCCTACGCTGCGCTGCCGCCAGTCTATCCGTACTTGTCGAGCAGAAACCCATCGGCACGGGTCGAACAACGACCCTGTCCACCACGCATGAACCATGCGACTATGGTTGCGACCAAGTGTCAGTCGCCGATGACGCCCTGGAGACTTGCATCGAGCACCTAATGGAGAAATGGCACGTCCCGGGACTGGCCATCGCCATTGTCGACGGCAACAAGACCTGGGCCAAGGTACGAAGCAATTATTAATTAATTAATCGTTACCGTGCAGACCCAAGATGCCTCCTATCCGCGGTGTTTCTGTCTCCCTGTCGAAGCATCGGCTCTTTGCAGCGATGGCTGATAAATTACCAGGGGTTCGGTGAGGCCAAAATTGGGTCGGAGCCGGTGACTCCCAGCACGCTGTTCTATGCTGGGAGCACTACTAAGTCGTTCACGGCCGCGGCCGTGTCTCTGCTGGTAGACGAGTCCGAGAACTACTCGTCCATAGCCTGGGATAGTCCCCTGGTCGAGTTTCTCCGTGACGACTGGCTTCTCGGCTCCGAATGGGCCACCAACCACGTAACGATCGAGGACGCCTTGAGCCATCGGACTGGCTATCCGCGACACGACTTTTCCAGAGTACCGCCCAGCTCGAGTGAGATGGTGCGCAACTTCCGCAACCTGCCCATGTCGGCCGAGCCTCGCGTCAAGTTTCAGTACAACAACCTGATGTTCGGCACCGTTGGCTACCTGGTCGCCAAGCTGACCGGCTCCTGGCTGGGAGAATTCTTCCGGGAGCGGCTGTGGGAACCCATGGGCATGAAGTCCACCTATCTGTCCCTCCGGGATGCCGAATCAAGCGGCCAAGTCCTGGCCGACGAGCACCGCTACAACAACGACACCGACGCCTACGATTTCATCCCACACTCCCAGTTCGCGTGGAGCGAGGGCGCTGGCATGACCATCTCCAATGTCATCGACTACTCCCGCTACCTTCGCGTCATGATGGCCGAGTCGGCGCCGCTTTCCAAGGCCGGCCACCGCGCCCTGAAGACCGCCCGCGCCGTTGTGGGCACTAAGGAGCTGATGCCCTTCACAGGCCCCGTCTGGTACTGCCTGGGTTGGTTCGGCGGCGTGTTCGCCGGAGAGGAAGTGTGGTTCCACTCGGGACAGGTCAATGGCCATGTGACGAACATGATCATGATTCCCGCTCGCAATTTCGCTGTCGTGAACATGCAGAATGCCGAGTCTTTTATCGTGGAAGTGATTCCCTTCAAGATCCTGTACGACTTTTTGAAGGTCGGCCCGGACAAGCGAGTCGACATGGAAAAGAGGTGAGCCGTTTTCCTTCACTCAATTACTATCAAGCGTTATTGGGTACTGACCTAATTCCCTCCAGGCACACGGCAAAGCTGGAGCAACAGGACTACCTCCTGAAGACCAGCCGTGAGCGCCTCTATCCCTCCCTGCCGAGCCCTCCGATAAGACGCCCCGTAAGTATCGAAAGCTACGTTGGGCTGTATCACCACGCCGGGTACGGCACTTTCAACGTGACGCTAGACTGTGTCCCGCAGGAGCTCCCCAAGGACTCGCCAGCCTCTCCGACTACGACAGATGACGGCTGTCGTCTAACCATGATGGTGCCGCAGCGACAGGGAGAAGAAGCGGGTAACATCCGACTGGACTTGGAACACATGACGGGAGACTACTGGGTAGGATGGGCGTATATGACTCATTTCCACAACTACCGTCACCCGATGGCGTGCCAGAGGGTTGAGTTCCGCGTCAATGCCTCTGGTGTCGTTGCCAGCGTTGGCGTCGATGCCCGCATGGAGGGAGAAGACGTTCCGTTGATATGGTCTGAGCGGGTGACGAGCTAACCCCGGGGCACTGTGTTCGCAGGACCAACCCGCTTAGCGTAGGAGAATCCCTGGGTGTCTTGTTCAGCCTAACCACATGTGTTCTGCCCAACCCCCTTATCTACCATGTTAATTCTGGTACACCGATTGCCGCCTCCTCGAACTAGCAACACAACCCGTAGAAAGAAAATAGATGCGGACAACCAATGGCGCTCTCCCTTCCTCGCGCACACTCTTCAAGACCCCGGCCCGCCTTCCGAAAACCTCAGTATCAAGACGCGTCCCGACTGACAGCCAAGAACCACAGTCGATCCCTCTATAGCCGATTTCCACGGTCGATATTCCGTCGGGAGCCAGAGGATCCTCTGTGAATTCCACATTATCCATGCGCGATCAAAGCTGATGCCGTAACCCACGCGCCGGGCTGGGTCAGACGGCGTTCGGTCCAGAGTCGTTACCGCCATGCCACTGTCCAAACACGACAGATCTAGTCGAATGGCGCCGAAATTAGTATAGAGGCACGAGGTGGCCGGATCGAAGGAGAGCAGTTCTATATTCTTCCCAGTCTCGATGACCTGGAGGCACCTTCCAGTGCTGGTATCCCAGATCTCAATAGCCCCCCTGTCCGCCACCGACGCGAGTAGCGGACTAGACAAGAATACAGCTGCTTCGAACCCAAACCTGCCAGAGTGAAGCTCTGATAGGAACTCCCCAGTCTGAAGATCCCAGACCATGAGGCTAGTACGAAAAGTCACCGTGGCAAGCAATGTGCCGTCGGACGAGAATGCCACCGAAACGTCACACCCTTTGAGACCGGTAAGAATTGCCCGGCACGTGCCTGAGGCGACGTCCCAGATTTTGACTGTCATGTCCCACGATGCTAATGCCAGCAGTTTGCCGTCAGGTGAGAATGCTACTGATGTGATTCGGGACCCATCAAGCTTGAACACCGAACGCCGTGTTTCCGTTGCAGTGTTCCAGATTTCCATGGTGCCTTTGCGTAGTGACCAGGCGAGCATTGAGCCGTCCGGCGAGAGCTTTATTATTGGAAAGTCAAACAGGTGGTCCTGAGTTGATTGGCAGTTGCCTGTCGTAGGATCCCAAATCTTAATGGTATAATCATTATGATTATTTGCTGTCACTGTGAGTAGCAGGGGGCCAGTAGACGAGAAGATTATGGAGGTAACATAGGCGCTCTGGTTCTCCAAGGTTGACTGGGAACTCGTAGCATCCCATATTTTAACAGTTTCATCGTCAGACGCCGAAGCGAGCAGTGAGTTGTCTGGGGAGAATGCCATGGACGTAATGGAGCCGCGATGGCCCACAAACGTTGCCAGGGATGTGCCTGACACAATATCCCAGATCGTGATTATCCCGTCCAAGTTCCCTAATGCGAGCAACTGGTCGCTAGGCGAGAACACCGCTGACCTGGGCCTGCAATGCTCAAGGGTTGACAGTCGGGTTCGTGTTGCGGTGTTCCAGATCTCCAAATTGCCACCTGCTACGAACACACAAAGCTGGAGGCTAGCTGAGAGCACTGTCAACTCGGCTCGGGTTGGCCCATGGTGTTGAAAGGTCGATTGGCATGTGTGATTTGCGTCCCACACCTTGACAGTGCCGCTACGCGACACGGATGCGAGCAATGCGCTGTCAGCTGAGAAATACACTGAACAGGGACAGTCATCATGACGGATGGCGAACATGGACACGTGGTGAAGGAGGGTCGCTTGGCAGGTGCCCATCAAATCCCAGAGCCTAACAGTGCCATCCTTCGATGCAGATGCAAGGAGTAGACCATCAGGCGAGAATATCACCGATTCGAGAGACTCACAGTTGCCGCGGAGGGTCAACTGGCACTCGCCTGTTGCGGCGTCCCAGACCATGACGCCAGGGTCCACTTCTCCTGTAGCAGAAGCAATTAGAGAGCCGTCGGGCGAAAATGCTACCCACTGGATGAGTCGACAGCTTCTAAAGGTCGACTGGCACGCGCCTGTCTTCGGGTTCCAGGTCTTGATTGTACTATCAGCCGATGCTGATGCAAGTAGTGAGCCGTCGGGCGAAAACGCCACAGCATCAACGCGGCCAGCATGGCCCTCGAGGGTCCATAAGCATGCACTCCAGTCCGCTTCCACGACTGGCTTGAGTCCGATCCATTTCGGTTCGTCTCGTGCAAACAACCCTCTGACTATGCTGCGAGCCGGGCTGAAGACAAGGCCCGAAGCGTATACCTGAAGAGGAGCATCCTCTATCGCGTATTTGAAGTGTTGAATAAATCGGCGTGTGTCTCGAACTAGGTCGACCAACTCAGTTTCTCCCTCCTAAATAGTATTAGATAGAGCTGATATGGCACGGAGAGGAGTACGGCTCACCCGACAGAATTCCTCGAGCTTTGCCAAGGAAAGTACTCCATCTGAAATGCTCCTGAGGAGGCTGAGCGCCTCAATCCAATAAAGACAACACCGGCTTAAGAACGCATACACATCTGTGTGGTTTCCCTGCGCGGGTGAATGAACCAAATGGTAGACCCAGGAGACGCATGAGTAGCGTGCCGCGGCTAAGGGGTCTATGTCGGGTCTCTGGACAGCATCAATGGAAGATCCGGGGGCGACTAAGCCATACATGTCGGGTCGGAGTGTCCTGAACATAACCTTGAGTGACCTCGAAAAAATGGTCTGATGTGCGATGCCGAGTCTCATATCTGTTGACAGGAAGTCCTTCGCCGTCTGGTGGATGATGTAAACAACGCCGTCCTGGATGGTGAGGAAGGACCCGCACAGGCGCGCGATGCTCTCGACAGACTTGGGATCCCTTGAGATGTCCTCTGGTAAATCGGAAAGGACACCCAACTCGTCGAGGCTCAGCGGGCGATATGCTGTAGCAGCCGTGGAAAGCAAGCGTTGGCAGTGCTCTGGGTTTCTTCGCTCCCGACGTTGGATCTGTCCAAACATTCGATGGTATATTTCCTTAAGGCTAGTCGGCATTTTGTCAACGATGCCCTCCACCTCCCACCGCTCGGCATCCTCGAGCTCCTTGACGACAAGGGATACCCAGAGGAATGTGCCGTTGGCTTTTCGCCGCATTGCGTCCCTCACCCGTGCTTGGACGACCTCGTCGCCTTGTGTTGAGGGTAGTTCGAGGACACTATGCTCGATATATACGTCGACGGCATGGGATACGCAATCCGCATTCTGCTTGAGCTCAAGACTGAGCCTCGCCCGCGACAAATCAGCCCGAAGCTTGCTCTCGATTTCAGGCTTGTTACGACTAGAGACGAGCCATCTGACGCCAGGCGAACCCGAATTCTGGGCGATAAAATCCAAGAGCTTCGGCAGGCCCGTGTCGCACTCGTCGAGAGCGTCGACGATCAGGGTTGTATCCCCCAGTTGCGAGTCCGCTAGCATAATCTTGAACATCTCCGACAAGGCAACCCATGCATTCGCATCCTCAAACAGCTGTTTCCCCGAGTGGTCGTAAGCTTTCCGCAGGTGCGAGATGAGCGACGGTTGCTGATCGATGAGGAGGTACATCAGACCGCGCAGCACAGCGGTAGCGTTGTTGATGCGGGAGTCGGTGGCCTGGCAGAAGAAGTAGGACAGCAGCTTGCCGGAATCCTTGTCTGCCAGTTTCGTCGAAGGTTTCAGCTCGTCAATGATCCCACAGAGAAGCATGGTTTTGCCCTTGCCCGGGTCGCCCTTGATCCAGAGCAGTCGACTGTGATCATGGTCGCGCCATTGTCGGAAGTCGTCGTTGTCGAGGATCCAGCGGTACGAATCCTTCAGCAGGCCGCCCTTGGCCTCTTCGATGCGTATTTTGTCGTGGCGTGGGTCACTCGGTCGGAGGTCAGCCAGGCAGCGGTCTTCCGCCTGGTAGGATGTGTTTCCAATGTGAACTCTCGAGTTCCCGCTGGCGTCGAGTCTGCCGACATGCACCGACATGGCGTCCTGCCAACTCCAGGGCCCTCTCTCGCTAATTTTTGCAAAGGGCACCGGGCACCACACTGTGAACGAATATCAAGGCTCTGCCCTACAACACGTGATATTGGGAGCTGGAAGACTGAGGGGCCACGGGCCTTCTTGGCGCAAGCGAGAGGGGCTGGGCGTCAGCCGCCCGTTCAGCTGGTCCGCTATGTCTAGCCAATAAAATCCCTCATTTTGCCGCGCAGGTACTCCCCTCAAACAATGATGGCTGTTATTCTTCCTTACAAGCTCTCTCAAGCAAGATTTCTTGTCGGAGGGCATGCAGTTGGTGGGCAAGTTTGCACAGCGGCACCCGGCCTGTATCAGACACTCCTCCCCAACAGCCACGGAATTTACAGCTTCTAGCGTTTCTCGCAATCTAGTGTGACATGATCTCGGTTCCTGTTCCCGGTTCCTGCCTAGCGGGTGCTTCTATATGAGGCTGACACAGTGTTAGCGCTGGCTAAGGCATGCGGCAAAGGTTGCAGTACTTACAGCCTACGGTATAGAATACATGGTAAGTAAGGTGCAGACCCCGCACGCAGCCTGATTTCGAGTGCCTTGCATTTCAACACTTCCCCGCTCGCAGCCTAATAACCAGTGCCTGGCAACTCAACACGTCCCCTTTGTCAACAGTCCAGCGCCGCATCTCATGCTACGAGCCAGAATCTTCTGTGCCCCTTTTCCAAAGTGTATACCTCAACGCCGCTACATCTCTGTCCAGATGGCTTCAAAACGGAGCCAGGTCATATACGCACCTTCAGAGGAATCTCCCCGCGGAATAAAGTCTGTCTTTCTCGCCGGCACGACCAGCAAAGTCGATACCAGCGACTGGCGGGAAACCCTCTCTTCCTCGCTCTCCGAAGTGCCGATCACAATCTACAACCCATACCGCGCGGACTGGGACAGTACGTGGCGCGAAGACATCAACTTCTCCCCATACCGCGAACAGGTACTGTGGGAGCTCGACAAGCAGGCCGAAGCGGATTTAGTGGTGGTATACTTCCACCCAGCTACGCAGGCCCCGATAAGTCTGCTCGAGTTTGGGCTCTCTGCGCAGGTTCCAGGAAAGGTCATCGCTGTGTGTCCTGAAGGGTTTTGGAAGAGGGGAAACGTGCAGATTATCTGCCAAAAGTTTGGGGTTGAGTTCTTGGAGAACGTCGACGGATTACATGAGGCTATCATGAAGAATTTGTCCATTGGTCCATGACTATGGGCTACTAACCTTCTTTTATTATCGGAAGATAGTCAGGACTCTTGCTGGGCATACAATGCAAGGTCGGGTATCTGAAGGAAACAAGGTCGTCACAGGAAATACCAAGAGCTCGGCGGTAGGGCATTGGACTGACTACAGGGGTACGCGTGCTGTGAGAATGGTATGTACAGTACAAGCTACACTACCCAACGATCAGACTTTGTAGCTCAGTGTGTAAGCAAACATCCCGGTATCTCCCCTCGCAGAGTAAAGCAGATGCTTCTCAGGGCCAAGTTTGTAGACGGTGATGGACTGGATTGAGATCCATTGTTTTTCCATAATTATTCATTGTCAAGCTTCATCAACTAGCAGAGTACCTTTGTGAGTCGTCCGCTTACGTAGCTGTGCCTTGTCTTCACTCTTCAGCAACCACCAAATGTTCTGTGCGATATACTAACTGGTTTAATCCAAGACACTCCTCCAGTTAATAGTTACCTACTGGCTTGATTACGGGATAGCGGAGAGGATCCCGTATTTCTAGTGGATATAGTCTAGGTTAGCGACCTTGTGGAGTCTCAGATAAGAAGAGGCTTCTTGTATGACCAAGAAGTGGGAACAACCATGGCCATGCCTCAGGCTGTGAATGAAGTATGCTTGGCGTTCTTGCTTGAGAAAGCCATAGTCCAAGTTTGGAAAATAGGATTAACTTGCTTTGCCGTCTCTTCAGGTAGCGCCTCCATCCTAGACCTCGATCGACCAACGGGGACACCAACTGCAATCCACCAGCGTGACGATTGACAATAAATGGCGTAAAATAAATTTTTACTCAACCAACGAGCCCGAAGAACCCCAGCGGATTTCGGACCGGCAGGGCCCACAAATTATTTTGCCGCCCTATACAGGTCCGCACATCCCGTGTCGATCCCGAAGAATGTCGGGTCAGAGGCGGTTTTGGTCGCCACCCTATGCACGATGTCGCCTTTCAAGAATTATAATAGTAGTGCTGTGAATCTCCTTAGGATGATATGATTGCGACTACTTTTAACTATCTGAATATATTTCCACGTAGCCTTTTGAGACAGATGCTGCCTAAAACAGCCTGGTAACAGGAACCAGTCACTCAACTCGCCCGGTGGGGAGGAGAGCGAAGCTGCGGCAGAAGAAGCATGTGGACAGCTCGGCTAGCCTTCAAGAAGACGTTGCGAGAGATTTCTTATCCTACAATGGCAGGGCAGACATAGAAGGCGTGCTTACGGGGTCGTACTCTGGCCCAATCTGGGCGGTACAGGAGATTGTGCTGGCCACGGCGGCGGACGTTAACTTCTGGAGAGAGACAATGGCCCCGGGAGGATTCCTACCTTGCGCATTAGGTGAATCTGGTGACCTCTACAGTGGCACTGACAAAGGAGCGCGACAGGAAGAACGCTCCTTGCTGAGGCCCGACTTGATGGAAGGAAAGGGGCGAGAAGCGCAACGCACAGCAATGCAACCGGCTAGTCCTTCATGTCAATTTCAGTTATAAATTTCTATCAACAGATGCTTTTATTTTGACGACGGTAGGTTTCATTCCTCCCATTCCCCCCACCCATCAATGATTGCCTACAATCAATCAAGATCGTGGGGAGCTCCATGGGTTGACAGACTCGTTTAAACGTGTGAAGCTGTCGCATGCCTATGGAGAGTGGCGTTCGAATGTGAGTCCTTCTCTCCTTCCTCGTCCCCCGGACTTGGATGTGGAGGGACCATGTTATACGAAAATGCGAGCAGCAGCGCCCCAATTGCCGGCCCAAACCACCAAATCCATTGCGCTTTGCCGGGGTGTCAGCCATTGACTCTTATGTCTCTCCCATTTCAATCGGAAGGGCACAAACTTACTTGACAAGTCTCTGTCTGCAATGCCGAAGGCGAAGCACCTCGCAGGGTTCATCCCGGCCCCTGAATATCCCGGTGCGACGCCGCTGGTAGCAAAGGTCAAGAGACCGAGCGACACGCCCACCAGCAGCGGTCCTAGGCGAGCACCCACTACAGCGGTCTGCCGAGGGTCAAGACCGACTCCATAAACCAGGAATAGCAGCACGAAGGAGGCGAAGATCTCGTTGAGAAAGACCTGCCCGGTAGACATCTCGGCCGGATCGTAGAAGCAGCTACCTCCATGAAGCCTGGTTTCAATGAGTATCTGGACAGACGTGCATGAGGTGCACAGGGCTCACTGCTTAGACCGCGCATGGCCCCAAACTCCCGCCAGAACACCGCCCCCTAATGCCCCGCCCAGTGTTTGACCACACAGATAGAGGATTCCTGGTGGGTTTTATATGAGTGTCTGATTAGCTGAAAAGTGGGTAGGTCCGCCTTGAACCAACCTCTTGAAAATGGGCAGATGCCTGCAAAGATAGCAGAAAAAGTAACCAACGGATTGAGATGCCCGCCTGTTATTGCGGCCGTGGCGTATATGAAGGTTGAAAGCAGGAAGATGTTGGATATGCCAATGTAGGCGCCAACCTGAAGTGTGTCGTAACTGTGCAGTGTGGCAGCGACTTGCCCAGAAATGAAGACGTAACCCGCCGTACCCATTGATTCTACAACCTAGAAGGGATTGGGGTAAGAATTTCTGGTGTCGACGACCCAGGGCCTTCGAAATATGAATCTAGACATACTGCAGCTTTCCAGGTAGCTCGGTCTACCCAGCCTCCTATGAGATATTCACGATCTCGGTACCATGGCAACAGACGCTTCTCTTTCGGCCTTGCAATTGGGGCGAATGTGCCGTCGAATTCCGCGACATCCTCAACGTGCGTGTCGTCGCTGCTTTCACGACGTCTGCAGATATTGTCGTCATGGGGGGGCGGCTCGTTTGGGTCCATCGCTGCCTTTTGCGATCTGTCTAGCATGGTCATCGTGAGGCGATTGTGTGGTGTGTGTGAGGCTTCATGCTAGGTCACCATGGAACCTCCGAAGAGAGGGAGAAAAAAAATTCTGGGAGGAATGGAGTCGCAAAAGTGCCTCGGTCGTCATGTTATTATGGAGCTGGGTGGAGTATTGGTAAGTCTGGTTTAAGCCTTGTTAAGCTTGGCTCCCCCAGTTTCGGAGTTCGTGCTACCAATGAAATGGCGATGCAATGCTCAACACGGCAGTACGTAGATCCGTACCCACGATGGAAAAAAGCTTGTTTCCACTCCGTGCGTCCTGCTATAGTATATCCGTTATATACACACCGTGTAACAGACATTGCATGGTTATCCGTGCACGCGATTCCAGCCGATCGATCCGAGAACCAATTGATTGCACATGAGAAAAGGACCACGTGATTGCCCTCTCTTTCCAAAGCAGATCACCTGACAGATTCGGAGATAAGGTAAAAACCACCCTGCCGAATGGAAATTGTTAAGAGGATAAATCAAGATCAGGAGGACGCGCATTCTAATTACCAGGCGCAAGAGGTATTGGAAGACCAACAGCATCAACTGGAGTTTCTCGAAGCTATGACCTGGACGTCTAAACCAGGATCTCTTAGGGTTAGCCCAGTAGCCCAGTAGCCCAGTCATGCCGGACAGTCTAAATTCGCTCAGAAAATCATGGAATTTAATTAGGTCCTACCGGGTGCCATTCGGCCGCACTCCCGACGTGGAGATGAGTAGGGACCATGGACGCAGACTGTGTGCCCAAATTTACCATTATTTGCTTCTGCTTATCGACTAGTATGTCGCAACAAAGGGCCTCTGTATCATATGGAGATGGCTCTAACTATTCCACACATTCGACGCGAAATGCCACTGGGAGGGAACTAACAACATGGGTGGGAAGGATCATGTAACCATTCAGATAGTTCTGCTTTTGCCCACTTGAGAGGCTGGTGGACATTGGGAAACCCTTCGAAAGTATACTCAATTTCAAAGGGGTCGTGTCTCCACCAAACAGATCCCTTGCACCGGGAACTGCCGCCGATCGGGATCAGGGGTTCTTCAAGAAGCGCCACAATTTGATGCTGGAGTAATTACCTCAAGGACTCCTAATAGGATAAAGATGGCTCCTCTTAATTGGGCAGTTCGTCTTGGGCTGCATGCCAAGATGAAGGTTGTCGGCGAGCAAGATCTGCACCAGCTGAACCGCTGGCTACTCTGTTAACCAACCAAGCCTTCGAGGTCTCACTAGCTCTACGCTTGGAAGCATTGCCATTTACATAATACCGCCGAGACCCGAGACATGGCTGAATTATAAGGCTTCCTTACTTTACCTACGTGACGATCTCCATTGCCCCCTTCAAGTTGAATGGAAGAACGTGGACCAGACTGACTCCATTAGTACGCAAATGGACGTCACCATGCTGCACTGCTACGCCGATCCGAATCAACTCTTACCTATCTATCTGTATGTCGACTGTTTGTGAGGGAAGGCCTCTTCTGTGTATAAAAGAAACGGCAGAGTCCACGCATTTTCAATCTCGACCTTGCCTTGTCAACCTACAACAGATCCAGTGCCTCCCGCACCAATCTCCATAATCACAACATAGCTATTCCCGTTATTGTAAGCCCAGGCCCGCTGTCTTTCATAGTAATTGTTGACCTCGATCCACCCTACTATCACACCCCCCGCGTCATCGCCATCACTTGTCACAGACAAATTCGAATACAGCAACTCCAACATGAAGTTGCTTGCTTGTCTTACCACCCTCCTCCCGCTTGCGCAGCAAGCCCTCGCCGATGTTACCTGCTGGCACAACAACGACTGCACGCGCGAATGGGTGGGCTATAATTGCGAGTGCGCGAACGCGCGCCGGCACTTCATCAACGCAATGAGATCTGAGGGCATAAACTGCTGGCTTAGTTCCGGCTTTGGTGTTGGGTGCGAGAACGACTGTGGTGGGAAGTGTGACTGTGGTCGGAACCACCATTGGGAAGGCAGCTGCTGATTTTTTTGTAATCCATTTTGTCTTTTTTCTTCTTCTTTTTTTTTGGGTGGGGGCGGTGGGAAGGAGGCGTAGGAAACAAGTCGCTACACACATAGTTATTTGATTTTCCAACTGACGGTCCTTGTAATAGCTTGTCTCCCTCCCCATGTGACCTGACCTTAAACAAGTAGTAGCAGGGCATTCTGGTAATTTTGGTGGAGATGACTGAAAAAATCAACACAGCCGGCGTCGTTGGAGTTGACGCATCTCCGAGAGTGGGAGCATTTGCAAGCTAGGTAGGCGAGATCTCATGTAGGAGTTGTATTCAATGTCTTAGCAGAAGATCTAAAGCCCTCAAACGGCAGGGCCACACCCGTTGCTACATATTCCAAACCTCGCCCAGTATTTTCCGCCACTAAGCGATACCGAAGAATGCGAGATCCATGGTCTCATGCTCCGGCACGGTATGGCCAACTCCCTGAGCACTGTATCCCACAAGCTCGGCCGTCGCTGCGGTGCCATCTCCGTAGAGAGTCTGTGTGTATCCACTCTGGGGGTTGTTGGCGGCGGTCTTCGATGTTGTAAGCCCCAGAACGTTGGACCACTCCTTCAGTTGCTCTTGATCTACACGCAAAATTAGCATAGGTACTGTGCTGGCCTTTAAATGAGCTCGGAGCATACAATTGGGATAATGAAGGGTGGTATCGGCGGTTCCGTGCCAACTACAACCATACAATGTCAGCTCAAGTGGCTCCAAGTCATAATCGTCGATATCAAGAGGAGATGCTCACATTTGCATCCTGGGCCGAGTACCGTTGAAGGTTGGGTAGTACGACCGGACCAGGTCACCCCATTGCTGTGCCGTCTTGCTGACTTGGCCATTTGCACAGTCGTTGTTCCAGCCAGGGGGGTCTGCGGTGGCAGTGGCTCCCGCGACGTAGAAGCATCCGTCGGGCACACCGGAGTAGACGGATCCTGCCTTGAACACATCGGGGTAGGCCCCAATAAGCACGTTCGTCATCATGGCGCCAGAGCTGGTTCCGACAGTGAACACCCTGTCTGGGTCCCCGCCGTACTTGTCCACGGCATATTTGACCATGTTGACGATGGTCTGGCTGTCGCCACCACCATTGTGGGTCAGAGCTGTATGAGCCCCATTAGCTAATGTCCCACTGAGGTCACATCATGAATGCAGGACAAGTAGGAGGAGGAGGAGGACAAGACATACTAGCTGTCGAAGCAACATCGAAGCAGCCACCACCGGATTTAGAGTTGGGGAAGATGACGATATAGCCATGTTGATCAGACAAGGACATGTACTTCGTCTCCTGCGAGTACTGCTGCGCCGATCCTTGGCAGTGATGTACTGCCACTATGATGGGCGCCGGGGTCTTGAGAGTCTTTGGTACATGGACATAGAAGCCAAGCCTCGTCGGGCCAGCAGAGAAATCGCTGACTTGGGTGAGCTGGCAGCTGCCAATGGTTGCAAGAGCAACGAAGCTCGCCAATGTTGCCAGGAGCTGCATGTCGTCGACTAGAGATGCACGTATAAGCGAGTCTTGTCTGGGCTGGTATCAAAGCAAGATGTTTTTGGGATGACTCTTCGTGTAGCTCAACTCAAGACGTGGAATGCGAGTATTCCACCTGGCCAAGTTGTGGTCAGCCTCGAAGTATATATTTGTGTTCCAATTGGCTATTGCCATTCGTCCGGAGCTATCTAGTCTCCAAGCCCGGTGTTCGTCTCTTCCGGGTAAATCTATCAGCCGGCAAATCTGGCAAAAGAAGTCGGATCACGGAGTTAGGGTGAGTGCGGAGGTCCCATTTAGACTGCTCCGGGGTTTTATTTAATATAAACCACACGTGGTCCAATGCATACAAGCTTTTCACTAATTAACTTTGCCGTTCCGCCGATGTTGAAGCTGCTTGACGCGTCTGAGAGCCAGTCCCATGATACAGGGTTTAAAACATAGCCGGACAAATGATGGCGCTTCTAAATGTCAAAAAGTACGATGGAGACACCGGGTAATTATAGCCCTTGGATCTTGGGTGAATTCGAGCTGCTAGCTACTACATGCAGCCGGAGCAAGGGCTTGAAGCAACCGAGCCTTTGCAACAGCAGGATATCAGGATTGAACGTCACCCGGCTTCTGACCACGGATATTGTTAAGCTTACCCCGCCTCACAACTTCGTCTTGGGCGCATCTGCCGCGACGAGAGGAACATTGTTCAACGCCCTTGGACCGGCTGCCCCCTCCATCAGCTTGTTAGCCGGTGTCTGCCCCTCCGCCAGCGACCTCCACCGCCAAGCCTTGACGGCGGGCCGGTCGAGGCTGACGCCCTCCATGATGTCAACAACCCAGCCCCCGATGTTGGGCAGGTACTTGAACGCATGCCCACTGCCCGCCGTGGCGACCATCAGTCCCTCCTTCCCGGGCACCCTGTCGATGACAAAGTGGTTGTCGAACGAGTCCGTGTACCAGCACACCCGCGTCAGCCACACGCCGATGCCCTCCGCCCCAAGCTCGGGGAGGTACTCGTCCAGGAACCCGCGGATTACCTCGAGCGCCTGCGCCGGTATCTCCCGGAGCCGGTCCCCCTCCCGCTCGCCCTCCCCGCTCCACCGCGTCACGGGCACGCTGCGCTCGCGCCCGTCGGCCTGCACGCGCGGGTTCGTGTACTTCGTCCCGCGGTACCCGATCTTGAGGTGCCCGCGATCGTCGACGGGGAACCCGTATAGCCCGCCCGCGGCACCGTCGCGGATCTTGAAGGTCCACGACGGGAATCGCGAGGGGTCGAAGCGGCGCCGAAGCGGCGACGCCTCGGGGATGCGGAGGATGACCACCGACCCGGCCGTCGTCTCGGCGAGGCCGTCGAGCGAGGGCACTAGCGCTGGCGTCCAGCCGCCGCATGCGATGATAGTCATGGTGGCCGGGTGGGTCCGGCCGTCGGCGGTGGTGATGCCGGTGATGACGCGGCCCGACTCGTCCATCGTCGTTGACGTCATCTGCCCGGCCACGGGGTCCAGCACGAAACTGACGCCGAGGGAGCGGGCCTTGTGCAGGGCAAAGCGGCACGCCTTGTCGGCCACGGCGATGCCGCCCGTGGTGTCGAGCACACCGAGGGCCTTCTTGCTGAACGGGTTCATGGCCGGCGCCATGCCCTTGGTCGCGGCCAGGCGCAGATGATCCGGGTTGTCGTTGATGAGTTGCGTTCCGCGGTGACCGGCGGCCTCCATGCCGTCCACGGTGGCCCTCTCAAACTCGGGTAGGACCTCGGCGTCGCTGCACGAAAGGAGGCCGTTGTTGACCCAGACAGCGTCTTGGGGCGTCATCCCCGGCGGGACCGCCGTGCCTCCGCGTCTCAGCTCGGTGTTCCAGGCATCCCAGGCCTGAAGAGCCTCGGTGCTGAGGTCTTGGTACTCGGTCTGGGAGCCATATGCCGAGCGGATGATCTTGTTGATGTCTAGTGGTTGGATCGTTCAGTCTCAGCATCATGGCACATGACACCATGGTAGGCGCCAACAAGTCATGCCACTAACCTGCAGAGGCGGCATCGCAGCCATCGAGGTATGAGTACAGCGTCTTGTCATACGGTTGCTTGTCGAATACCTTGACATTGCTGTAGCCGCGTAGAGCTAGATGGATTGCCGTGCTGAGGCCGAAGATACCGGCGCCGACGATGACGATGGGATCTGCCTTGGCCGGAGGAGGAGGCGACATTTCAGCTGTCTCTAGAGACTGAGACACAATAATTGAATCGTGGGTGAAAACCGGCGGTGAGAGATTGTGTGGTTCGCTTCCCCGCACTACCGTTGACGCAATGCATTAATGCAAAGGCCAAGGCACCGGTATCCTGGAGTTGGCCGAGCAATGAGACACGACTGTTCGGATTTTACCGCTCCCTTTCAGTGTTTACGGAATCCCCAGCGCTTGAGTAACCGCTTCAACCAGATATTTAGCTCTAGTCCGTTGAGGTAGCCGCAAAGCCAATGCAGCCCCCCTCGTTTTAGTCAGGGAAACTCTTATCCGACTACGACACATGGTTATCGGCACTAGTAATCGGCGCCCCCTAGTTAGTGGTCTGCTTGGACAAGTTGAGAACCGACCCGCCGGAGAGCTTGCTGTGGAGCCTCCCCAGACTCGGATTCCTCCGGTCAAGAGATCGACCTGCAACCTCCAACGACAATTACCCCAGAAACCGGGACGAATGATGCACGCCTGCGATAAGTTCCCCTTGAAATTTCTTGCCAATCGCGAGGGGTCGATTAGAAGATAGCGCCGCTGTCTTCCAGGCCAGGGGTTGTTCGTCGCGTGGCTCGTTGCCGAGATGCTGCAGTTGCCACACAGCCTTGATTGCGAAAGGTGCAACCTGTAAAAGTCTTGAAATACCCGACGACATCGCCTCCGGACTCCACGAGTTGTCACCCTGGGAGCATTGGTTGCATCCCTTGGAACAATAATTCAACTCCTGGATTCCGATTGACCAATCCAACCAAGAAGACACATCCGCAATGGGGATCAAGACTCTCCTGTCCAACTCGACCCTCGGTCACTATGTCAGGACCATCCGGAGCTGCCCCAGGGAGCTCATCTTTAACCGCCAGCTACTCCTCACGGTGGCCATGTATGCGATGAGCGGCATTCCTATCAGTAAGTCATCAAGTCATCGATCCGCAGACCAAGACTCTGACGCTCTCTCGTCTCAGCTTGGGACCAAGGCTCTAGTTCCGTCATCTACAAGCTCCCCAGCTGGCAGAGCACGTTCAAGCTCGACAATGCCAATCAGCCTCAGGTGTCCAACATGATCTCGTTTGTGTGGATCACCTGCGGTATCGCCTCGGGTCTTTGCATCATGCTCAACGACCGCCTCGGACGCCTCTGGTCCCTGCGTCTGTACACGGTCGTCTACATTGTCGGCCAGCTGATGGCTACCTTCTCGAATGGAAATATCGGCGCCCTCTACGCGGCCCGCCTCGTCTCAGGCGCCGGCATCGGGCCCCTCACCGTGACAGGCCCGCTCTCCATCGTCGAGATCGCCCCGACCGAAGCGCGCGGCCTCCTGACTGTCTGGTTCAGCATCGTCATGCTCGCATCGCTGACTGTGTCGACCTTTATCACCTACGGCGCCTACGCCAACATGGCCGCCACCAAACTGCAGTACCAGCTCGTTTACTTCTTCCCCAATATCGTCCTCGCCCTCGTCCTGGTCGCCTCCTTCTTCCTGTGCGAATCCCCTCGCTGGCTCCTCCTCAAAGGCCGTCGTGACGAGGCCGTGAGGGAGCTCGTCAAGCTGCGCGGCCTCCCCGAGTCGCACCCACGCGTGGCTTCGGAGCTCACGTTGATCCAGAACCAGATCGCGCACGAGCGCGAGAAGTACGGCCGGAGCAGCTGGACGGGCATCGTGCGCGAGACGTTCCTCGTCAAGGCCAACCTGCGGCGCGTGCAGATGGCCTTCATGGCGTACGCGCTGGCGCAGCTGTCGGGTGCCAACGCCGTGACGAGCTACCTCGTCCAGATCTTCACCATCCTTGGCATGGGCGGCGACGTCAAGCGCCAGCTCTTCCTCAGCAGCATGTACTCGCTTGCAAAGTTCTTCTTCACCATCATCTCGTCCTTCTTCATCATCGACGCCCTCGGCCGCCGCAAGTCTCTCTTCATCGGCATCACCGCCCAGATCGCATCCCACCTCTACCTCGGCATCTTCATCAAGTACAAGCAGGCTGGTGAGGTGTCCAGCGCGGCGTCCCAGGCTGCTGTAGCTGCCATCTTCATCCACGGGTTTGGGTACTCGATAGGTATGTTCTAATTAATACCACCTTCCCACGTTCCCAAAACCCCCACACTCGAGGCACGAGAATCTTGTCAGCTAATTGACCTTGACCCTCCTAGGCCTCCTCACCCTCCCGTACGTCTTCGGCGCCGAGATCTGGCCCAACCAGATCCGCTCCTTCGGCTCCGGACTCACGCAGTTCTTCCACTGGTTCTTCGCCTTCGGCGTCAGTAAGGGCATGCCCGGCATCCTGTCCGACATGGACAACTGGGGTGCCTTCATATTCTTTGCTGGCTGGTGCTTCATCGCCCTCGTCTATGTATTCTTCACCGTGCCCGAGCTGGCCGGCCATCCTGTCGAGAGGCTCGACGAGCTGTTCGAGGGGCCGTGGTACCAGGTCTATAAGAAGGCTCGCGCGTGGGAGGCTAACGTGGTCGAGGCTGTCGAGTCCGAGTGAGTTGCCCTGGTCCCCCCATGTTGGAGGCGTTGTGTCACAATACTAACTTGTATGCAGCAGTGTGAACAAGGTGGTCCAAGACGGTGACAGCGTCTCGAACTCCGGCAAGGGACGTCAGGAGGGGATGGATAAGATGGTCTGAAGGGGTTGTTTTTTATCGCCAAAGTTTCCGTCTTCGAGTCTGCGCGTCTCCTTGTTCATATCCAATACTGATTTGTGTTGCAATGTTTGTGATTTTATGTCTGCAGGCGAGCTCACTATCTGAGTTATCATACACAGGTGTTTTAAGCCGATATCTCAGTAACATGCAGCACCAATGCTCTCCTTAATTACCATGCCATCGGATATAGCATTGGCGACCGACAACTGTACGTAGATGCTCAAGATTGACTATCGAGCGGCATCAATGCAAGTATAATTACATCTATTCCATGACGTATGTACAGTACAGGCTCAAATTATACTCTCAAGCTTGGACTCTCCACCTCCCACCTTCCCACCTTGCATCCTGCCCCTTTTAACCCATCACCCGGACGTCTCCTTCACAGCCACCTTCGCAACCTCGTTCACGGGGGCCACAGGCCGTCCCGTCTTGAACAGCGCCCTGACGTTCTCAAAACACTCCCTCTCCGCCTTCCTGAACGCCGACTCCGTGAGGCCACCCATATGGGGTTGGCAGATAACCTTGTCGCTCATCTTGAAGTACTCGTTGATGTCGGGCTCGTTGCAGAACACGTCGAGCCCCGCCCTCGCGACCTTCCCGCTCTCGAGCGCCTCGATCAGCGCCGCCTCATCGACGACGGCTCCGCGCGCCGTGTTGACGAGGAAGGCGCCCTCCCTCATGGCGGCAAACTCGGCCGTCGACATGAGGCCGGTTGTCTGATCATTCAGCGGGCAGTTGAGCGACACGACGTCGGACGCGCCGAGCAGCTCGTGCAATGACGCGCAGTACTCTGCGCCGAGCCGCGCCTCCTCTGCGGGGGGCAGTCGCCGCCGGTTGTGGTACTTGATGCGCATGTTGAACGCCGCCGCCTTGCGCGCCAGATACTTGCCGATGCTGCCCATGCCGACTATCCCCAGCGTCATGCCCGACGGGTCCCGGCTGGGTGCCACGCCGGCCTTCCACGAGCCGCCGCGCGCCCCCCTCTCGGCTCGGTACGTGTCCCGCACCACTGCCAGCGTCAGGAAACACGCCATGTCGGCGGTGGCCTCTGCGACGGCGTCGACGGTGTTGCAGAACCAGATGCCCCGGGACGTCATCCACTCGACGTCGAACTCGTTGAACCCGGCCGACGCAGAGGCGATGATGCGGCAGCCCGGCACGAGCGAGCTCAGAAGGTCGGCGTCGAAGGGCTCGTAGGGCGGGGTGCCCATGCGGACGATGAAGGCGTCGATGGGACCATGTTCCGCTATCATGGCTGGAAGCTTCTCCTGTGTCTCCTTGCGGTTGGCGGCGTCGAGGACGGCATAGTCAAACTCCTTCGAGAACTCGGCGAGATAGTCGTCTCCGATGAACTTGGGTGTCCCGAGAACGACCACGCGGGGCTTGATGTCGACTCTGCTTGGCGACATGTTGTTCGCAGGGTGAAAGGGGTAGCTGATATGAGCGTGGGTGGGATAAAATGGGATGGAGATGGAGATCAAGACTGAGGTCAGAATGATGCCAAATAAAGGTGGGGGTACTGCGAATACGCGTCAGAGTGTAAGAAATTGAGCTTCCTAGTCACGTCCTTTCGTAGATTTGGTTCCTTGGTATCAAATACGACGCACCGCAAGAACCCTGTTGGCCTCAATATTATTCGTACAAGTCAACGCTATCGCAGAACCCCGAACATGGAATGATCTGCCAATCATCTGCAGCTTGACTTTCCAGTCAGAGCCAGTTAAGTGGCGTAGTATGGAACTCTGGAAGATGCCGGGGGACCTTGGCTCTGGCCCCGGCTCCTCCACCAGGCTCCTGGCTCGGATTCTCCCGAGGGGGGTGTGGAGAACGCCAGACGCCAGCCAAGCGGACCACTCGGGAGATTCCGACCTACTGAACGACGGCGTCTGGGCACCACAGATTGTCCCGGCTTCTCCCCAAATGCATTGGTAGTGCTGGCTCGGCGTTATCCACTTCTCAGTGCCGTCTTTGATGCGGGGGAACTGCAGTGGGGGATAGGCGTCGACCTGGAAAGCTGGCGATGATGACAGAGACGGGTGTCAGGATGCTCTGTACTATACCGTTTATGGGACTTTAGCTAGGACTAATTAGCGGAGACGCTCAAAAATTGTTAGGCCACAGGGAGGAGAGGAGACCTCCTCAGGCTCGTGAGTTGTGAACACCCGCCTCTAGCAGACTTGAGCGAGGAATCCGAACCGTGCCCCACATCAACACTCCAAGGTCCACCGTCTCTTCTCAATGAACGCACGAGACGCAACAGAAGGCCTGCCGCCCCTGGGCTTCATCTCGGTGGACGTGCACTTCCCGCGTCCGCCGGGTGACCCGTTTAACCCGCACTCATGGCCCTTCCCGCTGATCCACGAGCGCGCCGAGGGCTCGACCGAGTCGCAGATCGTTACGGGCGGAAAGTACGATGACGCCCTGATCGACCGCTTCGTCGACGCTGGGATGAGGTTAGCCGAGAGGGGTTGCGTGGGCATCATCACCAGCTGCGGGTTCGTGGTCGTGGCGCAGGATGAGTAAGTCTGATCCAATGAGAAAAGGGGAAGGCCTGCCCTGACAGGAATAGAATCTCCTCCCGGCTGCCCATCCCTGTGTCGACATCTTCCCTCCTCCAGCTCCCCTCGCTCCTTTCCCTCCTCCCACCCCACAAGACCATTGGCATCCTGACATACGACTCCGCCCGCCTGGGGCCCCTACACCTCCAACAGCTAGGCATCGACACGAAACGGCGCGAGATTCCCATCCGCGGGGCCCCCACCGAGGGACACCTCCGGACGATGATTCAGCGAGGCGGCGCCTACGTGCACGCGGACATCGAGGCGGAGCTGGTGGAGATGGCGACGGGGCTGGCCGGGGAGTACAATGGCCGGGACGACGACGACGGTGGTGATCCGCGGGGGCGGCGGCCCGAGATTGCTGCGCTGCTGCTCGAGTGCACGCAGATGCCGCCGTTTGCCGAGGCTATCCAGAGGGCGACGGGGTTGCCCGTGTACGATGTGTACACCATGGGTATGTGGTTCTACTCCGGGCTGGTGAGCAGGACGCCGCAGAGGTGGAGACTGGAGAGCTCGTGAGATGGGTGTGTGGGCCAGACTGGCTTTGGTCCTGTACTTTTGTTCTGTATAAAGTTTCGCACATTAGGTCTTTTAAACAGGCCGAGAGACTTCGAATACTCAGATTTCTTACATACATCATCGTATTACCATCTCGACTTCTCATTCCAGGAAATCCCCCTTCGTCTCCTTCAGCAACAACTCATACTCAGGCACGAACTGCAAATACATAATATCCGGCGACCCCGTCCCCTCCTTCGTGTACGCAGCCTCCTCGTCGCCGACCAGCGTCTTCTGCAGACCGGCGGCAGCTCCACTGGCCACCGCCGCCTCGACAAGCAGCTGCGTCTCGCACGCCCGCTCCAGCGCGACGAAGAAGGCCGCCGCCTCGGCGACGGTGCCGCCCCCCGTCAGCAGGCCGTGGTTCTGCATGATCAGGTTCCTGTTCCGCGGACCCAGCGCGTCGGCGATGCGGAACCCCTCCTCGCGCGCGAACACCACGCCGCCGAAGTTGGTGTAGACGGATAAGTCGTCGTAGAACATGCAGGAATCTGGAACCAGGCGGAGTTGGTTAGTTAGTTGGTCGGTCAGTCAGTCAGTTAAGGCGTATCAGCCTCCAAGGGACTGGATTCTGTATGCTCACCCTGGTTGAGCATCTCGATGGGCCTCCCGAACGTGGACCAGGCGCGGCCGTTGGGACTGTGCATGTGACAGGCCGCGTTGATATCCGGCCTCCGCTGGTGGATGGCCGAGTGGATCATGAAGCCGGCAACGTTGACGGGACCGTCGGCGCCCCCAATGCGGTTCCCCTCTTTGTCGATGTGGACCATGTCCGAGACCTTGAGCATCCCGAAGTGGGTCCCGTACGGGTTGATCCAGAAGGTCTCCGGGTCGACGGGATCTGAGGTAGGGCGGGAGGGTGCGTCAGTAGGCAGATTGAACATTGACATGGGATGACATACCCCGCAAGCTAATGTGCCCGCTCGCCCCGTCCGCGAACCCCAGCTTGGCAAATAAGCGGAATGCCCCTGCCATCTGCTCCAGCTGCCATCTGCGCTGGTCCTCCTTGGATTCTGGGTAGACGATGCGCCGGGTCCGCTTGGCCTGCTTATTTAGCTCGCTGGCAAAGTCGGCGCGCAATCGCAGGGCCTGATGGTGATGCTGCTGCTGCGGGGTGGATTGTGTCTGGGTCGTGGTGGTGGTGGACGCCATCTTTTCTGGCATGCGGAGTTGCAGAGGTACTACGCCGTATGGCAGACGTTATTCAGTAACTGCTAATAGAGAGTGATGTGCGGGCAACTTTCATCCTCCATGGTTAAACCGGCTTATCAAGCAATCATTCCTCTCCGAATGACGGATGCTAGGTGGTATCGGGTTTCCCCGAGGTGTGGAATTGGACGATGAGGTGCCGGGTGGAGAACATTGCCTGACGGGGAGGGGCTACGTAAGGTCGGACCCAAGGTCTCCACATCCTGGTTTTACATCGGGCCTAACCGAGTCCCATGATGACAGCTCCGGGGGTGAGTGTGACGACTTCATGTTGGGGTTGGAGTTGCTCGGATCCCGCCGGCTACTCTCGGGAGTCATGCTGCTCGATTATCAAGAAGGTGGAGAAACACGTTAGGTTATCTGATACAAAAGAAGCTGTTGAGACTAAGGACAATCAGACATAATGTTATCTTATCCTTATCTCCTCCAAGATAAGAGGGTTAATCGTCATCGCCACCAAGCTTACAGCTCCGTATAGACCAAGCGATATCTTGTCAAGACGTCTAGACAGACATCACAAACCCGTCTCTCCACCATGGCTCCCAGCGCCGTTGATCACCGCTCATCCGAGCCGTCCTTGTGGGCAGATCGCGACGAGCTCCGCACGTCCTTCACACTAGCCATGTCGGCCATGTACAAGGCCGAAGTGCCCCTGTATGGCGACTTGGTGCGCATCGTGTCAGACATCAACAAGTCAACGCTGGGCAACGCCCTCGACCCAAAGGTGCTCTCGATGCGCTACGGCGACGCTAGGTCGACCCGGCTTGACATCGAGAGGCACGGGGCCATCAGGCTTGGCACTGCCCGCGAGCTCCGGACAATCCGCCGCGTCTTTGCCGTCATCGGCCTGTACCCCGTCGGCTACTACGATCTCTCCGCCGCGGGGCTGCCCATGCACGCTACCTGCTTCCGCCCAACGAGCGCCGAGTCCCTGCGCAGGAACCCGTTCCGCGTCTTCACCTCGGTGCTGCGGCCCGAGCTGCTGCGCGATGCTAGGGCGCGAGACCTCGCACTAGACCTCCTCTCAAGACGCGCCATCTTCAGCGCCGAGCTGCTGCGCCTCCTCGACGTGAGCGACACGCAGAGTGGGCGGTTGACGCCGGAGCAAGGCCGGCGGTTCGTCGCCGAGGCCATGAAGACGTTCGGGTGGCATGACACCGCCGCCGCGTCGCACGATGACTACCAGCGCCTTGCGGCCGAGCATCCCATCCTCGCCGATATCGCCTGCTTCCAGAGCTGCCATATCAACCATCTTACCCCGCGCACGCTGGATATCAACGCAGCACAGGAGCGCATGGTGGCTGACGGGCTTGCGGTCAAGGACCGGATCGAGGGACCTCCTCCACGGGCGTGCCCGATCCTCCTCCGCCAGACCAGCTTCCTGGCAATTGAGGAGCCCGTGAAGTTCCCCGCGACGACCGGCCTGCCCGGCCTGCCCCTAGTAACGGGATCACACAGGGCCCGGTTCGGCGAGATCGAGGAGCGGGGCGCTGCAGTCACGCCGGCCGGGCGGAGGCTGTACGACGAGCTCCTGGACGAAGCCATGGGGGTGGCAGCGGAACATGCTCCGGGACAGCTCAAACCCGAGCAATTCGACCAACTTGTCGAAGAGACGTTCGAGAAGTACCCAGACGACTGGGACGAGCTGAGGAGGCGCGACCTCGTTTACTGCACCTTCCGATGCACCGGCAGGAGCATCCAGGCGATGACTCGACAGGACCTGGACGGACGACCTTGCCGGCTCGAAACGCTGATCCGGGACGGCGTCGTCGAGGCATTCCCCGTGACTTATGAGGACTTCCTGCCCCTGTCGGCGGCTGGGATCTTCCAGTCGAACCTCGGCTCGGGGTCGAAGACGAAGGGGGTGGATGTCGCAGCTGCTCCGGATGTCGACGGGATGGAGGAAGCGCTGGGGGTTGAGATTCACGACTCCGACGATCTCTATCGTCGTGTTCGGAGCGAGAGTATCGCGCATTGTGCTGCGCAGCTGGGTATTGAAATTCTTCTGTAATAGAGGGGGAGTACATGGCCGAGAGCCTAAATGGATGCGCAAGGTCTGCCAGACCTCTGGCGAGGTTATTAATGAGGCGATATAGCGCTATAACGTAGTAATGGTTCGTTTAATGAATGGTACAATTGAGACAGGCTGTCTTGGGGCAATCAAGTCCCACCGCCCAACGTCTCGCCCCCAAGGGTCATGTCGTCTGCCACCATCGGGTCGACAGCGAGGGGACGGCCGCCTGTGAAGAAGGACATGTCATTATTGCCACCTGCGGGGGCGGGATTGGCCTCGAAGTCGCGGATGCCGTTCAGCAGCTCCTCGACCAGCCACTCCGACTCTGCTGGAATGGGCACGTCCCCGAGGCCGGCAAGCCAGTCCTGGAACGACGCCAACTCGGGGACGGGCGGGCCGAGGGCCTCCGCGGAGGAGCCGGGACCGCCGAGCACGTCGCCAAGCCCAGCACCGAGCCCCGCGCCGAGACCCGTACCCCCGCCGACGGGCAACTCGGCGTCGCCGCAGACCATGCTGATGGTCTTGACCGACAGCAGCTCGAATATGTCGCGGTACGGCGTCGCAAAGTTCCACCGCTCTGCCGTGACGGTCAGCACCATGGTGCAGGCCATGCACGTGTTCACCACATCAATCTGCCGCGACTTCTCGCGGACCCGTGCGCACCGCCACAGGCAGAACAGGTACGTCAGCCCTGCCAGGAAGAGAATGTGCAGCGACCCCCAGGTGAACTGGATCGAGGAGCTCTGGTACAGTCTGCGGTATCGGATGCACATCTGCCTTGCCGAGGACGCGCACTCCTCGAAGATGCGGTCCGTCCTCTTCCGCCGCTCGGCCGGGTCCTGCGACGTGACCTGCTGCTCGCCCGTCATGTGGTGGCGGTAGAGCAGCAGGATCGAGTGCTCGTACGCCAGGTGGAACCAATCCCTCGACGCGAACACCGACAGCGGGTGCGTCGACGCGCAGAAGAGCTGGTCGGGGATCGATGCGTGCCACTCCTCCAGCTCCCGCCGGAGCCCGTCGATCAGTGCGTCCGTGTCGACCCCGTCCCGCCGCGATATCGACCGGTACAGCGTCCCGGCGAACCTCGACCAGAGCCGCCGCAGCCCGATGACGTGGAGGGCCCCCGTCATGTTGGTCGGCGGGTCACCGGGATCGATCCTGGGGCCCCGGAGGAAGCCGTCGCGGGTGACGTTTTCGTCGTCGATATCCAGCGGCAGCTCGACGTCGATGGCCTCGTCGGGGATGCCGAATGGCCTGCCCAGGATCAGGCCTGCGACGCGGTCGATGTCGTATGCGACCCAGAAGATGCGCTTGGATATCTCAACCGTCAGCGGGTCGGCGTGCTTCCGGTACTTTGCCGCGCTCCGGTGGTAGCCCAACTCGATGCACTGCCGGATGGCCATGCCTGATATCTTCCACAGGCTGACCCCGACCGGAGAGCGGACGGAAAAGACGGCGCAGCACAGGATCGCTTGGAGGGACTCGAACGTCTCGAGATCGAGAACCGGGGCAATGTAGTCTAATGCCATGTAATAATAACCCTGGTTTTATCTTAGAGTCCTTTTTTCTTTCTCCATCGAATGACTCGAAAGTGTAGGGGTTGTACGAACCTCTGCAGAGTCGCGTTGGGTAGCCGATGTGACAAGCGACCCGATGGCATAGACCTAATTTACACGACGGTTAATCCAGGACATACCAGACGACAGACTGAACGTATACAATAAGCTACTTGCCATTAGGGTAAAGAACAACGACATGGGCTTGGCGGTTTCGAGGTCCCCAGACACATTTGCAGCGGTACATTCCTGTTCCCAGTGATTGAATGTCGGCCGGTGAAGGAACGGGTACTGCGGATGGATGTTGTTGAAGTATGCCTCGGACAGCGCCGCCGCGACGCGTGGCGACGGGAACCTCGGCTTCTGACTGCGCCGCATCTCCTGATCGACCAGGTCGGGCCCGTTCACGTCCTGCTGTGAGCTGCTGCCCCTCTTCGTCAGCCCGAGGGTGGTGCTGACGATCCGGGAGAAAGACAAGGCCGACGACGGGCCGAAGTAATGGGGCTCACGCCCCGCAGCGCTGAGACACAGGAGCGCGACCTCGGATGACAGAACGTCCATATTCTGTTCCGGGTCATGGGAACCGGCTCGCTGTGCCTGGTCGAGCGGCCCCGCATGGCCGGGTGTCGACTGACGCTGGTCGTGTGAGGGCGGGAAGTGATCCAGGGCAACGTCGGGGCGTACCAGCTGCAGGAGGGACTCAAGGTAGGCCACTCGCGACTCCAGCGACTGCATATAGTCGCGAGGGCGATGCTGCCCTGTTGCGGGATCTTCGACGAGGCATTCTGCGGTTCCGGGTGAGCGGGGCCATAGGCGATGGAAGGGATCAGTCAAATTGGGAGGACTATGACAGGTTAAGAACACACCTCGTCCTGTCCTCACGCAGTTGTGACATCTCGGGCTCTGCGCATCACACTGCCAGGGAATATCAGCGTCAGTCGTGGCAGAGGTAGGTTTATCAACGTCAGCCTTGATTGAACCTTGAGTTTCTTCTGCTTGCAGTGGGTGCAGGCTAGCATAGTCCGCTCGCCGATGCGTGGCCGCTTCTGGCCGTGGGGATTGCTCCGTTGCGAGCTCATCGCGATACAGCCTGGGTGGACCTGAACTCCAATTACTGGGTGTTCACTCTTATTGGGAGTGCTTGGAGGGCAGACAGAAGGAATGAAAGACTCTTGCGCACCGCAGCTCGGGTATTTCAGCGCGCTGCGTGCGGGGGTTCTCCACAAATGTGGCGGAGATATCCGGCGCCATCAATTGTCCCAGCAGTGGACGATGCCCCCTCTCAAGGTGGGACTCCTCAATGGTAAAAATGAACATACAAACCAAGACACCGGTGAAGGGGACGATACTCTTACTGCTTAATCGATGCTTCAATGGTACAATTGCCTACACTGGAACCACCGGCGGCTCTGCCCCTTTAAATGTGGCATGCCACCCGGCCATGAACCTCAGCAGCACATCCTCCCTCCTTGCTCTCGCTATCGCAAACATGCCAATCGGCTGCCCATTCTTCTCTAGGTTTCCTAGCGGAACCGTGGCAATCGGCCATCCTGCGCAGCCCGCGTACGTCACTAGCCTCGACTCCGATGCCGAGAGCACCACGTCCAGCCCGTGCTCGTCCATGACCTTGCTCATGCCGTCGCAGCCGGCCAGCCGGTGTAGTTCGCGAACGGCAGTGGCGTGGACCTCCAAGGTGATATTGTTGCTGCTGTTGGCGGCTTTGATAAGCTCGGTTTGCGTGGTGTAAGCTATAAGGGCCAAGTCAGTATCGACGATTCCCCAAGTAATGAGCAATTATTAGCCATGGAGGCTTACGCTCTGGCATGGCCTTCTCTTTGTGCTTCACGTTCCACGCTATAATATCTTGCAGATTTGTCATATCAGCATCATGCTCAAAGTTGTTGACAAACTTCTCGACTTGAGCTGGGAACTCGTGATCTTCAGAGCCTGGATCAGCACATCTTCCCCCCCCCCAAGACTCAGACAGGGAACCTACAGGCGAGTTTTGTGAGATCCAGATCCTCGTACTTGAGAGTATCTGCATCCGCACACTGTAGTGGATAGACGATTCGACAGCCATGAGACTCCATAGTCTTGACGGCCGACTCGTATACGTCGACCTACTCTCGGAATCAGTGCCCAACACCGTCACAGTGACTTCCATGAGACACCTACCACGCTTGGGAGATCCCACTTGCCCTTCACAATCGACTCATCAACCCCCCACGTTGAACTCAAAACGCCCACGCCCATTCCCTCCCACCCCTCCCCCATCGCCTTCTCGTAACCACTCTCGGAGACCCTCGACCGCGCCTCCTCGGTCAGCAGCACCTCCGTCAGGGCTGCTAGGTCCGCCGGATCACGCGCCATGCCACCCACACTGTCGAAGCTCTTGCTGAGGCTGAAGACGCCGTCGAGCGAAACAGACCTGGAGCTGATGCGCATGCCGTAGAGGCCACTAGCGCTAGCGGGGTAGACGATGGAGCCGGTGGTTTCAGTGCCGATGCCGATGGGGGAGAAGCCGGTGATTATGCCTACGGCGGTGCCGGAGGAGGATCCAGCGCTGAACTGCAGACAACCTAGGAATTAGATGAGCGAGTCATCAGGACGGGGAGAGCAAAGGTACCGGCTGGTCTTTCTCGTCCAGGCCCTCTGTGCGATACGCCGATAGTGTCTGCCCGCCATAGGCACTCCATCCCATGGGTGTGTTGTTTGACCTTTTTCATCAGTATACGGGCCTAGGACTTGGCTCGTCGGATGCTCACTTTAACCCGCAGAACTCCTATGACGGCGTGTGAGTACAAGGTCCCACACAAGTTAATACAAATAGACTTACTGTGAGCGTCGCCTTTGCAAAGACTATTATCCCGGCATCTATTAACTACTTATTGGTTACCCCTGATTACCCCTGTTTTATCATTCATTCCTAAGTCGGGAAGCTTACTTGATCGACCAGCTTGGCATTGGCTTTTGCCTTGAGGGTCGCAAACGCATGAGCCCCGACGGTGGTAGGCATTCCAAGAGACTGATCTGTCACGATCGCATCCTGAGATTCCATACTTATTAGCCATCTAGTCAAGACACATCTTCCAAGATCACCGACCTTGATGATAATGGGAATGCCATGCAACACACTCCACACCCGTCCCTCCTGCCGCTCTTGGTCCAGCATCCGGGCACGCTCGATAGCCACCTCTCTCGGCATCACCGCTAGGACGGCATTAACTTTGAGGCCTTCGTGATTATGACGCTTAATCTGATGAAGGAATAGGTCCACCAGCTCGACGCTTGTGATTTTACCGTCAGCGAGCTGCTGCTGAAGTTCGTGGGCGGTGGAGAACACCAGATGCGGCGACGGCGAGGCCATGATCTTCAACAAGACAAGTTCCACGGATTGAGATTCATAAAATTGGAATTGTAGCAGGGAGGTTACACTAAGAGCGGAGCGGGGGCGGCACAGCTACGCGTCATGCGTCATATAAAGAGACTTTGGGAGCAGCGGGCGGCGTGGTCACGCCATTTATAGTTCCATGCCACAGGAGCCGTCCAAGTGGCTGCATGGAGGCGCAAGCCGGGTACCGGAGAAGATGTGTCTTCTTCCCCAGAACCTTCGTCTATATAAAGGGTGTGTTCAGCGAAGGCAATGCCCACATTTTCCCAGGTGTAACAGAATGTCTTGGATGCGGAGAAGGTTGTGCCTTGTTCCTGACTTCGCTGCCTAAAGGTAGACATAATCGGAGGAGTTTGTCGACATCAAGGTGAATATTAAAGTACGACGATCCGAGGCGTGGGAGGCAGTTCGAGAAGCTCTGGTTTCTTGGTTCTTGCGAGATCAGTGACGGAATTTAATTTCTGGGAAAGGAGTAGGCTGGTGCTGGTATTTAGTGCCGGTCTGACCGTTTGTGGCGCAACCAAGAACGACTATCCAGATAATATAAACCGGTAGGATTCACCAATATGTTATGCTAGCCAATATCATACCGGAAAGCTAGTGTATAAGCTGCTTTCTAAGGCGCTGCTATTAGGAACACCAAATGGTACTCGAGGAGGCCAGAGGCTATCTCGAAAACTCATCTGTAACGGCTCTTCGTCGTATTTCGCGAACGACATCAGCTCTTTTGGAACGAATCAAATGGGGCTTTTTTTTTTTTTTTTGGGCACAGCCGCAGCAACAGGCGGTGCAACTGTCGGCTAGTATGGCTAGCAGCGGTTAGTCTATGCAGGAGCGCTGCTCATTTCTAGAAATAGACTAGCCTACCCTCCATAGTCCAGTCAACCCGTCCAGTCAACCCTCGCGACGACTGAAGAAACGTCTCGTATGCGTCGTATTTCCTGACGTTCTGCCTCGCGGCTGGGCGGCGATTCCCAGCAAAATATAAATTCCAACCTCCATCGCGCGCCACCTGAAAGCAGCTCCTCTCATGGACAATCCTTCTCAGAGCAATTCACTCTTCCATTTGACATACTACAGCAACAAATAATAATCGACTTTCACCTGAGGGTTCGCGATTGAAGATGCCACGAACCGTCGCCAAGGCAACTCCGTTGCTTGAAATCCTGCTCGACGGAGGGGAAAGTACATACCGACCCGGGGACACAATCACGGGCCGCGTCGTTCGGAGTGCTCCCATCGTCTCTAGCCAGGCGTCGCTCAACATCCAGTTCCATGGCAGATCCAAGTCCAAGATGACGGTCAGCAGGGGGCAGGCTGGAACCAGCGTCTATCGAGGCCGGTTTAACTTCTTCGACCCAGGCCAAAATCGGCAGCAGCTGTTTTATGGTCCCATCCACATTCCTCCTGACGGGGCTATGAAGGAGTGGCCATTCGCCATCACGGTTCCCACGGCGCTCGACCCTTCTACAGTGGCTACAGGAAACCAACAGAAGGCTAGCTACCTGCCGCTTGGCCCACATGACGTTGCGACCCATTCGTTGCCTCCCGTCTTCCATGCTTCGGGTGTATGGATGATAACGACGACCTACCACTGCTTCGTCGAGTACTTCCTCGAAGCGGAACTGAATGCCGAGGGGACTGCCGGGTCCACAGACAAGGCCACCCTTCCTGTCAATGTAATACCAGCATATACGCCAGACATGATAACCGACTTCGACCTTAGCCGACGCTCGTTCCTATGCCGCATCAGCACCTATCACCTTGTTCCCGGAATGGAAGCTGCGAGCCTATCATTCCAACAGCGGACCCAGAAGTTCTTTGGATCATCCAAGGTCCCTCAGTTTGCATTCTCCCTCCAGGTAGAATGTCCCGGCATTCTGCAACTCGGGAATCCCCACCTCGTCCCCTTTCGAGTCCTCGTCATACCAGACCGGACCCAAACGACGGAAGCGATCCGCGATAACTCGCAGACTGTCACTCTGACGGCAATGAACTTCGAGATCAGGGCCTCGACGAAACTGATATGTCGCGGGACGCTTGCGCCGCACACTTCGAGCGAGACGCGCAAGGTTGGATTCGATCTGAAATCCGCCATTGCACAGCTCGGGGCACCCATCGTCTTGCCCTCAGGTGAAAAGTCGGAGCCCCTCGACGTTGGCGCGCTGCTGCAACTCAGCATCACCTCGGCAACTCCCCGCGGCCAGGGACCGTTCTCTAGATACAAGGGCCAGCTGTATCCCAGCTTCGAGACCTACAACATCAAGCATAATCATCGGCTGAGGTGGGAGCTAACGGTTACGACGGCGGGCGAGTCGACGACGCTATCGAACGAAGTGGATATAACCTTGCTACCTCTGAGCGGCCTACCTCTGTATGAGCCACCTCTAGACGAGCTACCTGCCTATGACAAAGCCGAAGGAGGCGACTGGCCAAAAGAGAAAGAATAGCTGCGGCGGGAATAGTCATAAGGAGGACGGCAAACATGGGAGCTCCAAGGCTATGATGAATAAATGCTTGTATGGGTAATATTAGTTTCATAGTGCAGTAATTGCACTGGCGGACGGTGGGGAATTAATTTAGGCCTCTGCCGGTACTTTTATTACTTGCTCTATCCCAACTCAGATGGCTGTTGTTGGTATAAGTATTTGCCTCTTTCCTCTGGATGCATCTACATAACCATCACCATTCTAGAACTCTCACGGCGCGCCTAAAGGAGGCATGAAATAGGATGACCTCTCCAGATAGCTCCGGCAACCTTGGGCATATAACTACTGGCTGGCGGGCAGCTGGGCAGCGGCAAACATCGTAACTAATTTCTCCTATTATGCGTCTCACGGCATGCAATCTTTTCTAGTTCCCGCCAAAGTCACACGGGCTCCCGCATCTTCTCTAAGCGCGAGCATTGACAGCGTCTCTGTTAACCGGCTTTTCATATTCTCCACGTCCGACATACCTCGGCGATGCGGAACCCGTGGAGCGGGATCGTCGCGTACGCGATGTAAACCAACGGACAGCCACTGCGTACTTGCCATGCCCGCAGCCCAAGGAAGCCAGTGACGCTAGTGATCGTAAGGCATTTTGTTTAATATCCCGCTTCGCCGGATCAAATCCGAGTCGGGGGTTGAGGCGATTTCGGGGTTCGGTCCGCGACTGAGTGGCTGGGCTCAAACCCATCGAACAGGACTAGCACTTATTAGCACCCGTCAAAGACCACAACGCGAGGGAGCTCGAGAGACGAAGCAATCAGCAAGACACACAAGTCAACGGTGCTCGGGTGACGCGCGGACCGACAATGGAGGTGGTTACCGTATGCTTACTCGCAGCTCGGTACTCGAATTTGACCGTCGGATATCGGCGAAGTCGGGGCCCGGTAGGAGGAGATTGGCCCTCCTCAATGTAAGTAGCACGGTATAAAACGGCCCCTTTCGCGGTTACTTGATCAAAGACACGAAGATCGTGTGTTTATGGTTCATCGTACTGTTCTGTTTCATTGTCCAACTCCCGCCTCCTTCTCTTAGCCTCAGTCCACACAATGGCGAAGCGGTGGGCAGATCAACCATTTGCCCTAATCAAGGAGACGGGGATTTTATCCCGAAAGGACATTCCTCCTGACCACCCAGCTGTTGCCATGGCGCAACAGATGGCCCTCTCACACAATGTGATTCTCCGCGGCATGAACGCTTCCTTCAACCAGTGTCTCGGTGTGCAGCCTGGCACAACAGAAGCCCACGACTTCCTTCTTTTCAACCAATGCTTGTTCGAGATACTGCAACAACACCACGACGTTGAAGAGACATACATGTTTGGGGAGATCGAACGACTCACTAAGATTGATGGGATCATGGATCAAAACATGCAGGAACACAAGGACTTCCACGACGGTTTAGAGCGGTTTCGCAAGTACGTCTTCAAGACCGCCGCGGGTGATTACGATGGGCAGACGCTCAAGGCTATGTTGGAAGGCTTTGGAAAGATTGTGGAAAAGCATCTACATAACGAGATTCCCAGCCTGCTCGAGTTGAAGGATTATGATGTAACGGGGCTAAAGAGGATTTCCAAAGAGGCAGGAAAGAAATTTGCGAGTGCCGGCGACAAATACAGGTAGGAAGTGCAACCTTTCCATTTACACGCAACGATCGAACAAATATTGACGCTTGGCTCCTATCTAGACACGTCCCATTATTCGTCGGCTGTTCAGACAGAACATTCATCTTCGATGGGCAAAACATGCCTTTCCCACCACTGCCCTTCTTTGTCCCTTATATCATCAGATTCTTATTTGAGCCGCGCCATGCGGGATCCTGGCGATTCAATCCCTGTGATTCGTTTGGACAGCCTAGGCCGCTTGGCTTCCTTAACCCTGAAGGCTGACGAGCATTGCCCCCGGTCTCTGTGGGGGCAATGGTGGGGTAGACGGCTGGAGACCGAAGTGGGCATTTCAGCGTGGCCGGAAGTATATCCGGAGGCGGCTTTCGGAGCAGACTACATACCCCACAGAGGGGCCACTAGGCTCGTCGGGGTTATTCGGCGTCAGCAGACTCTAGTTACTATAATATGTCAGAAAGGGGGCTTGACAGCTACGACTGGTCTAGGATGATAGTGACTGAAGAAGCGCACTTTTGTGTATTTACAACATCATGGCAAGCAAACCAGAGGTACGGGCTTATACAAGCTTGCATTGCTCGCGTTCCTATCCGTCATCCCGGCAGCGCTAATCGTGATGACTAGACAAGGGCTCACGTCCTCATTATTGGCGCTGGACCGGTGGGAATGATGTGTGCCTCCAAGCTCTCGCACGCCGGCATCAAGACGACTGTTGTAGAGAGCGTAAGTCCGCCAAGAGCCAAGTCGCCACCCTGATGATTGATGCTGAAGTTCGCAAAAGGACAAATTCATCCCTCCCATCCCAAAGGCCTTGACCTACACGTGAGAAAGCCCCATTCTGCAGCGAAGAAAGCCAGACGGTTCGAAAACTGACTGCCTCAAGTGCACCAGTCCTAGCAGATCTGAAAAAGCTCGGCGTCCTCGAAGAGGTGCAGAAAATCAGCTTCGCGGACGAGCATGCCATCTGGCAGTGGCGAACGCTGGGTGGCGAGCTGCTTGCGGACATGCACTGGTCTCTTCTCGAAGACCATGCAGATCCTCGCCTCGTCAAGCCCTACACCCTCCAGTGCGGGCAGCACCTGCTGGCGGAGGTGCTGACGGAATATTGCGGGAGATTCCCAAGCACGGAGGTCCTCTTTGACCATGCCCTGGTCGGTCTAACTCAGGATGCTTCCCAAGTCACCGCCCAAGTGTCGAGGTCTGGCGGAGAGCCGTTTGAGATCAAGGCGGACTGGGTGATCGGTGCAGACGGAGGGAAGTCCGCCACCCGAAAGTTTATCGACCAGTCGCTTGAAGGCTTCACCTGGAACGAGAGTTTCGTGGCCATGAACGTCCATTTCCCCTTTCCAAAATACGGCTGGGGTGCTGCCAACTTCCTGATCGGGGGAAAGGAGTGGGCAGTCGCCGGGAGAAGCGGACCCCTGACTGACCCCTGGCGGGTGGCTTTCGGGGTCGAGGTGGGCCTGACGGACGAGCAAGTCATGAAGGATATAGCGCCAGACCGCCTCAAGCGAATCCTGCCCGGACCGGATCCATACGAAATTGTCCAATGCTCCCAATACCGGGTCCATCAGCGACAAGTGCAGCAGTACAAGGTCGGCAGGGTGGTGCTCGCTGGGGACGCGGCACATCTGAACAATCCCATCGGCGGATTCGGCTTGACCACCGGCATGACAGACGCCGGCTGCATTTCTGACGCTTTGATCTTGGTCATCCGAGGTGAGGCTCCCGAGGAGTTCCTGCAAAAGGCGTGCGATGTGCGGCGTGAGATTTTTGCCACGGTCAGCAATCCGGGATCGCAGAAGTTCAAGGCCATGGTGCAGCAAGACCCGGACAACATCTGCGCGGAAGACCGAGAATTCTTCGAGAAGCTCAAGAATGACGCCGAATTCCACAGGTCGGCTCTTACCGGCGTGATGCGGCTATACACCCCGGTGGAAGATCTGATGGGCAAATAGGCGGTTGTTCCTTTTGTACCTACTGTAGTAATGCGAAAACCACTAAGTACCGTCTGCATATGCAGACATCCCCTCAGGAGTGAGAGGCAATGCTGTCCGCGAAGGAAATAACCGAGGAGTTGATAGTTGAAATGACTCCCCAGGGGTCTTGCGAACCGTACATCGCCGTCCAGGCGTACATGATCTGGGCGCTTGGTGGCTTCGATAACCTCATCGGATCCAAGCCGACTTCCTCCACCGTCTCTTGTATGAGTGCAATCAAAGACTGTTCGTCCTCTGTCCAGGTCGCGTCGCTTGATGCACTCAAGACGTTTAGCCATTTACTTAAGAACAAACCTGCATAGCATGATATTAGACCATGTGTAAACAGACGGGAAATGGGAATGACACTAACAGCATTCCAGAGAGAATAGATGGTGCTGCAGACTCCAGGGAAAGGTACCACTCTTGGTAGGCGGGTGCAACCCCATCTTTAAAGGGATTCTCAGTGCATCAATTGCATGCACAGCTGCTTTCGTACTCATGGCAGATCTATGAACGTTCGTCGGCTGGGATGTCATTGCGTGCGAGATCGCGTTGGTGTTTTGACTCATCAAGACCGCCCTGATCCGGGAGAAATCCACGGCGAGCCGTATGTAAGCTAACCGCAGGAGGGAGTTTGAATTAAAGACCAGCGGGTCGTATGGGCTCCGTGATGAGAACGAGGATTCGGGATGCGCCGTGGACATGGCCTGCCATTTCTTCAAGGCGATCTCGACTGTGGCGAGCTCCGCAGGTCCGCCCGGAGACGCTTGGCGGATGTGCCATACTTGCTGGAGGATGGCGTGGAGCACGATGTAACCTCCGCTCGTACTGCAAGGAATCGCCGAAGGCTCTGCTGGAGAAAGGAGACTCCGAAGGACTCTGGGGAAGGCAGCTTCAGGTCTTCTTTGGCAAAGCTTATGATACTCAGTCCAAGTCTCTGGCGTAGCTGCTGTCCACTCCCTCTCGGCACAGGGAAGAAAGAGGTCCATTTCGGAGTTGAGCAGCGCCGGCGGAATGTTGAAGGACAAGTTGAGAATGCTGAAGTACGAATACACCACGAATATCGTCCTGTCAAGTTAGCTGGATGAATATGGACGCGCATGGAACCTGATTCGCTTGAACTAGATGGGAGAAGTATCTTACCTTGTTAGAGTTTCCAGCCTAACCCATTCTTCCCAGGATAATTCTAGATGTGCCAGTTTGACCGTCTCATCAGCGGTAGGTCCAATGAGAGAACGCGCAATCTAGGACGAGATTAGATGTGTAGAGACACCACGGGTGGGTGACAAACGTGGGCAAGACGGGATTGGAGAGCTAAAGCGTCCTGAACGAGGGCCAGGTCACCGCTCCAGGTCCCGTAAGCCATTATCAAGAATAATGTCTGCATTATCCAGACCGGCGAATCCTTCGATGTGCTTGTGGATGACTCCATCTGCCGGAAAATGAGCCTCAGTATGCAAAATATGGCAGGAGGTCTGGGAAATATTACATAGCGAATGATAGACAGCCTTGCCGCTCGATAGATGATGTTGGCTAGCTCTCGTCTAGATCGATAGACGAGTCCAATGGCTATCATACCTAGGAGCAGGGAGGGATGCGCATCCTCTGCTCGCCATGTTGGGATGTGAATGCACGGCATGTGGCAGAGGAAAGAATTGAAAAAGACCGTGATGCATCCTTCAAGTACCATGCATGACGGTATGTGGAAACTTGACTCCAGACGATCCTGCAAAACTACGTCAGTGTCTGAAGCCCAGAGCATCTACAAGACCTGCCTGGACAACTCACCGGGTGGAAGACTTCGTCCATTTCTCTGATGAGATCAGCGCGCTTTGGTGCGGATATTTCGAAAGAGCCTCTCCAGGAAGACGCCTGGGGTTGTGCAAAAGATAAATAACGTGCTCTTGGCGCTCTTGCTGGTGTCAATGCAGAGGAGCAAAAAGGCAGGGAATGGCGGTCCAATGTATTGCTCTCTTGTTGTGGCCTCGCATGGTCTCTGGAATTCAACTCTGTGGAAAAGACTTGCGAAAGGCCGCCGATTCCACCAAATTCCATCGTCACGAATGTCTCCAAGTCGAACATGGCAGGGGCCTCATCAATCCTCCCCATGGGCTCGCTTGAATCCTGCCGCTGTGAACTCACATTCCCATGGTATTGAGCTGAAGTGTTGGCAATCTGATGAGGAGGGTTTCCGGCCGTGGTTGAGGGGCTTGAGACATTGCTAGGCGACGTGGCGCTCACAACTATCTCGGATCCTTCTGGTGAGTTAGCTCCTCCTTCTGCCGCGGGCCGTGAGGATGCTGAAGCGTCAGGCAGATCACCATGATGCCGTTGTACATGTCTCTTGATGAGATCCTTCCGAGTAAAACGGGCATCACATAGTCTGCAGGCGAAAGGCCTCTCGTTCCGATCTGACAGACGACGTGGTTAGTATGTTAAAAAGCGCTGCAGTGGAGGCGGGACCAAATCTAACGGGATCTCTCGTGGCGAGCAAGGTGTTCAGCACGAGCGAACGCCGAACTACACACGGAACATTGATGTCTGCGTGGCTTTGCTATTGTCGAGATTGATTGTGAACCCGCAGCAGTCAAAAGATGGACGTTCTCGGCTGCGTTCTCGGCCCCCGATGGTATCGCCGAGTGGTTCGGTGATGGTGGAACCCCCCGGCTGTCTTCAGCACGAAGCGTGGGACGAGGTCGAATCTCAATGGCAGGGAATGACGCCGGTCTGCGCCCCCAGCGTGACATGGTATATGTTCTGACACTAACGTGTTATCAGGGGTTATCAGGGGCTTGCGGAAGCAACCCAGATGGGAGGGCGAAAATATTCGAACATTGACCTTTCAAAGTATCGAGAGTGGTTGTGGGCAACGGATCCTCATTTGGGCTATAATATTGAAGCGTAGTGCAAAAGAAAGGAAAGTAAGAATCCCCGCGGGGTTGTTGGGCACCCCGGATTCCCGCCCCAGCAGCTCTCCTCTCATTTTACTGCTAAAAGTAGGTCTAGCTACATTGGTGGTTGAGTGGGTCAACTGGTGGAGATACAAAGACTGTGCGGGGGAATAACTCGGCAAGAGGGGATGGGGATGGTGCACGTGAACCCCCTACATTACAGAAGAGACTATCACAATTCCAGGGGATGTTCGCTCACACGTAGGGTCTGGCTGCTGCCACAAAAAAATGGGAATCGATGGGCTGCCCTCCAATTCTATTGCTGGACCTGGTTGGAATGGGCTTGCTTACCTAGAATAAATCTGCCTGGGACGGACTTCCTGTTAACGGGACCTTCTACTACTAGGTTTCGATTGGTTTGACCTTCATATTCTGGGCTCTGCTGGACTTGGGCTTCAAATAATACGCTGCACTGGTACGACGGCAACGGTTTTGCGATTGCTATTTATGATGTTGCACCGCTTACACTTTCGGTATCAACAGGTAACTTCCCGAATATTCACCTCCCACATGGATATTGTGACGTCCTTTGTTGAAGAGCGGCTCCTGGTGCTTGACCATCGGGTTGTCCCATTCAGGGAGAACCATCGTCTTCCCCGAGATCTGTAGCCGCAATCCCTCTCCCTTCTCGTACACCACGCCCATCGGCCAGATACCGATGTTCATTTCTACCACCTTGCCGGGCTCAACATAATCAGTCGACGTATGCGGATGGAAAGGCCAGTGCTCGGTCGACCGGCTGGGGTCAATCTCGCGGTGCGAAGCTCGCAGGATGCCCGTGGGACCCAGGTATTTGACAGGGTTGACGTTCTCGACCTCCTTCACAGACCTCACGTCTGACGGCAGCTCGTGGAGGGGGACGTTCGACTGCTCCATTGGTTCACCGTCCACGGACAATTTGCGCAGCATGACATATATGTCCATGTCATTGTGCTCCTTGCACGAGACAAAGATGCGAAGCTTTGAAAAGCCCGCAAGCATTGTCCTCTCCTGGAAGACGTAGTCATAAGTTGCCATATCGCTTGCGGCCGAGTCGTACGAGTGGATTGCCGTCTCGCTGGATTCCTTGTCCTGAAGTGTCTGATTCGCCGTGAGATACAGCTTCTCGTATTGGGTCCTCGGGATGGGATAGTCAGTCTCGGCTTGGTCATAGAGAGGGTACTGGGGGAGAGAAGTCAGCCGCTGATTCGATATCGGGGGGTTGATCGGGACACATACCCTATCTCCAAACCGGTACAGCGAGACCCGGACCTTGGGCGTCGTTTCCCAGCCGTTGTCCTCTCCCTTTAGATACCTCGTGAAAAATCTGTCCAGGTCGTCAACCGAGCGATAGTGGTAGTCCTCGTACCACTCTTGATGCGGGTGGAAGCGCAGCCATTTCTTGTCTGTGTTCGTATCTTTCCACGCGCGGACGGCGCCTACCGTGTGCAACATGGAAGAGTAGGACCCAAGGATGTACGACGGCACCTTGATCTTGCTGAAGTCGACCCGCTTGTTCTCCCAGTACTTGTCGAAAAACTCGTGCTGGGCAGCCATTTCCGTGACGTCTTCCTGTCGACCTCGGCCAGGAACACCAAGGAGAACCCATTTCAGAAACGGGGCCCACAGGATCCCTCCTCGGCGTATCATGTCTCGATAGAGATCGCTGTAGCCTTCCCAAGGGGCAATGGCCTTCAGGTGCGGAGGCTGTTGCATTGCGGCCCAGTACTGGGATATGCCCAGCCAAGAATTGCCTGCCATGCCCACAGCGCCGTTGCACCAATCGTAGCGGGCTACACATTCAATGATGTCGTAGCAGTCCTCGCCGTCCTTGGGTCCAAAGAAATAGAGGTCTCCCTCGCTATCAAAGGATCCACGAGCATTGGGGTCCAGGATCGCATAGCCACGCCCACACCACTCATTGGGATCCGGGCCTTCAAACTTTTCCAGCCCGCTTTGACGACTTTTCGGGACCCCTACACGGTAGGGGACCACGTCCATCAGGTTCGCGCCGGAACCTCCTTTGCCATATGGGGAATAGGCAACAATGACGGGAATCTTCTTGCCGCCGGTGTCGGCTGGACGGTAGATATCCGTGTAGATCTGAAGGATGGTTTGAGTCCAAGGGTTGATCCGCTTAGACGGGGAAAGAACTCACCTTGACGCCATCTCTGAGGACTATTTCGACGTCCTTCTCAAAGACGATATCGAGGTCCAGTGGTTTGTTTTCCGGTGTGCGTTGCCAACCTCGAGGGAGGACCTTCTTCTCGTAACCCAATGGGATGTAGACTTGCGGAGGATACCTGTTGGGCTCATCCGGAGGTGTTGCATCTTGCCATACCCAGTCGAACCCGAGATCAGGCACTTCCCCTTTGGCATAGCCGTGCCAGGATTTGTCAATCGGCATTGTGCCTGATAGACGCTCTGTAATTAACGGTAAAAATGGCGACCAGCTGGCGATCTGTCAAGCATGCCAAATATTGGTTAATTCTTTTGTATAAGAAAAGGTACAGTACATGCACAATACATACTTACTTGTACTTTACCTGTTGTATCCTTCGGCTCTTTGCCTATTAGGGCGGCCGTGTCGGGGGCACTGCCCCGGGGTTGTCATGATGCTGGACTAGAGCTGTGGAAACCCCCCACCGGGTATGTAGCCGGCGGTGGGGTAGGTGGGGTGACGGGGTGAGGTTCGTCCCCGACATCCGTAGCTCAATCGGGTGCCGTTTCCCGTCAGCCAGAGATTTCTACTTACCCCAACCTACCCCACCGCGGCTACGGCATCCGGCTCCATGACACATCCAAGCTTATGCCTTACGCTAGTGGCTCGAAGATCATCGTGGTTGTTAGGTAAGGTGAGGTAAGGAACCTTGGAGTAAAGGGAATGCGTCAGTTGCATGTGCCATTTGCTCCACGGGTAGGCGGTCAATGTGTTGCCGGTGGCCAGCAGCCTGCCAAGTATTCTGAGAGTTGCCCAACCTTCTGTTCCAAAAATGCCATACTTTGCAGCAAAGTACCATCACTACGGGATCGGGTAGAGCGATATAAAATATACCTAGCGGATTACCAGTAGTTCTGACGCGTGTCGTTGTGAAGGGATTCACAGTAGGCTTTCCGGCGCGCCTTTGCTGGCACTTGGCGGGGAAAAGGGGGTTGCCACTGGAGCCAACGGGCAGAATCTTTGGCGGGCTGCTACCACCTGCGACGTCCATACTCCCTGTCCGTGGAGCAAATGGCACATGCCCGCGGAGACATGTTCATGTTATTGGCGGGTTAGGGTTAGTCACCACTGAGACAACGAATTTTAGATGCTGCCACGGAAGTATCCAATGCTTGGCATGTTAGAAGGCTTGATTCTGGTTTAAATCCTATATGAGACGTATGCTCCGTGCAATCATAAGTAATTAGATATAGATACACCCCTGTCTCAAGCCTTTCTTCTCTGGCTAACATAGCAGTCCATGTCTGCCTGCTTGACCAACCACCAGTTTGTTGTTTTCCAAGGCCGATCTGGGTGCACTAGCTGGATGTGGAAATGCCGTATCAACTGAGGAATGAGCTTAGACATCTCCATCACACTGATATTCTTTCCTAAGCATGTCCGCGAGCCAGATCCAAACTTTGCGGCCGCTGTGTTAGCATCGGGAGCTTACTTGAGCTAGAATAGGGGAAACCTGCCTCGAGAAAATAGCGATCCATCCGCTTGACGACTTCTTCCGACCTAAGCCATCTCTCTGGAATGAAGGACTCCACATCGGGACCGAAAACATCCTCATTCCGGTGTGCGACCCAGGAGTTTATTCCCACCGTCGTCTTGGTGCAACTTCATTAGCTCTGAGTGGCGTTGCACAAAGACATGAGCACAAGCACTCACCCCTTCTGGTAGACTGTGGCCTAATAGGACGGTTCCACCCTTCGGCACTACACGGGCCATGGTGAAGCCTGTTGAAGGATGGAGCCTCATAGCTTCCTTCAGTACCGCTTGGAGATATGGCAGGCTCATAGCTTCTGCGTAAGTGATCGGCTCGGAAAGCCTGCCGTCACTCTCGGCGACGTCCAGCTCGGACCGTAGCTTGCTGAGCTTTTCCGGGTTCTTGCAGAGAAAGTAGACGACCGCGCGGAGTGCTATAGCCGTGGTGTCCGACCCTGCACCTCTGTTGGGATAAGACTGGGCACCGCCAAAGACCGAGGGAAAAATCTCCCCGGGGGGGGGGTGCTTACATCATGACAGTGCACATCTTGTAAACTTCGCTCATTGGAAATTCGCCCGGTTTCTCTTCATGTGTCTGGAGAAACCGGGACACAAGATCGCGATGTTCAGCTCCTGCCCGCTTTCTGTCTTCGACGGCTTTCACAGCGAACTAATTAATAGACGGAGTCATTTCAGTCATCCAGCGTCAAAAAATTGAGCATTTAGACGTACCTCGCCAACGGTCTCCAGGGGAGCCGATCCCGGAAACAATAGTGACTTGAGTCTACTATAAGGCGCATGGAGTTCCGGCAGTACACCCATTTTTGCCGAATACGACAGGAACCCCTCGAGCGTCTGTATTGTATTGCCGACATCTTCGCCCCTGTCCATGAATCCGAAACGCTTTGCAAACTGGGCACCGTGAGCGAGGCCGTCAATATCAGAGTCGTCCCAATAATCACTTACTGTTATCTCCCCAATGACATCGAAAGCATAACATTGCAGCCAGTGCGCCATGTCGAGAGCTTGGCCACTCTCCGCAAATTCATTCATTCGGGTCTCGAAGACCTTGACGCATTCGCTTACAAAGTCTTCCATCTCTAGCAAAGCACTCATCGAGAAGCCGCTTGCCACCATTCTGCGCTCATGCGCATGCCGCTTGATATCGGGGTCCGTGAACAAAGAGTGCCCCCCCGGCGGATCGGAAGCTTCATACCATCGTGACTTGCTAACCGTCAATATGCAGGGCGGAAAAGAAGGAGTCACACGAACCTTTGTGAAGCGCGTTCCATGGCCGTATATGACTCTGAGGCTGTCCTCGGGATCGTCGATGCTAACCTCATGCGGAGCGATGCGAACAATAGGACCTGTCTTCCATTAGATTCATCATTCGGCAAGTAATCAACCTGCGTCAGGAAAACTACCGTATCGTCTATGCAGGTCAATGTTGACCAGTTCCATATTGTCACGGGAGGTGTGATAGAGTTTCCATAATCTGGTATAAGCTGCAAGCCACGGCCCAGGAACTTGCCGCAACGGGGACCACCATCTTCTTGCAACAACCCTGATGAGAAACAAAGCAAAAACACAGAGTGTGGCGTGGGGCAGAGTCCATCCGACCGCATCATGTGCAATGCCGAGGAGGTGAGACATGATATTCCGAATAGAGGTCCTCTTAGTAAGATCAGAGGCGAGTAGGAGTATATTTCTAGTATGAGCTATGAGATGGAAGACGACAGTCTTAGCTACATATGTGAAGACTCCTCACCCCACCAGGTTCGGTACACGTATCCGTAAGGATGCACAGTGTTAGCTTGGCCCCTGCCAAGAGTCCCGGCCTTCGGCTTGGATGCCGGAAACGGCACTTTGGGATCGAGATAACGGACAGCGGAGATGTGAATTTCACTGTCAAGTACAATTTGCTGAGAGGATGTTTCTGGCTACATGACAGACCCAGTCGAGCGTGTCGTTCACTAGATAGGTCTCGAGATATTGCCACTAACTGCGACCGCGGAAGATTCCTGATCCCAGACAGAAAGATGCGGCTGGATACAGGACTCCTAGACTAATTAGAGCCTGGAGGGTCTCTGGCTATCTGGTGCCAGCTCAAACTCGACCGTGCCCGTAAACATCCTAAACTGATGGAATCTCGAAAACTTCAGACCCGCACGTAACCCGATCTTGACAATATCCCCAAATGTCCTCTCCTTGCCGCCCATGAGTGCCATTGTGCTCAACGACATCATGTGGCAGGTGGTTGGGTATCCCGACTGTGCGGCAGGAAGACGTCGCGAGGCTGGAGCGTCTGTCGAGGCAGATGATGTTATGAGGGTTGGAACGATGAGCTCGTTGACGAGGACTTTTGCCTTGGGGTTTTTTCGTAGCGCAGGTATGAGCTGCGCCAGGATCTTGACCGCGATGTCGTCTTCGTAATCTCTCCTGTGCAGCATATTAGCCACTGTTATACACGCTTTGCAAATGAATGTGTGCCGTACACAACGCCTCGAAGCCAATAGACATCTGCCACTGTCTCCTGGGGGGTGAAGTAGTCGTGGACTTGTATGTCTATTTCACCGCTTTCTATGCTCTTCTCGTATCCATTAAAAGTCTGGGACAGTTATTAGCTTGGGTGCCGATATGGCGGTATCTGTCGAGCTTTCTTTACCTCCTTGATGACCGGAATCATAGGCTCGAGATCCTGGCAGATAATCTTCAAGTGCGGGTGTGTTTTCTTGACTTCCAACATCACACTACCGGGACCGCAGCCAACATCACACACAGTCGTCCCGTATGCGTCCCAGGGCAGATCCGTCCGCGTGGCCACGACCGTGATGCTCGACAGCCAAGGAACACCAATGGAGAATTTGCGCCCCAGGTCGGCACCCTCTGGCGTACCAAGCCACGGTAGTACGCCCATGTCGACACCAAATGCCTGTGCAAACGCTCCCTTGGCGGGATCGATCTCGTGCATTCTCTCGGGGGATTTCATCGTGGGCAACCAGCCGAGACCGGACTTGTAACCCTCCTCGGTCCTACACCTGTTAGCCATAGCAAATGTTTGAGCGGCGACGGAAGTCCCATACTCGACCAACATCATCTCCGCTGCTCCAGTACTGGACCGAAGCTCGTAGCTGTGTCGGTTGTTGCGGAACACATCGGGAGCAACCTCGACGAATATATGACGGTGGCAGAGCATGTGCATCACGGAACCTGAGAGGAGACGCGCGTCAGTCCCTGGGAGTATTCCCGCAAAAGAAGCTCGCAAGACCAACCGAGTTTGTGCTCATCCGTGTTGCAAGCGCGCGCGAGGTGCGCCAGGGTTGCCTCCCCACCGTTCTCGATTATCTTGTCCGCAATCTTGAAGTCCGCCGCAACCCCGAGTCCTACTGTGCTGTTGTTGGCGACACACTCAGTGACGAGCTTGACCTTTGTTGGGGTCAGGAGCGCAATCAGCTCCTCGCAGTCTGCGATGATTTTCTGCGAGGCCTCCCAGGCCCGTCTCGGCGGAAGCTCTTCATCGTACGTCTTCCACGGCCTTGGCTCGAAGAGGTGTCCGGTGTCGTTACCGAGAGTCTCTTGGAGGATACGACCCTGGGAGGTGATGTCCTCCAGGAGATTTTGTAGCAAGGCCATGTCGTGCACAGTTGTAGAGTGTGAATTTGGTTGTAGGAATAGGAGAACAACGCGGGCCAAGGTAAAAGCAGGAAGGGAATGAAGGTGTTTGTAGACTCTGAATACTAGATGCCGAACGGTAATTTTAGTGCTCCACCGGCATCCAATCCGGCTCCAGCCGGGTGAGTTTGCCCCTAACCCCGAACCCCGCGACCCTTCGGCTCGGTTCCGGAGCGACACATCTGGACTAGTCTCAGTATTAGACTGCCATGGAAGGAAAATGATGAGCTGCGTCTAAGTCAGCAGGACCTATTTACTTGCTCCTACCCGCAGACCAATACCCGATACCTTACCACTCATACATTCACACAGAAACTCAAGTCACGTACGCACCGGACAACAACGGCCGCCAGGATGAGAGTTACTGGAGCTGATGGCGTTGCGGAGCCGAATTCCAGCGGGATAACTGTCATCGTCATCGGCCTGGGATACGCGGGCTGCGTTGCAGCTGTCGAGTGCCACCGAAAAGGACACAAGGTCATCGTCTTTGAACAGGCACCCGAAATCACAGCTTTGGGTAAGAGCACTCACTGCCACTGCCACTGCCACTGGCGGACAACTTGAAGACAAGGCTAATTGGAACAAGGCGATGTAATTGGAATCACCGGCAATGCAGCTCAGATCATCTCGAAATGGGGCGATGGCAAGGTCCACGACCAGCTTGAACCCTTTCTCTGCGACTATACTCGTCAGAACATTCACAACTCCAAGGGACAACTGCTGGTTAGCCACTCGATGCTTGGCTATTCCGCCGGGTCTGGATACGCTGCGAACAGGGGCGACATGGCCATTGTATTCTACAACCACGTCAAAGAGTTGGGCATAGAGGTCCACTTGGGAAAGAGGGTTACCGAATATTTCGAGACACGAGAACAGGCAGGTGTTATCGTCGACGGGAAGCGCTGGCCAGCTGACTGTGTGCTTGCATGCGACGGCGTCCACTCGAAAGCTCGAGGCTTCATTATCGGGAGTTCTGCTTCGCCGCATTCGACCGGTTATGCCGTCTACAGGGCCTGGTTCGACGGCAAGAAGGCCTTGGCAGACCCCGACTTGGCCTGGTTGGTCGAGGGAAACAAGGACAAGATGGAGACATTCATTGGCCCAGAGACCCACTGCATTATCGGGACTGGCAGACGCTGCAGGGACATTGTATGGACCTGCACACACCGGGACACCTATGACATCGCCGAATCGTGGTCCTTTCCGGGCAAGATAGAGGACGCTCTCAAGGTTGTCGAAGGCTGGGATCCGAGGATCGCGAAGGTGATGAAGAAGACGCCGGAAAACCAGCTTATCGATTACAAGCTGCTCTGGAGGGACCCGCTGCCAGGATGGGTGTCCAAACACGGTCGGATGATGTTAGTTGGAGATTCAGCCCACCCATTCCTGCCAACATCGGGCCAAGGGGCAGGCCAAGCCATCGAAGATGCAGCGACAGTTGCAATATGTCTTGAGCTTGCCGGCAAGGACCGAATCCCTCTTGCTCTGCGAACGTCGGAAAAGATCAGGTTAGTAAATATTGCGCTAACGAGCGATGAAGATAAGGCTGACATGGTCTCCAGATATGCCAGAGCCACGCTGGCTCAGAAGATCGGCATCGAGACGAGAGACGCCTGGCACAAGACTGACTGGGAGGCCGCCAAGAAGAACCCAAGGCTTCTGGAAATGCCTCGCCCCGACTGGCTCTTTGGACATGACCCGCAGGAATACGCATACGAAGAGTTCGCGACTGCCGCGCTCGCGGTCCTTACCGGCGGCGAATACGTTCCGCGCAACGTGCCACCCCCGGGGCAGTCTCACCGAACCGACGATTTCAGCGGAAAGAAGATGAAGGCATGGAAAGTGGCCCATCCAACAGCCAAACTGTGAAATGTGTATGCTGCCCCAAGTTTGTATAGTTGCAGCCGTGGGAGACAGGATAGTAATACTGGTCTTCAGAAATTGCCTTGGTTGGTGGCCGTGGTTAGAAGTTGTTGGAGGCAATGCAGTAATTGAGAAATTCAGTGTCTCTCTCTCTCCCATCTGCGATATGTAAAAACCCACCGAAATCAGGCCACCTCAGATGCCGAGGCCCTTGTCCGTTCTAGCTCGCTCACCTCCCTGCATTCCCCGCATTACCCCTCATGCGACCTTGGCCTTGGCTTCCAGTCCAGACTCCAGTTTTCCCCCACACCCGGTGGAGGTGCATTAAGATCTCCCCTCTCTCGATTCGTTCCTCTCTCTCTCAAATTGTCGCCGTTTTTAACTACTTCAATGGGTTGCCATGTCGGATGCACACCGTCTACGATCCGGCCGGGCCTGCTCGGGCTGCAGAAAACGGAAGAGCCGATGCGATGGAGCCCGCCCGCAATGCTCATATTGCGCCAAGAGAAACTTTGAATGCATCTACGCTTCACCGTCCCGGAGGGAAGGATATGTCGCCTCCTTGGAAGGAAAAGTGCGGAGGCTCGAGCGCGAGTTGCGTCGTCAGACGCCGTCCTCCATCTCTCCGCCATCGAGCAACGGCAACCTCGGTGCTCACCTCGATGCTCCTCTGGTTGTCTCCACAGACGTGACCGAGGAGGAGGAGGAAGAGGTGGAATACGACAGCGACGGAGAGTGGCAAGTCCAGCCAAGATCACTGGATGTAGTGGATCACGGTATGTCATGTCATGTACCGTCCACCCTCACACCTCGCGCCTCACACCTCGTGCCTCACACGGTCACACCGACTCACCTGAGTATGTGTTCCATCTATTAGATCAAGCATCTGTCCAGATCGTTGTTTCCGACTGCGGGGTTTCGCCCCACGCGACCTCCAACCGCAAGCGAACGGACTCGGCCACCCTGTCGGACAGAATCCGGCGCAAATCGAGGATTGGCAGCGTCATTCGGGCGCAGAACGAGCTACACCGCGACAACTTCGTCTTGCCTCCACACTCGCTTGCAAGTAACCTCGTCGACCTCTTCTTTGAGCATGCCTTCCCGCTCTTTCCCTTTGTGCACGAACCGACTTTCCGTAAGCGGTTCACTGCGGCATACGGAAACAACAGCGAGGCTCTCGATATTCCATGGCAGTCGACGCTTAATCTAGTGTTCGCCTTTGGCTGCGACTACCTACCTCTCCCGCTTCAGGAGATATACGAGCTGTCGCAAACCTTTCACCGCCGTGGAGCCGAACTGATACTCTCTCTATGTTTCGACACCAGCACTCTAGATGTGATCCAGGCCCTACTTCTCCTCTCTGCTCATCTACAGAGTAACATGCAGTTCAACCGTTTCTGGTCGAGTATGGGCTGTATCCTGCGTTCGGCTCTGGGCTTGGGCTTCCATATCGACCCCGTAGACTGGGAGATTGGGCCCGTCGAGAAGGAGATGCGAAGGCGTCTCTGGTGGGGCATGTACTCGCTTGACCGGTGAGTCCGGTGCACTGTATCAGTCGCCCATTCGTTGATTGTACGCTTACGTCGCGCAGTTTTGTCAGCTTGAAGCACGGTCGACCGCCAGCAGTTACCTCGGAAACGCTCCCAGTCAGCCCTCCGGCAACCGTACACGATGACTGCATCACAGACGCGGGCATCTCCGACGTGCAGACCAGCGACACTCCGTCTCCGATCCACCATTTCAATGCGGTAGTGCAGCTAGCTCACATCGCAGAGACAATGCTTGCATACATGCTGAAAGACGCACCCTGGTGCCTACCCGGATATGGGGCAAGCCCAACACGAGAACTGGATCCCATACGTCTAAACATCCAGATTGGGCTTGCAGTCGAGCAAGAAGGAAAGCTGTCCATGTGGCTTTCGGGTCTCCCTGACCATCTCCGGTTTAGCGCAGAGACCACCGACAAGAAGGTGAAGAGGCAGCAGATGATGCTTCGAGTCAGATATCTCCATATCCGGCTGATGAGCCACAGACCAAACCTGCTCTCTGTCATTCAAGTTGGTCGTGGCAAGACAACTGTGTTGGACGATGACTACCTCAAGTCCGTCACTATGGCAAGCGTTCGCCAGTGTGTTGACTGCGCTTGTGATATCGTTGCTATGCTGAAAGACACAAATGGCCCAGAAGACATGGGGGCTTGGTGGTACCATCTACCACGTGCGTATTTCTCTCACCCATCTACCCAGAGTGCCAGAGACCTGAGGCAGCGATACTTACAGCCACTGCAGACCTTTACACTGCCTTAGGCACGCTCTTCGCCGTGCGGGGGCAAGAGATACTTTCAACATATATCGACTGCGGAGCGGCAGACTCAGCTGTCGACGCGGCTCTGGACTACCTCGATCAACTGGGCGACGTCAGCCCTGCTGTAGCAAGATGTCGGAAATATTTTCAGTCACTCAGAGCCTGGTCGGAGAAAAGGCGGTCCCCTCCCAATACATCCATTTTACGTGATATGCAGGTTCCAGCCTCCATGCGGGCGGCTGCGAACACGGGGGAAGCCGGAAGCGGCGCCGACGCTGAAACTGGCTTCGACCCCAACCATGATTTGGTCGGAGATTTTGGGGATTTCTTTGGTGATCCTACTTCGGATCTGTTTCTGGATTCGCTACCTCCCGATTTGTTTTTCGACATCTAGGCTGGAAACATGTAATTACGTATTGTTATATAATTATAATATATTGATGATGAGTTTTCTTCCTCGAACTGGGACTTCACATGTTGCTAATGAAACGTAGCTCCTCCTCCACAGTCGAAGATCTGCCCGGTAATAAACTGTGCCTCGGGGCTGGCAATGAAACAAATGGTGTGCGCAATATCCTGAGCTCTCCCATTCCGCTTGACGCATTGCTTCTCAAGTATGCTGTCGAACAAGCCATGCGACCCGTCCGGTCGTTCGTGCACCTTCCAGACGGCCTCTGTCCGTATCAACCCAGGCAAGATGATGTTTGCCGTCACGCCCGGGCCCGTTTCCACGGCTGTGCTCCGCGTGAATCCGACAATGGCGGCCTTGGAGGTCACGTAAGCCGACAGGCCGGGGTCGGGCAGCTGAAGAGTCCCGGAAGCCGTGTTGATGAGCCGGCCGTAGCCTGCCTTTCTCATGTGCGGGAGGACGGCGCGTGTCAGGTAGAAACAGGCATTGACGTTGACATCCATGACCCGAAGGAAGTCCCTGGAGGGGTGGTCCAGGAGCGGGATGAACGGGTACAATGCGGCAAGTTGGACGAGGACGTCGATCTTGCCAAAGGTGGCGACGACTCGGTCGATCAGCGAAGTCGCCAGATCCTCATCTGCGATATTACAGACTCGGTACGCTGCCTTGCCGCCTGCCGCCTCAATTTCGGACTGGACGCCTCTCAATTTGTCTTCCTGGATGTCCACCAGTACCACCGTGGCTCCCTGTGAGGCAAACAACTTGGAGGTGGCTTCTCCTATGCCCTGCGCGGCGCCGGTGATGACGACCACCTGGCCCTCATACTTGTCCGGATAGACTTTGATCGGTGGAATATTCGAACCCGTTTCGACTTCCCAGGTCTCCATTTCTCTTGCGGGGCGCTGAGCAAGGTGTTAGTCAGCCTGACATTAACACAGTCTAGGCTCAGATTCGCATACCTGGTTTCGTGGGGAGTGTGTGGAAAGTTGTCCTGCGATGAGCTCTAACCGAGAAGACATTTTTGAGTTGGCACGAGGAAGTCCATACTGTACAGGAATCGGAATCAGATCTGTCCTGTCTGATTCAATATGGTACGTCGCACTGCCCCTTCGGCATTAGCAAGCCGGACGCAATTGGCCGTCCGCCTCCCCCAACCAACAGGATCAGTTAGGCCGAACCTACCCCAACCCTCACGGTAGATTGGCCCGAACCTACCCCAACCCGAAGGATAGGTTGGTCCGAGCCTACCGGGCCTCGCGCCCGCATCTGCATATGAGCGCCTATAGCTCTATCGGATGAGCTATTGCTTCTTGCTATTAGCGAATACCGACAGCGGAAATCCCAGCACCAGAAAGCCCAATACCAGCCTAGTAATTACCTGACTGTCAAGCCCCAGACAGCTCAACACCAGGCAATCTCCGAGCCAAGCGCCTGCTTACAGGATGCGTGTACTCGATCCCAACTTCATGCTCGCCAGCAGCGCCGCTGCTCTTCTCATCCTTGTTGCTGTCTTCGCAGCCAAAGCATACTCAAGACGTGGCAGATACAAGTTTCCTCCAAGCCCTCCAGGTCGGCTGCCAATCATTGGCCATAATCACCTGTTTCCCAAGCAGTTTACCGGAGACAAGGCCAAAGAATGGGGTTGGTACATAGACGCCGGTTTGGTTGTGGACAAGACTGACTTCAGCAGCGGACCAGCTTGGCAGTGAGATGATGCATCTCCGGCTCGGTGGCACGGACTGGGTATTCCTCAACTCTTCCAGAGCTGTGGAAGATCTCCTAGAGAGGAGATCGAGCATTTATTCCAGCCGGCCGGTCTTTGCAATGGTTGGCGAGGTCATGTCTCACGGCAAGAGACCTGTCCTTCAACCTTACGGAGAGCGGTGGAGAAAGGTTCGGAAATTGATGCATCAGTTGCTAACGGGCAAGTGTGCGGATACGTACAAGCCAATGCAGCTGCAAGAGTCACAACTGATGCTCTTGGAGATGCTGCAGTCGCCGGACAAGTGGCATCTCCATACCATCCGGTTTGCTGCTTCCTGTCTGTGACCCCGTTTGACCCCGCGCACCATCTTGAACGAACTGACAACGTGGCTAGTCACGGTGAACATGGTCTATGGCCAGCGGTTGCTGGGGAGATCTGAGATGTTCGACAGGGTTTCCGATGCGCAGGACGAGTTTCTGCGGAACAATATCCCCGGCCAGTGGCTCGTCGATACCTACCCGCAGCTTCGGCAGATCATCCCCACGTTTCTCCAGTGGTGGCGCCCATACGGCAACAGGGTGTTTGGGTACACGCGAGACGCCTTCAAAGCCTATTACGACCTCATGCAGGAAAATATCCGGAAGGGTATCCAGGAGGAGTGTTTTGCGACGGGCTTCTATCGCGACGAGAACAAGGACGACGAGGTCTTCGACTTCGACCAGAAATTGTTCGCCACGGGCGGACTGATTGAAGCCGGAAGCGACACGACCAAGAACCAGCTGAACATGGTGATTGCGGCAATGGCGGCGGACCCCAACACGTGGGTTGCCAAAGCCCGCAAGGAGCTGGATGACGTGTGTGGCCACAACGCCGAACGCCTGCCCACCTTTGACGACTGGGACAGGCTGCCTTACATCCAAGCCATCATGAAGGAGGGAATGCGGTGGCGGCCCAATGTCAATCCAACCGGCTTTCCGCATGCTCTCATCAAAGACGACGAATATGAAGGCTACCGCCTGCCGGCCGGCACGGTCGTGACCATCAACAACTGGGCCATCTCTCTGAATCCAGACGAGTACGAAAATCCGGAGAAGTTTGATCCAGACCGGTTCCTCAACAAGGACTTGTGGAATCCCCTAAAGGGCCATTATGGCTACGGAGCAGGGCGCCGTGCCTGCGCCGGCTTCCGCGTTGCTTCGAACTCGATGTTTATCTTTTTGAGTAGATTCATCTATTCTTTCGATGTTGAAGAAGATCCGGTAAGCTATTCAACTCCGTCCGCGCTCGTACTTGACGCTGAACTTTCCAGGGTTGCCCCATCGACACCTATCACATCCCCCTGACGCCACCTCCCGGCAAGGGGAATGACCCACCGTTCGTAGCGAAGGTCAAAGTAAGGAGCGAGGCACATAGGCAACTCATCCTCCGGCATTGTTCGGATTCCATGGAAAAATAATCAGTTCGGGCCTGAAGCATTTGGGCTTGGCTCTGATGGATAGACCTAGCGAAGCCTGGCGGAAGGAAACACAACTGTAACTACGCTAGACAGTAGATGCCTCAATTAGAAAACAGCTGTCTACACCAGTCAAGTCAAGCAGAGTTCATTCCATTCCAGTAGTAAAAGGCCCAGGATGGTCTATCAGTGACCAAGCAAGCACACAGCAAATGGCACCTTACTTTTGGATTTCTACCAGGCCCTAAGAACTGGGGTACGGTAACGCGAAGGTACTGGCACCTTGTACTCATGTACACAAACTCTTGGCTCGAGCCTCCGTTGAGAGTCATGGAAAGCTCGTGGGGAGACCGCTAATTGCCTATCTCCATCTTCGGAGAGCGAGCTCAATCCAACGATCAAGATTCCTCGGCCCAAACGCCGGTGGTGGGGAACGATCTGGACTGCCAAGAGACCCCATATTCCGAGGGTTGAGTTACCGAGGGTGCGGGTCGAGTCTGGGGTAACCCATCTCGTGTTTTGATTCGGCCCCGAGCCCCGGGACACAGAATAGGAGTGCGGGGAATGTGGGGGGAAATATTGATTTGAACTGCCAATGTGGATACCCATAAAAGGTTGTTAAAATAAGCAGCTACGGCCCATCTAGAATCTTTGGGCCACTGCGTGAATGACGCTTCCGCATGGTTATTCAATTGTCAATCATGAAACTCTTTCACTCCTCGAAGACAGTGGGGGCAGATGGCGATGCAGGGAGAGAGGAAGGCCCCGGGGGCGTGAACATAATGGAGATCGGCGGCGGGTCACTGTGGCATCACCGGAGGAACATCCTCATCTGTTCCTGTGTCTGCCTGTCTACCTTCCAATACGGTACGTACGGATCCCCACTCAATGAGAATCTAGGCCTGATGTGACGAGGAAATAGGATTCGACTACGGCCTCACCAGTGGTCTGCAAGCTATGCCGGGATTTCTCGCAGTGTTCGGTTACAAAGACCCGACCTTGCCTTCGGGATACGGGATAGACAGCACCGTGCAGCAGCTAATCAACTCACTGATGACGGCCGGGGCATTCTTAGGAAGCCTTGCGGTTGGCCCGCTCGGAAAGTTTGTGGGACGACGGTGGGCCCTTTGGGGCGCCTGCATCTTGAACCACGTACGCAACGCAACTTTGCTGTGTTTTTGACCGCTTCCACCCTGCTGCTGCCCTGTGGCTCAACTCTGATGAAAGCAAATGCTAACATCAAGCGCTGGAAGGTCGGTGCCATACTCATGGTCTCGTCTACCGAATTCGCCGCCCTCTACGCCAGCCGCGTGATTATCGGCCTTGCCAATGGTCTCTTCATGGTTGAGACGCAGCTGTACATCCAAGAGTCTGCCGTGCCGAGCTACCGCGGCTTCCTCATGGGAATATACCAAGTATGCCTTGCCCTGGGCAGCATCATCGGGTCAATTGTCGACAACTACACCGCGGACCAACTTGGCAAGTCGTCGTATCAAATCCCGTGCGGATGCTTGTTCATCGTCCCGACCTTCCTCCTGTTCGCGCTCCCGTTTCTACCCGAGACCCCCAGGTGGCTCATCGAACAAGGCCGAAACACCGAGGCCCGCACAGCCCTCGTTCGGCTCCGTGCGACTTCGACAGACCATCACGTCATCGACGCAGAGCTAAACGAAATGGTGGAAGCAACGCAGATGGAGCACGAGAACGACAAGGGCTCGCTCATGCTGTTCGACATGGTCAAGGGGATCAACAGACGACGATCGGCTCTCTCGGTCTGCCTCGTTGTCTCTCTTTCCGCGACGGGAAACCTCTTTTTTATCATCTACGGGACTTATTTCTTCGCCCTCGCCGGTACGAGCGAGCCGTTTGCCGAGACAATAGGGATGAACTGCGCCGGACTGGCAGGCGTCCTGCTGTCGCTCTACCTGATCACGTACCTCGGTCGACGAACCATCCTGCTCATGGGTGCAGCCGTTCAAGGCCTGTGTATGATGTCGATCGGCGCGGTGACTAGTTCTGGAGCCACGTCCCGCGCTGCCAGCAGGTGCATGGTTGCGTTTGTCGTCATCCACATGTTCTTCTACACCATGTGCACCGCGCCCTATCTCTATCTCGTCTCCGGTGAAATCCCATCAAACAGACTGAGGAGCCTCACCCTTGGAATTGCCTCTTCATTCGGTTTTGTCGCCGCCTGGATAATTTCGTTTACCATTCCCTACTTCCTCAACCCGCAGGAGCTCAACTGGGTGGGTACTTTCTGTTTATGTTCCCGAAGCGGCAACGAGGCACTGACAGACATATCTAGGGTGCAAAGTACGCTTGGATCTGGTTCGGCTCCAACGTGGCATACTTCCTTTTCATGTTCTTCTACCTTCCCGAGACCAAGGACCGTACTCTCGAAGAGATCGACGAGATGTTTGAAGAGAAGGTGCCGGCATGGAAGTTCAAGGGCTACGTCTGCATCAGGGCGAATGACGCGAGGGTTGCTGGCCTGGCCAGAAATCAGACGAGCGAGGAAAAACCCGTTGTGGAGGTTGCAGAGTCTATCGAAATGAGCGACAGCCAGCATAGGGCCTAATTAGTACTCGGGGTAACCAACAGGTGCGGCTGACTTGACCTTCGGAACGGACGGCGGTCCTCCTAGATTACCTATTCTCAAGTACTAAGCACTGAGCTATGCGTCTCGAATCTCAATCCTATCATGTTTTCTGCTCCGCTCTCCCGCAATGACTTCAAGGTTGGGATCATCTGCGCCCTGCCTGTAGAATATAATGCTGTCGCTCTAGTCTTTGACAAATTATGGGATCATGAAGGTGATAAGTACAGACGGGGCGGTAGGACAACTACAGCCACCTAAATCCTTATGTCTCTCGTTTCTTCGTTGTGATGGTAATAAACATGTCTTTCCAGTATGAAACACCGCCAACTACAGTGTAAGTCCCTACTCGGTCTTTGTCGGCCGCCGAGACATTATACCGGCGAAGCAACTGCCACGAACAGGTTAGCCTCTTTACTCAACGTTTTCAAGCAGAGCCGTACCTGCATGGGAGCCTTGAAGATCTCCATGTGCGCAATATCTTTTCCCAGACACACGCGCGCGCCGTAGCCAAAGCCAAAGAAGTACTTCAGGTACTTCTTGCATTGCTCTGGGTCTAGCCACCTCTCAGGAACAAACTCTTCTGCGTCAGGTCCATACATGTCCTTGTCTCGATGGATCAAGAAGGGAGTCGAAGCCACCTCGGTGTCCGGTGGGGCAAGCTTGCCATTGAAGTCGATTCCGGGCGCTGATACGAGTCGAGGGAAGAGGGCAGGTGACGATGGCCAGAGTCGCATGACCTCACGCACGCAAGCGACATAATACGGACAGTGTTTGGACACCTCTTCGTACTGCGGCGTGGCTGACAGATGCCCATTTCTCTCCGCCTCGTCAATCTCGTCCACCAGCCGCTTGTAGATTTCGTGCCGCGTGATGCACTGATGGATCAGCCCCTGCATCACGGTTCCCGTCGTGTCAGCACCAGCAAGCAAGACGAGGAGAATCTCCGACTTGATGTATGAAATCTCTAACGGTTTGCCCTCTGCCGTCCTCGCCTTCAAGAAAGTCTGTAGGAGATCCTGGCGGCCCTCTTTTCCATACTCTATGTCTTTCAGACGTCGCTCTAGCAACTCGTCCCGGAGCCTCATCAGGATGCCAAGGCCATTGCTGTCGTCAGGACTGGATTCAAAGTATTTCCGGCCGAGCCAACTCTTCTTGGCCATCTTCAAAAAGGGGTACAGGCGGTTTAGGATGGCTTTCTCTCTAAGTCCCGCATGGAGGTGCTTGATGATGTCGTCTCGGTCACATCCGGCCTCGACAAATCCGATGGGAGCGCCGAAGCCAATCTCGCTGATGACGTCGTACGCGAGAAACCTAGTCAAACATGTCAGCATCGGAGGAGAATCTCCTGTCAACAACAGGGGCGAGACATGATCCGATCTAGTATGTCACCGGTGGCAGGGCACTCACACTGTCCACGGGGTGAAATCCACGGGCTTGTTCTTGTCCACAAATTCAGTCTGCAACCGTTCCAACCAACGTGATACTCTCGCGTCGACTAGAGGCTCCATTTTCTTGATGTTGGAAAAGCTGTAAGGGCCTGCCATGACCTTGCGAAGCTGGGTGTGCTTGTTGTGATCTCGTGTTACCAGGATATTCTCAACCGGACCAAAACTGGGGCTGATGTAGTAGTCGGACTTGTCAGCCAGGCGGTTGTACATCTCGGGCAGCTTTTTCGAGTCGCTGACCAAGAGCATCGTCGGTGTTACTCGAATGACGGGTCCTAGAATGCCACATTTCAGTCTATGGTTCCTCTGGATCGGCATAATAGAGGGGAAACAGTACCATATTTAGCATGTAGCTTCTGTTGGGTCTCCAACTCGGTGCCCCAGTAGAATTGAAGCGCAATCCATATTCTCGTGACTCCTCCCCAGAATGGGCCCGGGAACTTTGCCAAAGGGTGAAAGAAATGATAGTGAATGATCTGGGCAACAAACTGGAGGGCAACGGCCGCGACGGCGGCGGCGACAGCGAGTGGAATCCACGTTAACAGTTGGTTCAATGCCATGATAGCAGTCTCTTGCGGATCTCAAGCAGTTTGGTATCACAAGCCAGCCTTTCGATACATGAGCCAACCAGGAAAGGGTTTTTTTATCCTTTCTATCAAAAAGTTCAGGGCTGCTCGCCGTTCCAGTTAGTTGAGAAATTTAGCATCGAGATCGTCTGGCTGATCAGGAACGTGGCTTAGACGACGACCATAGGCCAGGACAAGGAAAAAGGAAAGCGAAACAGGGAAACCCCCCACATCGGGTCGACTCTGCCTAATGTGCCTCAATCGTAGGTTGGAGATCATCCATGTCAGCAGGGGGGTGGAATGCGGCGGCGAGGATCCACACAAGTTTCTGCAGTAATTAGTGGCCCACCTGCAACTCTCCACTCCACCTCAACGGGACAATGCAATGAGTCGTCGAGACCCACCGTAGTAGACTCTCACGCAATGATGCAATGATTCAGCGCCGATTGTATGCAGTGAGTGGCTCTATGACGGAACCTCGTGAGAGGGGTCGTACTCTGGTAAATCAAGGACTGTTGGAAAAGGGTATCGAGGGTACCGCCGTTTTCTATCTCTCGGCATTCTGTCTCTCGGCACCCGAGTAATCACCTGTTTTCTTCACGACAGCACAGAGAAACGCTGATCAGAGCTTGTGTTTAACATGGAGGCAAAAGCAATCGAATTCATCAACGAGGTGGCATCAAGACCTGGCAACGAACATGTCGACTCGATATGGTATTCCGTCGCGGTAAGCAATGCAAACTCGACGTCCGTCTGGAAAAGGATAGACGATCAAATCTCTCTGTTACCATGTCATGCTGACGAGACCTTTTCTTCACCCGGCATAGGCGTGCGCGTTCGCAGGCTGCAACGAGGGCCCCATGGTTCCTCACGTCTACCGGGCAGCGATCGCTCGACACCCAGACGACGCGGAAGCGCGGAGAACAATTTTGCGGAGGATGAAAGGTAAGAAGACACTTTCGAAGCCCTGATCACCTCCCTCCCAGTCACACCGTCCGGATGGCAGTTGAAGACAACGACTGACACCCGAGCCCTTGGGCAGAATCGCTCATCAACGGTGCTTTCATCTACGGAGACCCTCGACTGCTCAATGCCTTTTATCCGCTCGCCGAAGCCATCCCGGACCAAGAGTCCGTGGATCGAGTAGTGGTAAGGAAGGACATCGAGAACCCATACGACATGACAGGTCGTGGGGAGGAATACATGAGACGCGTCTTTGGTGCGTCCGACATGGATCGATTCCTCAAGACCATGGATGATTATTGGCCTGATCTTCGTATGTCTCCTTTTTCTTCTTTTTTTCCGTACATAACGAATTGTGTCAGCCAACGAGTTATAAACTAACCCTGACACCCGCCCACCTTCCCCCGATTGATAGGCAAGTTGGTCGTGAACTATTGCTACGGCATGTACCAGTCCGAGCGATCTGTGCTCACTGATCTCGACACATCGCGACTGTCTCTGGCGTCATTGGTGACCATGGACGTGCCGAAGCAACTCGGCTGGCACATGCGCGGGTTCATCAATCTGGGAGGCACGCGCGCGGAATTAGTCAAGACGCTGGACATTGCGAAAACCATTGTGGACATCACGGGTGTTAAGCTGAAAAATGAGTTGCCGGATATTGACGAGACTATCACTGCGGCTAAGCTGGTGTGAGAAAGGGACACGGAGGGGGGAGGCGCATGACGACACCAGACAGAGGCATATATGCACTGGAATTAATCGGTGATATAAAAACTCATTGGTGACATCGCAATACTTTCAGTGAATCCCCCCCCTCCCCCGCACCCCCCCCTTTTTTTTTTCTTTTTCGTTGAGCGTACTGTAATTACATGCCGAAAGAGAGAGAGAGAAAGAAAAGGAATGAATCCGCCCAGCGAATATCTCACGGAATGATCTTTGCCTCGCGAAATCTCTCAAAGGCACAGAACCAGGAACTCTGCTCGTCGGCTTCTTCAGTGAATCCGACTTCACGCATAGCCTCGAGCGACATGGTGCGATCGAAGGTGAACAGCGACATGATGTATTTCTGGAATCCCGGATTGGCCATCTCGTTGTCCAGAGACTCCAGGCGCAGCTGATGGTCACGAGCGAGTCGGATCCAGGCGTCTCGGTGCTGCTGGATGTACGAACCCGGCTGGGGCGCGTCTGTCGCGGGTCCTGTGCCCTCCAGCCCGAAAAAGGAGCAGATGACGGGCCATTTGGTCGACCACGAAGACGGGCTGTCCCGGTCTGCTACGTTGAACGCCCTGCCTCCGCCGGCCGTCCCGGGGCGCAGCGCGGCGTGGATGCTGAACCGGGCCACGATGTCCTGCGATGAGTCGTTGGACAGGATCGTCCAGGACTTGTCGTTTCCGGGGAACGGGACACTGCTTCCCGCGCCGTTAACGTGGGCGTAGAGCGAGAGGTAGATGGTGAGGATCTGCGCTAGACAGTGGGCGTTGTTGTTGGGTACGAATCCCACCACCATGTCCGGCCGTACTTCGCAGTACGTCCATTTCTTGCCTTCGGAAAGCATCTTGAGTCGATCGACCTGCCAGTAGTAGAAGAGTTCAGACGCGTGAGGCTCCGGAATCCGAGGCAGCGTCTCCTTGAGGGGCAGCTGGTCTTTAAAGGGAAAATTGTCTAGGAGATGGAATCCGTAGGTCTGAATAAACCAAAAACGTCAGTGGCGTTTCGTCTTCTTCTTCTTTCCTTCTTTCCTTTTTCTGGGAATTTGTCGCTGTCTTGACGAGGTGGAGAGGGGATAATATGCCTGACCTTGCCGCCAGTCGGAAGCACAATGAACTCGAACCCCGGACTCAAAGTCTCGATCGCCGTGACACATCTTTCAAGCATGGTCGCGTTTTCGCGCGACTGTTGGGCCATGTCGGTGGAAAATTTGTACGCTGTTCAAACCGACGTCAGTCATGATTCCTTTCTCCGAACTCAACCGCCCCCCCCCCCCCCTCCCCCCCACCCGGGGCCCAACACGTCGAAATACTCCACGTACAATTGAAGAAAACGTGCGTTACCGTGTCGACCTGAGGAATGCCGGCCTTGAACGCCTCTTGGAATTGTTCCTGGCTCCCTTTCAAGAGATCGATGCCACCTACGACGTTGAGCTTGTCACTCTTCGGCCATCGAGCAACGTTTGCGGGGAGAGGACGATTTGTCAAGGCAGTGACTGTGGTGAACCTCTGGGCATCCGCGTGGTCGGTAAGAAGCTCCCTGACGATGGCCCATCCGGTGATCCCAGACGCGCCGAGCACGAGAGCATGTTTTCCGGTCATGATGTGGGTGCTTTTGATGTAGGGTGGTGAATTTCTAGGTGGTGTATCTTTCCAGGAGAGAGGATGGAAGGAGGAGAAACGCGGTCGGGACTGGGGACCCGGGGCTTGAAATACGTAGTCCCGCCTATTTCTCCATCCTGAGTGGCTCGGGGAAAACGCAATGAGTAATTACCATTGCTGATCTATGGAGATTGACACATCTGGGCAATAATTACATACGCAATGGATCGAGGAGACACATGCACAGAGAAGCAGATATACAGACTTACTGACAGGGGTTGGACAATTCCGTGCTCTGTGCCAGCAAACCTGATAATTTACTGGAATTTGTCCGCCATGGTTCGAGCATTATCACTCTCTAGCAGAACCAACCACCGTCAACGCTATACGTCGCTCCTGTGATAAATCCGGCCTCATCGCTCAACAAGAAGGCCACGAGCGCAGCCACCTCTTCCGGCTTGCCATGCCGGCCGAGTGCGATCCGCGAAGCCTCCGACTCCTTGCCCAAATTCTTGTCCGAGATCTTTTGAGCAGCCAAGTTCATGGGCGTCGCTATCGGTCCGGGAGCGACGCTATTGACTCTCACTCCGCGTTTTCCAATCTCCTTTGCCGCCGACTTGGTCAATCCCACGACGCCGTGCTTGTTCACCGCGTACGAGGCGGCAAACGGCCGTCCGATCTGGCCGGCGATGCTGGAAGCGTTGACGATGCTGCCTCCGTCCGAGATGGCCTTCATTTGGGCTCGCATGCAGTGCATTACGCCGGTCAAGTTGACCGAGATGTTGAAGTTCCAGTCATCTTCGTCACAGTCCTCCACCCCGTTGACGCCGATCGTCTTTCCGATGACTCCGGCGAGATTGGCAGCGCCGTCCAGCCGGCCAAAGGTCTTGACGGTGCCGTCAATCCATGCAGTCACGTCGTCGACATTCTGGACGTCGACCTTGAAGTAGATGACTTCGACATCGTGGGCGGCTTTGATCTCCTCGGCAATCTTCCGCAACGGCTCCGCGTTGATATCGGCAAGGGAGAGCTTTGCACCTCTCTCCGCCAGGTAGTGTGCCGTGGCATATGCGATGCCCGATGATGCCCCTGTGATGGCGATGACTTTGTCTTGCACCGGGGAGGGTATCATCCGTACTCGGCTGGTGCTACTCATGTCTGTGGGCGTGTCTTGAAAGCTGCGATTGGGTTCTGGGATTGGAGGGAGGATCAACGGAATGGCTACTCTTCGGTTCTTTCGATTTCTGTCGCGAATGCCTAGTTACAAGTAATAACTAATAGATTTTGCTTGGCTGAAGTCGGGCAACCCGCGTCATTTTTGCTTCCTTCTTTTCCAACGACAAACGAATTTCCGAGGCAACGGGGAGAACGATAGCCACTCGTCCGACCAGCGTGCGGAGACGGAAATGTGCCTGGACAGTCTAGTTCGTGGGTACAATGGAGTTGATAGGTCAGCCAAGTTCACATCGGGCCCAAGCCCCGATCCCGATCTGATCAAGGCAATGATTCATTGCCTTTTGAACCTTGAACCCAGACACAACCCCTTGTCAGACACCCATAATTACCCGCTAGACTAGAACCGGGATGCTGCACGACGCAACGAATCATTGCCTTGGAAGCTTGGAAACCCACGAGACCCGCATTCCGGGTATCAGAATGGCACCCACAGAATCAGGTCTCGGGATCCCATCGGATGGTTGGGCTTGCGCGTGAGGGGTTGCATGGTTCTTCCCAAAGAAGACAGGCTTTTTGCATGCGCGTCTTGCTCTCCATCCAGATCCGGCCCCAACGTGTTCGTTGTATCACCACTCACCAATCGCCAATCACCATGTCGCTAGACTACAACTTTCGCGGCAAGGTAATCGCCGTCACAGGAGGTGCTTCAGGCATCGGGCTTGCGACGGTGAAGCTGCTTGCTCAGGCAGGTGCCCGGCTGTCCATTGCGGACGTGCAGCAGAAACCACTGGACGACGCGGTGGCGGAAATCAAGGCCACAGGCGGCGAGGCGCTTGGCTTTGTCGTGAACGTGGCCGACGCAAGCCAGGTGAATGCGTGGATTGACCAGACGGTGCAACACTTTGGCCCGCTGGACGGTGCTGCCAACGTCGCGGGCGTCATTGGAACGGGAATCAACAAGAATCGCGTCGAGGAGATTGAGGATGACGACTGGGCCCTTGTGCTGGGCATCAACCTGACGGGCGTCATGCACTGCATGAGGGCCGAAATCCGCAATGTTCGCCACGGGGGTAGTATCGTGAACGTCACCAGTGTCGCGGGCAGCGTGGGCTTTGCAAAGAACTCTGCCTACAGTGCGGCCAAGCATGGTGTGGTGGGATTGTCTCGCTCTGCTGCGAAGGAGGTGGGCGACAGGCACATCAGAGTCAACTGTGTAGCGCCGTGAGTCTTTTCCTCTTCCTCCTCCTTCGTCTTCTTCGTCTTCTTTATTTCCCCCCCTCTCCATGATCATGCCGACTCTGACGGATTTACAAACACAACCTAGTGGCCGTATCGAGACACCTTTACAACTCAAGTCTGTAGAGATGTTGGGACCCAATATCCCTACGCCGTTCGCCATCAAGCGCAAGGGAGAGGCGGCGGAAGTTGCACAACTGATTGCATGGCTTCTATCAGATTCGACAAAGTACATCAGCGGCACTGTCGAGCTCATTGACGGTGGTTGGATATGCTGACGACCTGGAGGAGGAAGACTCGGAGGTTTGAAGGTCAAGGAGCGGAGGAAGAAGATATCGAACGGATGGAATATGCCACAAAGCTTATGGACGTTAGAACCATACACATTTTTCCCGACCATAATCTTCTAATTACTGTAATGTTTCTTCGACCTCGCGAAAACCTAACCGACCTCGGCTTTGGTGTTCCGATGCATACAATGGAAAGCACCTGACGGTAGTATTGCATAAGCAATACTTAAAGCCCAACACGATCTCGCTCCCATAACATATAGTTATAATCACTAAATTGCAACTCAAGAAGTCTCCATGATCTGATTATAGAGAGACCCACAGAAGGAAAAACATGGACGCCGTAGATTTTCGACACCGGACGAGCCGACCCGGCCGACGAGATGAGGTGAGTCGTGCCAAATGTGCATATAGGCCCTGCGGCCGACACTGATAAATGGACCAGCTGTTTGAGAATCTCGGCTCATTTCATTGGCAAAATCACTGCGTGCCGAAGAAAACGACCTGTTAGGCTTTTTCGTCCTCAAGCGGAAGGGTGATGGGAATGGTCAGGAATGGCCCCAAATTTGGACAGTCCAGAGGTTGAAGACACACCCCTTTTAGCTGCCCGCTCGTATATGGAGAGGGGCACTTGTTATACGTGGGAAGCAGCGTTGAGAATGAGAGCATTTCACACAGTTTCCGCACACCAGCTACACAAGACAGATTCGGCCAACTCGACCCCGTGAAACGGTTCATCCAGGAGTCGTCTTTCAACAAAGACACACTCGTGTCTCCACCGACACCAAGAGCTCTCAGAGCCGTCGCGGGGTATCCGTACCGCTCACATTCAGAACCGACTCAGCCAACCGACCCGGTCGTCATGATCGGTCAAGTCACCTACCCACCCAGCACGCGCTCCGAGGGGATCCCACACTGGCAAAACCTGGCGGACTTCGTTGCGCGAGAAGAACCCGAGACGTTGACGTACTTGTTCCTCGCGGACGAGGAGGATAAAGTCGTCTTGTTTACTTTCGAGCGCTTTACTGGGCCAGAGGCCAAAAGATTTCACGCTGGCTCCTGTGCCAGCTGGGCGATGGCGCGGACCCGATACGTAAACCCGCCCGACTCGCCTGCGATGCGGACGGGACGCTTGTTCAAGGTATCAGAGTGCATTTCGGGTTGGCCAACTTTCTTGGAAGTAATTGGATGACACTTGTGGATAGAATTAACTCGGGTAATGATATAAAATGTGCAGTGACTCAGAGGGAGCTGTGGGAGCTTAGAGAGGACATGGTAATTGAGTGGCAGTTAATGTATGTACAGTACTTGAAACAATATATATTCTAGCCCAACGCCATGGGTCACGGAGGACCAGGACAAGGAACCTAGAAAATGGTGTTCGAACGGGAACCAAATGCGGACCCTACGCGGTGGTGTCGTCGTGTCTCTCTGCACGTCAAGGCAGCGTCGCCGATGGAGACCCACAGAGGGCAATGATTCATTGCTTGTCAACCCCATACTGATGGCTCCGGACTGGTTTCACAGCCCCACAAACGACACCAACCCAGACCAGGCTAAATGTTCACGAATCCACAAAGTATCTAGCGCGCTCTCGCTTCCAACAAGTTTGTTTGTGGAGCTGTCCATGGCGCTTCCATTATTGAGAAAAAGTAAAGCCCTATCCGGGGTTTACACACGGGCCAACCTTTGCCCCTTTTCTGGGGGTCATCTCAGTGCTTACTCCTAACCATCTGGCTTCGAAACCAGTTGCTTAAACCACCATAAGGCCAATAAGAAATCTCTGTCTCGAGACCCCGGAAAACGAACACACCAACGATACTTCCACAATAATTACTTATTACTAAAAGTTGAGACATTGATTCAAGGGGAATCTTGCCCGTGTGTACAGTCAATGACTTTAGACATAATTAAAGTAGAGACCGAGAAACGAAACATGACCCTCGCACATCCCTCCACCAAAACCATGTGTCCCTGTCCATGGGCGCCGAGACAGTCCCGATTTGTCTTTCTAGACATGCTCAACCTCCTCCAAAGCCGCACTGCCTTCGACGGGCTTGAGATCGGGCACGTTTCTGGCGCGCTTTTCCTCTACCAATTCAATGTCTTTGCCGTGCAACCTCCTGGCCACTCCGTCGTCGAACTTGCTTTCCAAGTTCGGGGTCAGGACGGAGGCGGCGAGCGAGAGAAGTCCGAAGGCGATGGATGCGAGATAGACGATCTTGAAACTTTCAGCATAGGCTGACCGGTATGCAGAGCGGGCAGCCTCCTCGATGACAGACGTCATGCCGGCGACGCCGGTGACATTGCCCGCGGCAAGTCCGGAGATCAGGGCTGGCACCGACGACTCGGGCAGGCCGGCGTTCACTACGGCAGGCTCCACAATCTTGGGAATATTGACCGCGAGCTTGTTGTTGAGGATCGTCACATAGATGGCGGTCGCGATGGCACCAGAACCGGCTCGGCATGTTCCTCCAACGCCTGTGGCGAGACCAATGTCTTCGGGAGCGAGACACATGGGCGCCGTCGTGAGAACGACCAGCTCGATGTATCCGACGGCGAACGAACCAAGAAGAGTGAGGGAGACTCCAAGCGCTCGTGTAGACTCGTTCCCCGCAGCCAGGGCGCCAATAAATGCGGTCATGGCTGCACAGCCGATGATTAGCTGCCATTTTTGCTTTCCTAGGGGCTTGCACATGATGCCGCCAACTATCTGTTCGAGCAAGGTTCCGCCTCCTATGGTCATGGAGGTCCAACCAATCGACATGAGGTTGGTCTCGTACAGCTGGCCCACCTGTCTCGGCCACAGAACATTCATGGAATAGTAAATCATCGACCCAATAAGCACCCCCTTCCCCCCTCCCCGTCTTTGCCTCAGGTCCGGGCGAGTCATTGTCTATGCCAAGGCGACCCTGTCGGGAAGTATGGCGATTGGCCTGGTGGATACGACTTGGAAATTGTCTTGGGAAACGCTAACCAATTGGTGGCGGCAAGCCAAGGAGGTAGCCTAACCAGGAACGGGAAAGGCTCGGAAAGGCTCAAAGGAGGGGAAATGGAAATCATCAGCCCCGGACTTCCCCATGGGGGTCGACATCCAACCTCATCAGCACAGAGCATCCACCAGGCACCCCCAACTACCGATGATATCCACACGCAATATGGATCTGGCCAACATGGTCAATGATGACTCTAGGGCGGCAGGCATATCCGGTTCCAGCCCGAAGATGACTGCCAAGTTGGCCCGTAAAAGAGCCAGAGATCGCCGAGCACAACAAGCCATGCGTGACCGTACCAAAACGCAACTCGACGCTCTGAGAATCCAAGTTGCCCAATTATCCCAGCAGTTGGATGCCCGGAAAGGGAAGCCTACTACCGCCACTTCGCCCGGCCTTCCCTCGCCACGCCACGTCGACGAACATGCTCAGCTGCGAAGGGAGAACGAGCGTTTGAGGCATCAATTGGCTCAGGCACGCCAGATCACAATGACCAGCACCGCCGCCACTGCCGCCGCCGCCGCCGCCGCCGCTACGGCCGCACCTTCGCCCCCTTTCTCTCATGGAGTCACCCTCGACCCTTCCATTTTGGAGTACTGGTCCTCGTGCGTCTCGTGGCCAGTAACCTCTCCGTCGGTTTTCCCTCCGACACACGACCACACAGTGCTTCCTTATATCGCGCCTCTCCCCTTATCTGAGCGTCCCGACGCCCCCTGGCATGTACCACCAACCTGCCCTGCCGACCATATCATGCAGCCTTTTTTTGAAGAGAAGCGCCGATTAGTTCAGTCGTTTCTCGTGGACTCGGCCTCTCCCATATCAAGCGCAAGTTCGTCTGCTTGGCACGGCGCCATACAGTCTTCCATCTCCAAGGTGGCGGCTGATGTGCTGGCGACATACAGTGAAATTGACACCCTCCCCAAGAAAGTTGCATGCCTGTACATCATCTCGAACGTGCTCAATGTAGCGACCCCCCCTGGCCGCCGTCCCTGACGCGAGGTGTGACTGACCAAAATGCACAGTGGCTCGTTTTCCAGACAAGAGAGGCCTTTGAGCAAATGCCCACATGGCTAAGACCATGTCCGGCCCAGATGGAGATTCCACATCCGGCGTGGATAGACCGTGTGCAGTGGTAAGAACCAATTCCCTCCAATCTCCCTCCTCCCCTCCTGCAAATTGAAAATGCTTACGGCGGGCTGACATTATTTTGCCATGGCCCGCAGGCCGAGGGTGCGCGATTACCTTGTTCGCCACCAAGACATCACCTTCGATGAATACACCGATGCTTTCTCGCTCGCGTTTGACGTAGATTGGCCGTATGATGATGAACTCGTGATTCTGGTAGAAGAGTCTCCGGGATCAGCAACGAAGCGTTACAGGATCAATCCTGTGTTCGAGGAGCACATTCGCAATTTGAGCCATTGGACAGTAGGGCCAAGGTATTGGCAGCATTATCCTGCCTTGGGAAAAGCCGTAGATGAAGATATACGCGAGTTTGGAGGCGCAACTCACAATCGCTGAATTTATATAATGAGAAAGTCCACATATTTGCAGTCCTTGAGGGGCCTTGTCAACATGTCGTGGCCGGGCTAGATAATTACACTGAATAAGCGCTTCCCAACTTTCCTCGTTCGCGGAAGGGGATTGTGCCGATTGGGTTGCCTCGGGATTCAATAGCCAGCACACCACCCACCATCACATCCGGGCCAGTCACACCTAATGATACGGCGTCATAATACTTTCACGGAAGAGACCGCATTCCGAGATATCTGAACAGTCCAGAGAACCATCACCGAACATATGCACCTGTGAGCTCATTTGTTCATTGCCTTGGCTTCTCCCCCCCATTCTTCCTAGGCGAATCTAGAACAGTGAGCTAAATGGAGCCAGGTTATGACGAACTAAAAAGGTTCATCGTTTCGACCTGGGTAACAACATCAGGTAAGCACTCGAGACGTTCGTTGCCCAATTCTTCCAGTCCTATATGCTCTCTCTCTCTCTCTCACTCTACCTCTCCCCCCCTCTGAACCGAGACCGACGAGCTCAATCCCCTCCTCCTCAGCTTCTACATGAGTCTAGCAGCGCCATGCTTCGGAACAGGAGCAACATAGTCTAGAAGGAGCTGCTTCCTCCGATCGAGACGATAATTGAATCAGCTTCAGCTGGGCACGATTTGGCAGAAAACTGAACTTTCAGGGGGAGCATCTAGCGCCCACAAGAGAGTGGCTTCTTCTGATACACTTGTAGCCACCGTCTCGCCATGAGCCCTCGAACAACCAGATGCCGGGTCGAAAATGATCATGTCAATCGCGTCAAAACCTGTTCCCGGTGAGGCCATGGTATCCCACGCCCCCGGGTCTTTGCTGGGAATATCTCCGGACGGGTTCTCCTGGTTGCTCATGAAAGACGCCGTGAACATTGGCTGTCCCAATAGGGGGTCGCAGTACTGGCTCGTCGTCGAAGAGCCATCTGAGGAACCGGACGGCTCGAGATGGCCAATGGGGTCGCTTTTAGTGGAAGGTGACTGACGGTTCTCAAGTGTCGCAAAGCCGGATTTGGATGTGGAGAGTTCTGTCGAGACATGGCTGTTGCGCCGTGCCGACGCCGTTCCGGTCCGAGTCGCGGTGGACCAATTGTTGCGAGAGATTGGAGATGCTCTTGCATCCAGGTTCCAGATGCGACCGTTCAGAATGAGTTCCAGCTCATCCAACATTCTTGCGGCGGGTTCAAACATGGCGGAGACTTCTCGAAGTGCCTCTAAGATGGTGTTCAGATACTCAACCAGCACATTGCGGTGTGATGCCTTCGAGTCCGGTTCAATGGCGGAGAGCAGCGTTGTAGCTGCTACCCTGGCGTGGTCTAATGCCATAACACTGGACAGCCTTGCGTCACAACACTGCCTGTGATATCGGAGAATCTGTGCTATCCGGATCGCATTGTCCAAACACGAACCGGCGGCAGAGCGTAGTAAGTGTCGGAGGAAGCTAGGGGAGCCGACCGTATCTAAACCAAGCTTCTCGGTCGTTGGAGCACCTGAAGGGGCGGAAGCCAGGGGCCGGTAGAGCAAGATCACAAGATAGTGAAAGTGCTGACTGTTGAGAGCGTGAATAACAGTACACATGCAGGCAGATAGGACTCCACCGCGACGGCAAACTTACTGCAGAAGAAAGTAGCCCGGAGGAGCGGTTTGGAAAATATTTGGCGACCACCTGATTTGTGGAGGTAGTCGACGATACCAGCCGTGGAGCTGCTGGTCCAGAGCGGCCGCTGCAAAATAAGATTCGACCGACTGGCTGCCATTGGCATGCTCGATGATCTTGTCGCTGTACTCCGTCAAGTCTACCAAGGCACTATAGCAGAGGGCGCTGAGCATATTATCGGACCCTGCCGTTGGAGGCGACTCGTCGCCCATGTGCAGAGTTGCCATCCGCGGGATACTCAAGTCATTGCTTTTGATGTTTGTTGGTCGTCCGTGCCACATGGAATAGAACCTGCGTCGCCATGTTAGACGACATTTGGGCAGGTATTGTGGCAAGGCAGATAGATAATCTGTCTTGACTCACCTGTCGTAAGCGACACACGCCCACATGGTTATTATCCGAACTCGCTGGTCCTCCTTCCCCATTTTCGAGAGCGTGCAACTAGAGTGGAGGCCAAGACGAAATGCAAGACGAAATGCCATTCCTGAACAAACAATACTAGTCAGATTTATATTATGCCAGATAAAGACAGATATCGGTTCTCAGAGGACTTACCAGCGTATGACCATGACGAGCCGGTCCTTCCAACCCCGTACTCTAGATCTCCAAGGATCAATAGAGCTTGAACACTTGGAAGGCCGCCCGGGTTCTCCAGTTCATATTCCACCATATGCCTGGATGTTTGTTCCATGATGCTCAATCTCGTGTCGAGGCTGATCTTTTGGATATCGGATCTGCTTGGGTCGGCAAAGCGGAAGCCCATGGCCAACATTGACAAATGTAAGAAGCCAGAGTAATATTGTGAGTTTCCGGTGGCCTTGTCTCGGTAGAAGAGTTCTTGGTTGACGAGAATAGTGCTGGTGTTGAAGGAATTCCAGTAAAGATCCATCAAGTAGTTGTGTGTCGTACCAGCCAGGTCCCTGAGGACACGGTTGGCACACCTAGCTTGGTCAACGCATTCGACAGCGGTGGAACAAAATGACGTCTCGCCGAAAAGAGACATGGATGCGTCCGGGCCAAAGTAGCGTGGACGTGCTGCAGATTGATCACTGGGAAGCACCATCTCTGGAGATGCCGATTGTTCCATGGCACTCGCCCTCGCTCTCGAGCTGGACCGGCTGGAAATGGCAGATGATGCTGAGCCAGAAAATGGTGACTTTGTGTCATGCTGTTCAGGCGTGTTTTTGCCGTTGGTCGATTCGGCTTCCCGCATTTGAACACCCGGTCCTCGATCAGGAACCTGAGCACCAGATCCACCATCGTCTATTTGGTCTCGGCATTTGGACACTTCGAAGGCCGATATCCAGGGTGATCCAACATTCAATAGCTGTGAATGAGTCTCATCTCCACCGACGAGTGTGCTATCATCGGGATCTAAGGCGTGAAGCGGAGTGTTGGCTGTCGACAGGTGCCTTGCCAATGACGCATTCAGCATTCGTATACGGTCCTCCAAGGAGGTCACGTAGCTCCTCGATATCGGTCTGAAGCTCTGAGAATTAGCTTGAGGAACAAAGAGAAGAGGAGAGGTGGAAAGGGGGGGGGGGGGGGGGGCAACCCAAGCAAGACTTGCTTTTTCTTCTGTTCATCCGAGTATATTATGCATTGCAGCCCGTTTCGTCGACAATAATCACACTGCATGTTAGGTGATGGAACGATGCACTGTCCCTATGAGTGAGAAACTGAAGGTGAAGCGAACTGCATGGATCAGAGGCAATGTCTGGCTCACTTACCTTGGTGCGTCTTGATCTGCAAACGGTGCAGGCAACAGAGGCACGTCTCCGCGGCTTCGAGCTCGAACCCCGAGCCTGAGGGAGGGCGGTTGTTGCGGAACTTGCGGTTGTTGTGCTTGCCATCTTGGACCGTACAGGCAAGTGCCACAATGTGCGTTTGTGTATGTGTGGTGGAAGATAGAAGTGAGTAACTAGAGGAAGGTGACCGAAGGGGATGAAAGTCAAATATGTGACAAGGGTCGCCATTAATGCGGGGAAACCCTGGTTCTGCGGGTTAAATGGACCAGTAGATTGGGAAGAAAAGCAATGATTCATTGCCTACGCTGCCACGTTTAGACACACTAGATTCTGCAGGGAGCACGGGGACGTGCCCACTTTACCCCCAATAAGCGCTACGTTCCCTCTGCCAAGATAAATGTCATTGGTTGGGCGTTACTTACTTGGGCACGTTATGCAACTAAACATTGTACGACGCATAACGAAGATAGCCTAGGTCTACCTCAGTTGGCTTTAGACGTCCATCATCAAGCTGTGTCTCTTTCTAGTCTGGCTCCAACATTACCCCGTTGCAGTGATGCGTGTGCTTGGACGAGATCAACTCGTCTGGGAGCGGCCGTTGCTCCGACAGGGCGTGAGGTTAACTCCCAGGTATAACTATAACCAATGTCGTTTGTGGTGATCCCAGATGTTCTCCTTTACGGACTGCAACAAGATTCAATGTAGGTTTGGGTCCTGTCTAGTCCGAACTTGGTCTTCAAGTTGGGTTAGGTGATTAGTACTTATCGATCTTATCATCCATCTCGCGCTTAAGGTCGATATCAAAGTACCATTTCCTGGGGTACTTGGCCAGAAGCATTCCATTTGTTCCTCGAAAAGCGCCATTAATCATTGACCGCATTCTTGCTCTTCCCAACCCGTTGCATAGCGCTTCAAAGCTATCATTAATCTATGCAGCATGTAAGTATCGACTCTTGCCATCCCCTCATCCTCTGACTCACGTCATTCTCTCACGTCATATTCCCACCACATAAACTGACTGTCTGCTTCATGAGTTAGAACTGCGCTGTAATTACAGACTATTTTGGTCAACCGTCTTGACCATCCGGGCCGCAGGAAAAATACGGAAATGTATTGAACTCAATCCAGACCCAGTGATTTATAGAATGCTTCAGATGTCGGCCTCCGACCAAGAAACTGGACAAGCGTCTCCATCTCATCTTGGCTACCCCCTTTCTCAAGCACCATATGCCTATAGCGCCTTCCGGCTTTGTCATCCAGAGGATCCTTTTTGAAGACAGTATCAAACATGTCCATGGCGAGAACTTTGGACCAGAGATAGCTGTACATCCCTGCGTCGCTACCAGCGAAGAGGTGCCTGTAGGTTGCGTAGCCGTATCTATAGCTCATTCGTTAGCTTTGCCGCGACCTACAACGGACACGGGTTACTTACTCATCGCCAACACTCGTGATTCCGCCGAGGTTATCGCACTCGGCATAGATCTCGCCCACGTCAATTTGTTCTGCTGATGGGGCTGTAGAATGCACCACTGTGTCAAAGAGCGTCATCCTTAGCTGCGGCATGAGCTTCACAGCAGGAAGAACGACCCTAGTGCGCAACAGCGAGGCAATCACGTCGTCCGGCAACGTCTCCCCTGTTTGGTAGTGTCCCGACAAATGTTTGAGGGCGGTAGCATCCCAACACCAATTCTCCAGCATCTGGGATGGAGCCTCGGAAAAGTCCATGACCGTTTCTGCGCCGTGGAAGCGCGAGTATTTGCATCGGCCCGAGAGGTCATGTACGCCGTGTCCCAGTTCGTGGAATAGCAAAACCACGTCGGAATGTTGTAGCAAGGACGGATTCCCTGAAGTTGGCTTGGTAAAGTTGGTCAGCAACACGGTTGATGGGTAATGCCGTTGTCCGCGTGGACGCTCGAATCCTAGCTGCAGAGGGCGACACTGGGCGCCACCGCACTTTCCGGGTCGTGGATGCAGGTCGAGATATAGATATCCCGCCAACTCCCCTCCCTCTTGTTCGTCGTCCCAGACACTGTAAAGCATTACGTCTGGGTGCCAGATAAGACCTTGCTCCACCAGATCAGTGCTTGAGTTGGTCTCACGCTTTGTTAGCTCTATGAACACGAAGCCAAAAAGATTGCCGAACAAGGTCAGCATCTTAGAGACCGTCTCATAAAGGGGGAAGTATTCGGCGATTTGGGCCTGGTCCACCGAGTAGTTCTGTTCCTCGTAAATACGACTGTAATAGGGAACGTCAGACCAGAGTATAACGTCGCCATTTGGTCGACTCTGGGCAGCAGGATCGCGTTTTTTGAGTTGCAGGAGTTTTTCAAGATCCCCCCGCAACTGTCGGATGACTAGATCGCGAACACCGTCTAGAAGATCCATCACAACTGCAGGTGTTTTGGCCATCGTGACCTCCACCTTGAATGCTGTATGGCTTGGGTAGCCTAAGAGCTGTGCGGATTGGTGACGCAGGCGGATAGCTTCATGGAACAGTGAGACGTTTTCTCTTGCCTATGATGGTATGATAGTATTAGAACGGGCTGCAAAATCGAGCGAAGCGAGGAACCCCCCGAGGGTCTCCCGCAGGGGCCTCCGGAGGCACTGGTCAGAGAAACAGTTGAACCATCCTGACTTACCACCCGTCTTGATTCCAAATAGATTTTTTGTCTCGTCGCTGGCGAGCTCGCCACAGTCAGCATCCATCGAGCTTGCATGCCATTCAAATCCAGCCTTAATTTGCCGTCCAACTCTCCAGTCCCAGTTTCAAGTCCAGAAAGCGCATCTTCAGGAATGCCGGCGAGTTCAGCGCGAGTAAGCCAGATGCAGTGCGGCTTTTCATCCAAGTTCTTGATAAATTCTGACTCAATACTTCGCAGCCTGCGAGCAATATCCCCGACCGGCGTGCAACCAGAACCGGCTCCACCGCCGGCACCAGCACCAGCATCAGCACCAGCACCTTCTCCTGCCAGGTCCATGCCTTTGCGGACATAACTCCGTCTCTCCTCCACGAGGGCCTTGCGGCTCTCGGAGTCGAGCGTGTGGTCATCTTTCTGCCTCTGGTACACGGCGTCTAGGAGACGGAACAAGTCCGTATTGCTCGCTTTGCAATCTATCATGCAATGCGAAATCTTGTCCGAAGCCTCGGCCGCAGCGTTTCTGAGTGCCGTATCAGGTGCGACGAGAGCGATCATGGTGATGAGGTTGGAAGTAAGCTGCATCTCATTCTCGTGCTGCAGAAGGTGGCGGAGAACATTGTTGAATGTCGCATTTGCGGGGGTGACTGTGGATACCAGCTTGCCCACGACCTGCTGTAAATTCTCACATAGCTCGTTGCTGGTCTGGAGGACCGACGTGGGGTCTGCCAGTGCAGCAAAGTTGAGAGGGGGTTGGGGTGGACGTCTGACAGATGCTTGTGCGTGATTCATGATGATTGATGAATGGTTTTCTGCGTTGGTTGGTAGCAAGCAGGTCGAGAAATATCAATAATTATATGTGGGCGGAGGAGTACACAGAGATCCATCCCCGCTATTTGACCTGTAAAAACGGATGGCTGACGCGCGGGACCCGGTGGGGTCTAAGTTGAATTCTATTGGCGGTTAAAAGACAGTGGGGTCGCGTTCAACCTCCGCCCGGCCCGATCGGCGTGGGTCCCGACGATTCCGACCGCGACCCTGAGAACCCCGACGCGGTCTACGAAGTTGAGCAGCTAGTCGGGAAGCGGGAGGTCAAAATTGGCCGCAGCCGCGTGGCTAGATACGGTCTAATATTTTGTCAAATGGAAAGGAGAGGGTCATGAGTACAACGAATTGGAAGAAGCTGGCTGACCTGAAGCATTTGCAACGCCTCACCGACGAATACGAGGTCCGGCAAGGCAGACTTCCCGCGAAGAAGACTAAAGGGCGGAAGAAAGTTGCACCCCTTGAGAGCTCTACTCTTGGACAGGACCTAGAACCAGCCGGAGAACTGGCTGCAGAGCTGACTGTACGGCGACCAGGCCGTCGAATGCGGCAGGCCGGAACTTACAGGAAGATGGAAGTCAATTTAACGTTGGCAGCGTGTGACTCGGATTGAGCCAATTGCATGCCTCGTTAGTTTCGGGATCGGGATCCGGGAAATCGGGTGGATTGATCCAGGAAAATTGGCGCGAACGATTCAAAGGCATCTAGATTCGCGATATTTGTGCAATCGAGTCACCTCTGGACATTTTGGTGGTGGTGGCTTGACCACTAGGCCAATTGGACTGCCGCCAAGGGTCAAGCCACGCAAAGAAAGCTTGTGTTAGCCCTATTAGCGTAATAAAGCTTAATTAGACCTACTCTCAGCTTTGCATAATAGGCGCAACCCGTCACAGGTAGGCATCATAACAATGCTTCTTTTGGCAGGATTTCTTAGCAGAGAGCTAAGGTTTCTAGTAAAAAATGGCGCTTCCAGTGAAAAGAGTTTCTTTTTAGCAAAAAGGTTTACCGCAGTGTAGTAAAAGTTGAAGAATAATTAGTAATTAGAAGAGGGTGGTGCCTTAGCATCTCCATTCTAGCAGCACCCTTGCCGCTACCCCTGCTAACCCTAAAATTGGAGTAGTTCTTGAAAGCGTTGGAGACAACTTCAGCGTAGCGGTCCATGCCGCCAAGGTAGTTAAGTTGCTCTCGCTTCTTGCCAGGGATATTGCCGCCAACGTACCACGAGTCCTTGACCTGGCGGAACAGGGTCATATCGCTGATGTCCTGGATAACCTTCGCCCAGCCCTCCTGTGCCTCAGCTGTTGGCTCAACGATGGAGACACCGTCATTACGGAGCCGAGCTAGGAATTCGATGATGAGGTCGGCCTGAGACTCGATAAACATAGGGGCGTTGCTAAAGGCGGTAGGGGCTGTTTTTGTTGTCATCGGAAACTGCGTCAGCACAGGGCTCACCTTTGAACATTTCTCTCTGGCGAAAAAGAAAAAAAAAAAAGAAAAAAGAAAAAAGAGAAAAGGGGTTCATCGACTCAACCTGAGGCCCGTAGACCATAAAGAGCTTGGGGTACTTCTCAATCATAATGCCCAAGTAGGTCCGGACGCCGTCCTGTCACCTCTCCTTAAGGTCGATCCCGTCGGTTCCCCTGAGGTCCATGCTTGTCAGACTGCCTGTCATGTTATCGTAGCCCGTCGCGAGCACGACGATGTCGTGCTCCCTCTCGGTGCCGTCCTCGGTCGCAATCCCTTTGCCGAAGAACTCGCGGATGGGGGTCTTCTTGAGGCTGACGACCTCGACGTTGACCCTGTCGATGCACTCGTAGTAGTCCTGCTCGAGGCTGCTGCGCTTGGTGGCGAAGGGGTACGGCCGCTCGAGCGGGGCAACGATGTCCCGCTTGGCCGGGTCGGAGATGCGCGCCCGTGTCTTGCGCGCCCAGAAGTCGTAGAGCGCCCGGTTGGCCTCGTCGTTGACGAGGAAGTCGGCCACGTTGGCTGACTGGAACCCGAACCCGCCCCGGCCCCACAACTCCTCGCACATCTCCTCCCGCTCCTCAGTTGTCATCTCGCCGAACGTCTTGGACTGCACGTCACCCGCGATCCCAGACCCCGCCGCCTTGGCCAATTTGAACAGCCCGCCGTACACGGCCTTCTGCGCCCGCTGCTCCAGCGGCGTCAGCTCGCGCTGGCCCATGGGGAGGGCGATGTTGGGCTGCCGGATGTACACCATCGTCTGCCCGGCCGTCTTGGACATCTCCTGCACCACCTGTAGGCCCGTCGCCCCGGCCCCGATAATCGCCACCTTCTTGCTGGTGTAGTCGATCCCGCCCTCTGGCCAGGCGGCGGCGTGCGCGACGACTCCCCTGAAGGCGGTGCGCATGCCGAGAAAGTCGGGCTCGTGGCGCTTATACGAAGAGCCCGTGGCGGGGAGGAGGAACCGGCAGGTGACCTCGTAGCCATTGTTGGTCTGGACGGTCCATCGACCGGCCTTGGGGTCCCACTGGGCGCCCGTGACGGCGGTGGAGTACTGGACGTCGCGGGAGAGGTCGAGGGCGCGGTCAACGTGGGCGAAGTAGCTCTTGAGCTCGTCGTGGGATGGAAAGCGCTGCGACCAGGTGAAGTCCCGCCACACCTCGCGTAGCGTGTACTGGTAGTAGGGGATCTCCGAGTCCACCCGCGCCCCCGGGTACCGGTTCCAGTGCCACACGCCTCCGAGCGAGGACCCGGCCTCGATCAGCCGGATCGAGAAGCCCAGCTTCCGCAGCCGGTGAAGCAGATAGCACCCGCCAAAGCCGCCGCCCACGATGATGATGTCGAAGGATTTGGCCGCGGAGCCGTTGGTCGGTGGCGTCGCCATGACCCTTTCTTCTTCTTCTTTCCGTTGGGTTACTGAGGTTCTGAAGGAGAGGAGAGAGGGTGCGTGTGGGAGGGAGGGAAGGTCCTCCCGCGAGAGAAGAGGACCCTCCTCTCTTTTACTTGTTGACACGTGTGACTGGGTATGTGGACGCCCTGTGCGGAGAGATTTCGTGTTATTACACACGAGTTCCAGTATTAGCTAGAGTGAGCGGAGGGGAAATGGGGGCCTGGCTCTACTAGAAGCCTTTTTTTCCCCAATTTCCTCCGAACTTGGTCGTCTCCCTCTCTCTCCCTTCTCGCGCCCCCCAACAAACCCTCCAACAACCCTCGGTTAAGTCATCCCGAGCAAAAAAAGAGACGGGGAAGCGGTTAACGCGTGGCTAAAACCATCTTCTCCCCTATAGGCAAAAACGATGCTTATCACTGCTGTAAGGCGAGACCGTTGTTGAACCAATGGGGCGGGCCCGGGATTCCCAACTTGCGGCATGGGGTCGTGTCGCCTTGGCAGTCTCCCGGCGCGCTCCGGTGGGAGGGAGGTTAGGTCGGATATCGAGATCCGCAACGACACCTCACCAAATTCAACCACAGTCGCTCCAAACGGGCATGTTATGCAACGTTGGTGAAAAATCCTCATTTTCACTCTCGGGATTTCCATTCTTGCAGATCGGCAAAACATGAGGTTGAGCACGCCCCGCCCGTCCTTCACCTCCGGAGGTGACGGCCTCTTTTGAAGAGGGAGAGGGGGGTGGGGGGTCGGGTTTGTTAACCCCGGCCCCGATCGCCAATGTGCATTGTCCGAGCGTCGAGGATCCCCCTCCCCCGGTTCCCGGCGCGCGAGAATGGGGCGGAGGGAGGTCCGAATCGCTTTCTCCTTGTCATCACGTAAACTTAAACTTCTTTCCTCTCTCTCCCAAGTCTGATGGTGAAAAATAATTGTGACGGACTCTCAATCGCCAAACTAGACTCGAAAGAGAGGTCCCCTGATGAACCTTGTTGGCTTCTCATAGCCGCGCAACTTTGAAAGTTTTGGTTCGACCTCCTGAAGCGAGCTCCAATTGGACCCGACTATCGCCGCCACTATTTGCAGATATGACCCAACCCAAGCCTGAGGGCCGCAATGCCTTTTGCCCCCTCTGGAACGGGGCCTGCGGCTCTAGTTACTCCGAGAAAGGCAAACGACCCAGACATAACCAAGATCGAAACTTTGCCATGAAAAAAAGAAAAAAAGTCTCAATGCCCAACATTACCGCTTGTCTCGGTGGTAGTATTATTGGCCTTTGCGTTCGCATCCTGCATTCCTCGAATCCATTCGCCGGCTACCTTTTCAATGGTCTTCTGCAGACCTTGGTCAGCAGCTAGTTCCTTCATAAAATGAGGGCCCGGCTTGTGTCGACCCGCGTCCACTCCAGGTCGCGAGATCATGAGCTGTTCCCATTTTTTGAGGTGCGGGTATGGGTCGATGCTGACGCCAGCCCAGAAATCGGAAACTATCCACGGCCATAACGCGAGATCTGCAATCGTGCAACGGTCACCAACGAGATACCCAGAGTCGCTGTTGCTGAGGGCGGTATCGAGAACTCTAAAGAGTCGGCAGGTCTCTGTTCGGTAGCGGTACAGCGGATACTCGAGCTTCTGAGGTGCGAAGCGGGTGAAGTGCATGGCTTGTCCTTGCATGGGCCCAACGCCAGAGGTCTGGAAGAATAGCCAACTACTGGTGAGGTAGTGTTCCGCGGATCCTCGGGGATAAGAAACTCTGCATGATCGTCAATCAACTCAGTCCTCACTTCATGCCACTGTCTGAACCGTGGAGAAGGGGCGAGCACTAACTTGTGGTCATCATCATACCGATCAGCAAGATATTGCATGATGCTTCCAGATTCAAAAAGCTTTATTTCCTTTCCATCGGGCAAGACATCTGTTAGGGCAGGGACTCTGCCGTTCGGGTTGATTTCGAGGTACCAAGGTTCCTTCTGTTCAGCCTTTGTGACATCAATCAGGCGCATCTCGTATTCTAAGCTGTTTGAGAATATGGTGAGTAATTAAACCAAGTTGGCCAAACGGATCGGGTGGATTGTAGACATAGCTTACCCAAGCTCTTCCAACAAAGTGGTGATCTTGACGCAATCTGGTACTTGTGCCACGTAGGCGACAATACTTGTTGGTGTCATTGTCATTGTAGCAAAGATCTCTTGTTTCGTAGTGATTGCGCTAGGTTGGACTAGACTTGACTGGAGAGTGTGTAGAGACGCAATCTTTTCCTGCCAGACAGATAACGCGGAGGTTCTAGGTATAGCGCGAACTAGACGTATATTGTCGCCGCCACTAAAATACAGTTCGGGCACAAGCTCCGGGAAGAGACGAAGTGTTCGCTTTATAATAGCCGACCCCGCTGGAAGCTTGTTGCACTAGTCAGATGGGTTACTCTTTGCCAGCCGGAATCCGACCAATCTAAAGCTCGCATAAACATTTCCGTCGCATCGCTTTGACAATAACGGTCAGTAGTATTCGGGCAGCTCTACACTAGTCGGATAGGTTACTCTTTGCCAGCCGGATTCCGAGCAAGTCCAAGACTCGCATAAACATTCCGTCATATCGCTTTAACGAGTGGTTCGGTCAGCTTTAGAGAAAGCCAACCTGGTCTAAATGGATTACGAGCGTTTGCGCCCGTTTGGGAAGGACAGAGTGCGCTACATGTCCAGCAGAATTTCACCGTTGTTGAACCCAAGTGCAGTTGATCGCTTAGTTTCATTACCGTTCATTTACGCCGTTTATCTGTCTATGTCTGTCTAGGGTCGCACATCAATCATGCCATGAATCTCGATTCAGTCCTTCATCATCCGTAAACAAGCGTTCTAACCTCAATACTCTCCCGATACCGCGCCCAAAGAGGAGTTCTCGAATCAACGAAAGCTGCGTGCGGAACGCCCTGCGGGCCTTCACCGTCGTTGCTGTCATAGCACTTAATGAAAAGACGCTCGTCGTTTGTCATTCCACTCCAATAGTAATACTGTTGAATCGCATTGTACTTGACAGCAGCTGTCTCGCCGATTCTATCGTGATATCTGTGTTCCACAGGGACGAGATCTTCGAGAGAGACCGTGTTCATGGACGCAATCGCGAGAGGGAATCCACAGACGGGCCCGTTGAGGGGCCGCCAGACATTGATAATCCTCACTCGGCCCTTCAGTAGCTCTTCCGCTTGCTGAGGATCGTGAAGCTGGACTCGCCATGGGCCGGATCTAGCTGTCTGGTCGACGTGGACCGTGGTGACCGGGCCTCTAGCAGCGCCGGGGGAAGATCTTCTGATAGTGTGGTCGAATATCGTCACTTTGAAGGAGCCCGGAATTTGTTGCAGGATTAACTGTTCCACTTCTCGGTAATATGTGGTTTTGATTTCCTCATCGTTGGTGAAGTCGGTGTCTCGAGAAACGATTCCAGATGTTGCTTGAAATCCATCCTTTTCAAGGTCGAAATGTGTCTCCACGCCTCTGATGTCCTGGACTTCAACCGTCTGGGTTTCCTCCCCAAAATTCTTTGGAACATCGCCGTCAAGTGGCTTGTCAACATAGTCATATGGTGCTGAACCGTCCTTTGGCGCTTGGTAGAAGAGTAGATCCGTGGCCACGGGACCTCTAGGAACGACTAGAGAAGGCTCCATATGAGTCGGAGGTAGGATCCAGGGGACTTGATCGCCGTAGTCGACAGGAGATATGAAAGGCTGAACAAATATTGACTAGCATATGTCGTTGTTAATGGTTGAAGGCTGTAAGATCAATCTCGAGTAAGGTTCTCACCTGATTCGCGTGGTTTTGGATCGACAGACGTCTACCGTCTACTGACATGAGCTGTTAGGCTTTAGAGATAAATATATCAAATCTCCCCCTGTGAGTGTGCTTCCAGCCCTTTCTACGCTACTACCCGAAGCTCACGGCAAGCCCCACAAAAGGGGGTGGGAGGGGGGTTTATTCATCCGAGAAACGCAATGGCCAGCCGAGCTGTCAAGATATGGATGTTATTTTCCGAGAGTTCCCCATGATTGGTGGCGCATATAGAAAGGCTATGGAGAGCCGTTTTAGCGGCATTCCCAAGTCCAGTAACCTTTGGTAATTTAATCATAAATACACCGAGAAAGCCAGGGGGTTCAAATTGAGCCTACGCCTTCACTCCAAAAAAAGTCTCCAAATCTCCAAAGCTCAGGCCATTTTACGGAAAGAAAAATGACGGTCGGAGAATTCCCCTTGAACGGCAAGATCGCGGTAGTGACAGGCGCAGGCTCTGGTATCAATCTTGCATTTGCCAAATTAGCCGAGCAAGGAGGCGCAAAGATCGTGATTGCGGATCTCAAACTGACTGGTGATGCCGAGGACTTCATGAGGGTTTCAGAAGCCAAAGGCTCTGTAATCTACGTCCACTGCGACGTAACCAAGAGGGCAGATTTGGAAAACCTGGCCCAAGAGTCGGAGAAACAGTTTGGCGATGTCCCAGACGTGTGGATTGCTGGTGCAGGAGTCTTCGAACCTGTTCGTTCATCCCCTTTATCGCCCACGAGATCAGATCAATGACTGACTGGATGACGAATCACGGTACATCTCTACAGGCCTGGTCGAATTTCTGGGACGATACCGAACTCGACGGATACAAACAGGTCGACATCAATGTCAACCATCCAATGAAACTCTCCAGGATCGCGATTAAGTCTCTGGTGAGAAAACGAAAACCAGGCGTAGTACTGGTGGTAGCATCCCTGGCTGGCTATCAAGGAGCCTTTTCAAGCCCTCTCTATTGTGCTACGAAACATGCCTGTGTGGGCTTTGTGAGATCAATGGCGGAGCTTGATAGGATTGAAAGGATCAAATTTGCCTTGATCGCGCCAGGGTATGTCTACACATCTCTACACAGCCAGCTTATTTCTTGTTGTTGGCCATGAGTAACAATGTTAGATTTGTTCGCACGCCACTCTGGACTGACCACCCAGAGAAGATGGCACAGTTTGGCTATTCCTTGGAGAATTCGGTCACCCCGGAAACAGTTGCGGCCAGGATGATTGATTTGGTTACCAGCGCCAAATACGTGGGCGGCAGCTGTTTGGAGGTCGCTGCAGGAGGATCGCGCCTTCTAGGCACTTGGGATGTCCCTGCACCAGATGCTCGAGGCACAACAATAGATTCGGCAATCCTGGAGGAGAACTATAAGCCCATATTGGCAAAACTACAGACAGAGAGAGTAGCTCTGTGAAGAGCCACAATCTGCTCCTGAATGTTATCTATAGACATTTCGGGCAAACAGCCTAAAGTGTAGCTTTTATAGTCATGATCAAGGCGATAATATAACCTGACTAACCATCATCATAATCGCCGCCGACTGTCCTTGAAGATGCCCAAATAGGTAGAGAGAGGGTAGCATGCTTTCTACTCGAACTCGACGATAACATAATCTCTTTTGCGGAACTGAATGAGAACGTTACCCGAGAGGCTGGGTCAGCTTTCCCGCTCACAAGGCCGCCATCCCATGGAGCATACACAGCAGAAGGCAGTCGTGCTGCCGCGGAAAGGATTTGTTCACTCGTTTGCGGAGTCGACCTACCCGGTTCCACCCACAATCCGAAGATAAAATTAGCTGTCACGCCATATTTTATCCTGCTCAGTTTTCATTCCACGGTCAAAGCGGCAACCTTTTTAAGATTTGCAGATTGTATTCCACAGGCAATGGCTCCACTACTACAGGGAACAGGCTTCATCACAGGTGCTGCATCAGGTATGTTCTGTTGTATTTTGTGGTGAACGAGCCTGGCCAAGGACGGCCTCGCGGCAATTTCTGACAATCCAGTGAAGGTATTGGAAAAGCCACGGCGATTTCATTTCTCCAAAATGGTGTAAAACAACTGGCGATTGGTGACATCAATGTTGAAGCTATCAATAACACCGCGGCGGAGATCCGACAGGCATTTCAAGACGCATATATTCTTCCAGTACTGGTCGATGTGACGGATGAACAGTCAATTGAGAGAGCCATCCAAGAGGTCGTCAAGGAATTTGGGCGGATTGACTACGCCGTCAATAATGCCGGCATTGCTGGTGCGAACACGCCCAGTGCGGTGACCAACACCGTCGAATGGCAGAGACTGTTGAACGTCAACCTGAACGGTGTCTGGTTGAGTTCCAGGGCTGAGATCCGACAGATGCTTCAGCAGGAGCCATTGAAGCCTGAGTCCGCCAAGACCCCTTTTCTTCCTCTCCCTCTCATGCCGTGTGTCAATCATGGCACCCCTACTAACCAAGATACAGATCACCCAGACAAGGCAGAGGGGTCATCATTAATGTATCTTCGATGTTTGGTGTTGTATCCAGTCCCAAAAGCATTCCAGCTTGTGCTTATACCGCCGCCAAACACGCCGTTATGGGCATGACCAAGGCCGATGCGATCACGTACGCCTCTGACGGAATCAGGATCAATGCAATCTGCCCAGGGTAAGCCAGGTAGCCCCTTTACAGCTCTTTATTCGCGATCGATTTATTGATCAATGTATCTCTGCATAGATATGTTGGCACTCCATTGTTTCTCTCTGCTCTCCAAAGCGAGGTCATACAGAAGGAGATAGCAAAGGTTCCTATGGCGAGGGTTGCTCAGATGGATGAGATTGGAGACGCCATCTCATTCCTGGCCTCCCCTATGAGCAGTTATATGTGTGGAGCTGCCTTGGTAGTTGACGGGTAAGTATAGCTAGAATCCTCTCCGCTTTGGGAACTTGTGGAAGCTTACCTGTGATGATTATAGAGGAGTACTTGCACAATAACTTTGCGCACCCAGAGCGATTGAGCTATGTGATGCTTACTTGCGAAGGCCAAGGAGGTCAATTTCTACAGTTAGCATTACGCTCCAATGTATTGGCGTAGATAATTCTATCTCGTTCGTGTAGCTCTGGGAAAATAAAAGACACAGTCCTCACAGGAGTTGCAGAATGCCGCCTCGTAAGAAATAAGTCCCACCTATCACCCACAATTGGGTAATCAAAATTTCCATGCCTTCAATACTGCACATCACTGTAGACCCTGACAGCCTGAGCCATCCCCCGAGGGTTACATGTCTATTCTTACCTGGGATTATCGAGGCTGTCGGAAGAGGATCTCCCCACCGCTCCCACAGGGGTCTGCGCAGCCATGTGCGGCATTTTCTATGCTACCTACATGATATCACATGATAATACTAATGGCGTCGTACCGGGTTTTCCTAGCCTTGCAAAGTTTTTCCCAAGGTGGGGTAGCAACGTACAGAAACGCAATTTGCCAGGTAATCTCGATCTGGAGTAATTACTGCAATCATGGCCTCGAGCAATTTTGCCACGGCCACGGGGTATGGGGAAGCGGTTTTCCGAAGTGGCGGGAAAACTGACACACTTAGCATGAGGCTGTTCGAGGCTGTTCAGTGATGCCCCTGAACATGAATTTCATTTGGATGGACAACCCCACTGCCCAGATTCGCTTCTACTTCTCCTAGCGCCCATCTCCGCCCCCTCAAATTTGGATTGGGGAAAATTTCTCCGCCGCCCCCGCAGGTCCCCGCACCCCCGGATTTTGTCTTTGGGGTGAGTCTGATTATTGCTCCTATGGTTCGCCTAGTCACATATTATGTAGGTACCCCTCGTGGGTAAGGATAACCACTCACCAGCCCCAACTAGGGTCACCCTATTGGACAAAGTCGAAGGGAGTTTTATTACAAAAACGCAGGTTCTATTTACAAAAACGCAGGGCTCCATTCCAAAAACGCAGGCCCCATCACAAAAACGCAGGTGGTTCCATCACAATATCTGTCAGGGAAATTCCTCAGTGCGCCCGAAAGCAGTCCCTTAGACATGGCTATCTCCAACGATAAGGTCACAACGGACCTCTCCAACCACGCCGAGAATATCCAGCCTGTCACGCCAAAGGCTGATGTTTATATCCCGGCAGAGTTCAGCGAGGTTGACAATGGAGAGATCGCAATCGAGGCCCTTGGAGGCACAGTTCACGACCTTCCACCAGGATACTATCGCAGTTTCAACTTCATCGGTACCATCCTGGCTCTTTGTCTGGGCCAGATTTGTTGCTATTTCGGCTTCGTCTTGCCTGCAAACGTCCTCGGCATCATCAACGACGATATCGGACCCAATCCAAACTACGTGTGGACTGCCATGATCGTGAGTTTGGACACGAATAGCATATGGTCCTCTGAGCTTTGCCTTACTATTATCGCAGTGGAACTTGACGCAAGCAGTCGCCTTCGTCTTGGTGGGACGCCTATCTGATCTGCTTGGAAGACGCTGGTTCTTAATTATTGGCAACTGCATCGGACTCATCGGCGCCAGTAAGTTCACTCCTTTCCTCACTCCCGCAACTTATTGAACCAGCTAGCTCATTGGCGGATCTAGTTGTTGCATGCACCGCTCGTTCCATCCCTGTGCTCATCGTGGGGAGTGCCCTGCTCGGCATCGCTGCTGGTGTGCAGTTGTCCTTCGGAATGGTGATTGGCGAGCTGATCCCGAATAAATACCGTGGGTTCGGAATTGCCTCCATCTTCGTGGCCGCACTCCCAGTCACGGCCTTCGGTCCCGTCATTATTCGATCCATGATCCTTCACACCGCCGCAGGCTGGAGATGGAGCTTCTACATCAATATCATCATCAACGCCATCGTTATCATCCTCTTCTACGTTTGCTACCACCCACCAACCTACGAGATGCTTCACGCCCGACGTCAGAAGCATGTGCCGAGATGGAAGATGGTAGACGTCGTGGGCGTGATACTATTCACTGCCGGTCTGCTCGTGTTGCTGCTCGGAATCTCCTGGGGAGGTGCTATCTACCCCTGGAAATCAGGAAAAGTGATTGGTTTCATCGTCGGTGGTGCAGCCCTCCTGGTCATTCTGGTTTTATGGGAGATCTGGGGCGCTGGCGAATATCCCCTGATTCCAATGAGATTATTTCGGAACCGTCACTACGTCGGCGTCATCATCACCGCGTCTGTGGGCTCCATGGTCTACTATTCCCTGCTGGTTCTCTGGCCTGTTCAGATAACGGTGTTGTACGAGACTACCATTATGGGTGTAGGATGGAAGAGTTGCGTTGGTAAGTGTTTCCTTTTTACAGCCCTTGGCGAAAAAGAAGGCTCCATACTGATATTCTTTCTTACCCATCAGTTGCCGCTGCTGCGCTCATCGGTCAAGGATTGTGCGGTCTTTTGGTCAAGGTTCTGGGGAAACATAAATTGCAGATGGTGGTTTCCGTGAGCATTTTGACGGCCTTTACCGGCGCCATGGCTGCTACTACCCCGTCAACTCCCACCATGGCCGTCCTGTTCATCTTCTTTGCCTCCCTATCGCTGGGCTATGTTGAAACCGTCGCCCTCACAATCGGACCATTCTGTTTGAAGCAGGAAGATCTCGGCCTTGCCCTTGGCCTGCTAGGTGCGACACGTTCGACTCTCGCAACCACCGCGCAGGCAGTTTTCTCAGCCATTCTCAACAACGAGCTCCTCACAAAAATTCCGAAATATGTCATTCCGGCGGCCTTGGATGCCGGATTGCCAGAGTCATCGACCACGGCACTGCTGGAAGGTCTTGCCGCCGGCAATTTCTCCGCGGTACCGGATATTACGCCGGCAATCATTGCTGCCACAGTGGACGGGAACAAGGAGGCTTACTCCCAAAGTTTCAAAATTGTCTATCTGGCAGCAATTGCCTTTGGCGTTTGTGGCATTATCGCGGCTCTTAATGCACCAAACTCAGACTCCAAGTTCACAGACATTGTTCCGAGGAAGCTGCATGGGCAGAAGTTGGACGCAAAACTTACTGAAAAGGAGATTGCTGCAAATGAGGTTTAGATATCAGCAGGATGCCTACTTTTGAGGGCGAACGTTGGAAACTCATCTGATATGTATTATAAGCTCCACTCGCTAGGTATACAGCCGTTTCCCACTCCGTGTATATCCTATTTGAATTCCAGCCACAAGGTCCTACAAGAGGCCAACTCCTTATCATACATCACCATTCCTTGTGCCAGCGCACCATCATCATGATCTCTAATATAGTATGCCCAATCAGCCATCTTGTCCGATTCTGTCTGATTGTAGCCATCTCCTATCCATGAGAACCGATTGCCCTCGTACTGAATGTCCCCGTCTTAAATTCTGACCTCTAACAAAGATTCGATATAGTGCAGTGACGATCCAGGCCAGAGCACGGTGATAGGTTCATCTGGTCCAGCGCTCTTGTACCACGACCAGCACGGGTCAGACCAGACAGTGTCGGCCATAAAGTTGTCTTTGAAGGCGATGAAGTCTTCAACCGCTTCTCGGCGTCGGGCGAAGGTAGTAATGTTGTGCGTCTGATAACACTCGATAACCTTTAATTATCATGTAAACGGCCTAACCCTCGACGGCGGGTAGAAGGGGTCCGTTGCCAATGGGCGAGTTAGGCCCAAGGAAAATGATATAATTGGGGAACTCAGAAGCACCGATACCGAAATAGGACTTTGGTTTGGTTGCCTAGTCGTCCTGGAGATCCTTGCCGGTAGGCCTGATCAGAGGGAGTCAAGGCCTGAAGGCGTGTCAGAACCAGTGGCGCAAATGAGTACATCAACGGCGTACTCATTGCTGTTGTCGAAAATGTGACCCCTTTCGGAGACGCTGTTAATCTCGCCATAAACAACCGTCACGCTCTCTTCGGTCAAGGACTCGAGATAGTTATCGCCCGCAGTCAGTCTTTGGCATGCCAGTCTCCAATTGAATAGCCAACCTCGCACGGAAGGTGAAGCATGTACAGACCCCATCGCGGCCCAGGGAGGCTCCTGACAGTGGAGTTATAGTGCACGTGCCTGAGCTGCAAATTAGCTTTAAAAGCGCCAGCTCTACGGGAAGTAAATAATTCGACATATCCGGGGAATTTGACCCGTGTTTTAGCCAAGGTAAATTGGACTGGTCGTCCGGGATCGTGTAACCTCACAGGGCGTTCGTGATGCGTCGGATCGAGCCGTCGGATAACTTTCTCCCGACATCTCAGCTGAGAGAGCCGTCTCCTCAACGTGCGTAATCCACCCTTTAGTAATTGTCACATGTGCGCTACGAGAGATTTGCCACGCAAGATTTACTAAAAATCGGAAATCATTTTCAGCCTTGTTTCTCCACACTTTAGGCAAGGTCACGATATCGGCGAAATCCTTCCACGACAGGTAGACTGAGCTAGGTCGGATATCATTAGCCAATTCTAACTGACGGGCAAACTAACCCCCCCCAACAATCCAACAATCGAGTGGAGATGTGCTGATGAATTAATGTTACTTAAGGTCCCTGTACTCTGCTCCTGGCCCGGAAGGGCGAAGGGTTTTATAACCTTATGCCCTTGCCCTATTTGTTGTTTAGTCAAACAAATTAAACCAAACCAATCTATTTCAATAACGTGCGTGAGAGAAGAACCATGGGACCATCGCTACAAAAGTCCCTCCTATACGTGGATGAAACGCCACAGGAGGTTAAGGACGCAAAGGCAAGTACTCTGTATATAGAGTCTTGAGAGACTTGTCGACTAATTATTGACAACTTTTCCTAGGGTATACATCTCATCACACAATCCACACCCAATGGCCAGAAAGTCCAGATTCTCCTGGAAGAGTTAGCCGATGTGTATAACCTAGAATGTGAGGAGCCATTTATATGTGCTGTGTACGAAAGGCAGAGAAAGAAAACTGAGGCTAATGAAAGCGACCAGGGACCACGACGGTAATCAACATATCCACAAACGAGCAGAAGAAAGATTGGTTTCTCCGATTAAACCCCAATGGTACGAGAGACCTAACATGGATCCAAGTGTGTGTGCGTGTGTGTATGCGAGCCAGGGGGGGGGATACACACGGAAGAGAGACCTCGGACCGATTAAGACCATCAATCTAACAGGAAGCTGCCGTTAGGTCGCATACCCGTCATCGTCGATAACACCCAGTCGCCTCCATTTCCGGTAATGGAGACGTCTGCCGAGCTCCTCTACCTCTCAGGTATCGCAGACAAAGATCACGTCTTCAGCTTCGCCGACCCGCTGGAGCAGAATCAATGCGTACAGTGGCTCTTCTTCTGGCACGGCTCTGGAGCTCCCTATCATGGCCAGGTCATCCATTTTGGTATCCTGGCCAAGGAGAAACTCCCATATGCCATCGAGCGCTTTACCAACGAACTGCTTCGCGTCTTTGGGGTCCTCGAGATCCAGCTGAGTGGAAAGTTTACTGGCACACCTCGCGAATACCTTGCCGGCCCCGGAGATGGCAAGTACAGCATTGCGGACATGGGCACATGGCCGTGGATCAAACTCTGGAAGTTTACTGGCATCACAGAGGACCAAATGAGCCAGTTTCCTCATCTGAGAAAGTGGTTGGATAGGATAGAATCCCGGCCAGCGGTTCAGAGAGCTATGGGAGACAAGTATAAGCAGCAGTAGTAAGATCTAATCGTACCAACGAACAACGAATCTTTGACAATCGATAGCTACATATAGGTTCTCTTCTTATCAATGAATCAGGAATCTGAATGATTAGACATTTCACAGTTTCCCACTACCAGCTCTAAACACTAGCCGGAGCCGCTGCTGTTGCCGTTCTCGTCCCTGCTCTCACTACTGTTCCTGCCGCCGCCATTATCGAGTCCCCGCGGCGGGAACAGCACGCGCTGAGGGCCGGCTGGCGTGTCCAGGCCGTCAATTACGAGGGCCGTGTCCTTTGAATGGCCCCCCCGTCTCGCGATGACGACACACCAGCGCAGCGGCAGCGGGACCTCTTCGGCACGACGACAACCCGGGCGTTCCGAGCCCCAGATAGTCCCTAATCGCACGGATGGGCGGCCAATGATTATAAGCTCTCGAGGCACCCTTTTCAGACGGAGAGCTCCTCGGCAACGCAGGCGGCATCCTCGGCGACGCGACCAAGCTCCTGGTGCGCGCGGCAGAGGGCTGACGCAACCATCGCGTATAGGTACTGCGCTGAGGCACTGCGGACCGCGAAGGCCACCTGGGCGGGCGGAGCCAGTGCCGTCTGGGACCACTGGCGCTGTTGTTTCGCCGCGATGACGGCGATGCTGCGGAGGGTGTCTAGGCTGGTCGATGTGGGGCAGGCAAGTCTGAAATACCTGGTTCATTTCTATTCAGGGGTGTACGCCAATGAAAGCAATCGATTTGCGACCGTGATCCCTATCGCGCTCCGCAGTGTGACGTTAGCCAATCGGAACCACATAGATAGTAACAGTAACCGTGTAAGTTCCCCGCAGAAGTATCTTTCGTTGGTCACGGCTACTCCTCTGAAGATCCCACACTACACTAGTGCTGTCCGGAATTCCCGAACCCCTCCCTATTCACCGGCAATAGCGCAACGGGAGGATGGCATAGCAGCGTGGGAACGAAAGTAGGCTGGATCTGATATATAAAAAAGGTTCAGGTTGGGCAACTGCTGTAGTCGTTGAAGCATCTCCCTCACCTTTTGAGCATCTTAACAGATTCCGGTTATTGATCATGCCCGATCTGCATTCACTCCCAGAAGGCTGGTGGCCTAAAAACGCTATCCGAAACAATGGCCCTGACCATCTGGTGATTGAGAGAATGAAGCTGCGGGAGCTCGCTGAGGGGTGGCCCTGCTACCGGTAAGTCTTCTCGTCCCCCGCACATGCGGGCATTGTCTAGAGTTCTCGACTGAGTTCCCGTTTTCTCCCTGATGGCAGAGATACCTGCGAATGGGAAAACTTCGCCTCGATCTTCCACCCGGGCGCCTTCCTGTACACCACATGGTCAGGCAAGGTGCTGTTCACCGAGTTCTTCGAGATCTCCAAGGCTGGGATGGACCAAGGTGCCTTCATTATGCACAGGTGCCATGGGACGACCACAGACATCACCCCAGACGGCCAACGGGCGGTGACCAAGGTGAAAGCCACGATTACACAGCGGTTTGTGATAGGCGGAGCCGAGGTCGACGTGGAGTGCGACTGCCGCTTCTGTTTCTTCTTTGAAAAGGTGGATGGCCGTTGGGGCGCTCAATTCGTCCGGCACTGGTATGAGAAGGACAAGATGATCCCGGTAAACCCGGCCAAGGTGCCCAAGATTGACGAGGAAAAGTTGGCGACGTACCCCGAGGGATACAGGTTCCTTGCTTACTGCCAGGAGGAAACCATGGCTGTTTCTGTCATCAAGGACATGCCAGGTCACAACCGCCACAAGGGGACCCCGTCAGGCGAGAAGCACGACCTCCTGTACATGCAGGCGAAGGCATGGCTAGATGGTGAAGCACTTGATATTTAGATATGTTGGCATTAGACTATGGAAAAGACACACAGTGTTCACGTAAACACTGTTCCCAAAACGTTGAATGATTTGAAATGGCGTCGCTCGGTTCACGTATAGTGTAGGATCCAAACTATCAACAGAACCCCCCGCACTCTCAAGGAACTAGTTACGCCACTATCCCCCAACCATATGCATCAGTGAAACTCGGGAACCATGGGAGGCCTCATGCTGTCGTAGAACTCATTGCTGAGATCTCCAAAGAAGGCATCTGCTCCAAGATACCCGAACTGGAAAGGCAAGCTAAAGTCGCTCTCAGCGCTGATCACGCCAAACGGACTCCATGGTTGGTTGAACGGCAGGAAACTGCCCTCTCCGACGGTTTCCCCGGCGGCATTGCCAAGCCCCGGATGAGCCCTCCGCTGCGCCCTCGCTAGGGCCCTTTGAATGAGCTTAGCAGCTTTCGCCACGACGACAGACTCTTCCATCGTCTCCAGGATCTCCACCGCCATCTGCACGAGCTTGAAGAGTGCTTGAAGCTCCCTCTCCTCAGCTGCCTGGGATATGTAGACTAGGATTATGGAAGCTGCAAAGAGGGTATAGGTTGTGTTATAGAACCTACAGCGGAGAGAGAACACCTAATCAGCATTGGGGGGAGGTAGAAGGGAAGCGGTAGAGAAGGGTGAGGAGGAAAGAGGAACTGTGTCGTGCGGGAGATGAAACATACCAAGTCCGGAAGAAGTCCTGGTGCTGGTAAGTCTCGTAGATAATCTCTATCGTGAGTCTGGCCGAGTCGAGACACTTTGCGATGTTCGTTTTTGCTTCCACGGGGCAAGCGTGCTCGACCGTCGAGGCCTTCGTTAAGAGCGGGCCGAACAAGAGAATCCTAAGGTTGTGATACCCTGGGTATGTCACGTCAGCCAGTAGCCATGGGAATGTTGGAGGGTTTGGTGCGAACTCACGGACCGTAGTCGCAAGTCTCTGTTTTTTGACATACTGAGGCTCCATGGCCGCACGCAGGGGTCTCTTCTGGCCGGAGTCACCAAGTGGGCGGAGTGCCGGCGGTAGGCTCTCAACCCAACGCTCGAGATCTCGCTCAATCTGGCCCCCAATCTCAACAGCTCTTTCGAGACTCAAATCTGACAGGTAGATATGTAGGCAGATGGATCTCGTTATTCGCGACAAGTCTACCATGTACTTGATGATGGCGCAGTGTGGTGGCTCAAGGAGCTCGGGCGGTGTTCCCGCGGCCAGCGGATCTCCCAAGACCATGGGATAGCGCCTGTTGTGGTACAGATCAGCCCCCAGTGTGTCGGGTCTCCCGATGGAAAAGGCCGTCTCGCTACATGAAATATCGGTGAGCATGGAAATCTGGAGGGATTCAGGGGTCAGAGGCACTCTTACGTCTCGAGAAAGTAAAGGCCCCTATGTCGATGGCACATAGTTAGGCAAAAGAGGTTCACAGGGCCAGCAGACCAGTAGACACTAAACATACCACCAAGTCCTGGATTCTGTCCTTAGGAACGCGGGATCTTTCTTGCAGTTGGCCGGCGGCTCGCGGTTGATGCCGATCGACAGGGCTATTCTCACTGCCATTCCGATGTGCATGTACGCCCCTATGATTATGCCAGGTTAGAGGCAATGGCACGCCATGTCTTGGATAATAGACGGTGGAACACTTACAGTGCGGGCTGAGTTCATTCTGACATACTTTGGCCTAATGCCACTAGTCAGTAGATGGAACAGTCTGTGAACGGGCAATGGGAGTGGGAGGGCACTGGGCATACCAAGAAGAAATTGCATTGGACCATTTCGAGGTCCGTCACCATGGCGGAGCTGGAACGCCTCCTCGCCTCATCAAAGCACTTCCTGCTCCATTTCACGTTGTCGGCGCCGCTCATGGGTTCCTCCTCCCTGGGTCTCAGTAGGGCGCCCAGAGATAGGACGCTATAGTAGAGGGCGATGAAGCTCTGGCTGAGTGACGAAGTGTTGCCCGTCCATATCAACTCGCACCACCCCAGAAACGCCGCCTTGTCCAGGATCGGGTAGATGTAGTGGAGCGTCGCGAAGAAGCTGTCCACGAATAGGCGGCAGTGCGATACGGAAGGCGATTGCGCACTCATTCCCGTGTCCGCTGCTGTCAGGGGGGCATGAGCCGTCTCGGCCCGGTTGACAGAGAAGGCCGGGTTGTGAAGACTGGAGACTAGAGCCTCGTCTTCGCCTTGATCTTCGTCGTCGTCATCGTCTTGGTCTTCGCGTCCGTGCTGCCCAGGTTCTTGGCGGTCGCCTGTATTTCGGACACGTGCTAGCAGAGCGACTGAGCTGGAGCTGCCATAGAACTCAAAGCTGCGCGTGTGGCAGTTGACACCGATCACCTCCTGTGCGCCGGCCCTGGACCTCGCTTGCGGGTCGTTGACCGGTTGTGCAGGGATCCAGTCGGTGCCAGACCGCTCACCTCCCGACAACAAGCCACCCAGCAGCAGCCCCGGCGATGGAGAAATTGCTGTGCTTGCGGCAGCATTGCTGCCAGTCTTGGCGTGTGCAGGACTGGACGACAATGCTATGACTTGTTCCTCGAGCTGGCGAATGTATCTGATGCCAGTGCCATCTGGTTAGTAGTGTCAAGTTCCCCCGAGGCAGGGTTACAAGGTAAACGGGCGAATTTACTCAGAATGGGTGAAGCTACTGCTCCTCACGTTGTTCACCCCGCGGTAGATGCATTTCGTTTTCCGATCTTGAGCATGAGTTCAGCATCGTTTCAACGTCACGGGAGAGGAATTGGTAGCCTAGCCCGTCATGGGCGTAGAGCTTGGCACGTACTCTTGCAATGTGTGCATGGGCTCTGCTCATCGCATTTGTTTTTCTTCAGTCGGCACATCTCGCACGCTCGGGCCGCCCGGAGGCGCTTCAGCGCCGAGCCGTGGGATTCGCCGGGGTTCTCCATAGTCAGGGGGGCACGAATAGGCACAGAGGAACCAGAATGACACGGAAAAGCCGAGGAGGAAATGACAGAAGACAGGCGAGGAATGTATACAATCCCCGTGGGGAAGGGGCCACAATTACCCCGCCCTCTGACCCCAGGTCTTTTTTGTCACTCATCAAACCATGTTTGACTAGTACAGTACATGCACTAATTACTCCGCACACCTTGCACAAATCAGATGTGCTGCCAAGATGCGAATGTGGAGGAAAAGAGGAACCATATGCTGGAAACGGATCTAACCCCTGTAGAGGACCCCACGTTTTGGCGTACACCCATGTTCGGAATTCCCGAACCCCAGATAGTTACAAATGGGATCCTCACGGAGCACAGTACCGGTATCAAATCGCTTTAAGACTAGGTGTCTGGTCCTGAGATCCTGAAGAAAGGAAAAGAAACTCCCAAAGTCTCTCATAATGGCGGACAACGGGCACCCCAAGGAAGAAAGCGAGACTATGTATGTCGAGGCTGCTGGCAACGCGCTCTCGGGGACCGTTGATGAATCTGCCAAATTGGAGACCGAGGAGGGCCCTGTTTTGGTACCTCAGCCAACGCAAGACCCCAATGACCCCTTGGCAAGTTACCCTTCAGAGCCCCACCATCGCCAAGACATCTACCAATGCAACCCTCCCTCCCTTGAGACGGAGCGGGACCTTCTATCGAGCCAGTGCTGACTATTCCTCGCGTTGTTGTAGAATTGGACGACTTCTGAGAAATACTTGACCTGTCTGACCGTGTGCTTCTTCACCGTTCTTTCGACCTTCAACTCCAGCAACCTTGTCGTCGCCGTGGTCCTGCTGGCCGCCGAGTTTAACCAGTCGCCGACACGGACCGGATATGTCATCTGCTTCAACCTGCTCTTCATGGGAGTCGGGAATCTGTTGTGGGTCCCGCTCTCGAGAGTCATCGGGAAGCGGCCCGTCTACCTCGTCGCCTTGCTCCTCTTCACGGGATGCAACGTGTGGACATTCGAGTCGCAGAGCTACGAGAGCCTCCTCGCCTCACGTATCGTCTCCGGCCTTGCTGCCTCTGCGGCCGATGCGACGGTCCCGTCATTGATCGCCGATCTCTTCTTCGTCCACGAGCGAGGCCACTGCATGATGGTATTTCACTTTGCGCTCAGCACCGGGTTCTTCATCGGTCCCCTCATCTGTGCATACATCACCCAGGAAGTCGGCTGGCGCTGGACCTCGGGACTGTTGGCCATTGCCGGCGGCGCGACGTTCCTCGTCAGTATCTTCACCGTCCGCGAATCGAACTATCGCCGGGACATCGCCGACGTCGAGCTGCCGGCCTCGGCATACCCACCGAAGAGGACGTTGCTGTCTTGGATGTCCCTCACCCGCGGATACAGGCCGGACGTTTCGTTCTTCAAGGGAGTCTGGGCCACCGTCTGCCTTGCCGTGTATCCGCCCATCGTCTGGACTGGTCTTTTGGTTGGCACGTTCGTCGGATGGTATGCAGTTCTCCTTCCCCTATTACCGACCCCTTGTTACATCTCCTTTCTCGCTCTTGATATTAACATTTCTATCTTCCCAGGAACATCGTAACCCAAATGACCGCCAGCCGGGTCTTCATGAAGCCGCCATTCGGGTGGAAGGTTGGGAGTCTCGGCTTGCTTGCCCTCTCAGGTTTCATCGGCGCCATCATTGCCTTCTTCCTCGGTGGCCGGCTCGTCGACCTTATCTCCGCCCGCATGACAAAGGCAAACCGTGGCATCCGGGAGCCCGAGTTTAGGCTACCCGCTATCATCCTGCCAGCCATAATCGGTCCCATGGGTGTTTTGACCTTCGGCATCTGCGCTGGGCGCCGCCTTACTTGGGTTGGTGCCGCCTTTGGCTACGGGATGCAGGCGTTTGGTTTGACTGCTGTCTCTAACGTCGTGGTTACATATGCCGTGGACAGCTACCACCAGGTACTATTCTGTATGCCCTCCAGACAACACTCAGTATATCCACTGACGCTTGTCTCGTTCATCCACAGTTTGCTGGTGAGGCTCTTGTCATTGTCTTTGTTATCCGGAACACTATCGCCATGTTTCTGGCTCTATACACCGTGAACTGGCAAGAAGCAACTGGTATCGAAAATGTAAGTACACCGTCCCCGATTCCCCTACCTGAACTTGCCACCCTGGATCTAAGGATTCTAACACACATCAAACATACAGACTTTCGGCCAGATGGTTGCCACGCAGTATTTCTTCCTCCTCTTTGCCATCGTCATGTTCTTTTACGGGAAGAGAATCCGAGCTTGGACTTGTAGCTTTGGGCCAATGGCGAAGCCCATGACCTAGAGACGAACAGGGTTCTGTCAGGCGATACGAGTTGCAACAACCAGCCGTGATGTTCTTCTCCTAAAATTATATGCGTAGAGGGATGGGTCCCCGAACGTTCTAGGTAGTCTCGACTCTGAATAATATCAACCACAAGTTCCCAAGACTTCATGCCTTGGGAATAGTCTTGTGGATTCACCAACTCTGCATTGAGTATTGATGTTACTTCCGGTCAGAAATATCCACCGTGAGCACAATTATCCTCTATTACCTTGCTATTTCGTATGTGCTGGAAGACGAACACTACCTTCTTACCAAGTGCCCGGTGTCATCGGCAGCTGTTAGGCCGGGATCCCGGTCATTCCAGTGAGACATGGCACGCACGAGATGTGCCAAGACCAAGGCCAAGACTGGGGCCAATGGCGCTAGAATCGAGAGATGGGAGATCTTTGTTGTGATAGTTCGTAGAAGTAGGTACAGTCATTCGTCAGACCTGTTGGTCAGAAATGGTTGCTCATCCTTCTGCCAAATGAGTGAGGTAGGAGGGACTAGTTAACTAGTTCCAAATACAGGCCTCTCGGGCTTTCCAGGCCCATATTTTCGTTCCTTTCCATTCCGGTTAAAGCAGAATAAAGGTACCTAAGACTTCTTAGGTTTCCAACATCTTGGAGTCCCCAATGTCTTTCCCTCAGTCCGGGGTCACGCGGTTACTTGGCCTTGGAAACCGCAGGGGCTGCAGTAGGTGTGGAATTTTCGAGGTGGGACCGGGAATCCCGTGGTGGGGCTGGGAATCCCGTGGTGGGACCGGAAATGCCAGATCAAGAGATATTGTCGTTACGTCAATGGTCTGCATCTTACCCCAGCAGGAAAAAGTGCCGTGTCCAGAGTCCCCGCTCCCAATTCTGAGGGTCCACATAAGTGTTCGGAGCATGTGTACACTTCACACCATCTGCCGAAGGGGAAGAGATGGATTCATCTTTTCCTAAAAACCCCACGAATCCTCTGCTTGAGAGTCTGCTACAGGAACCATACGATACACTAGACTCAAGATCACAGAAGCAACCGACTGGAAATGTTGCGAGAACTAGGCGAAGCTGTCTCGGCGCATATTCCCCATCTTCTAGCCGCCACCTTCATCCTATACTTCGTCTTCCAGCGGTACCAGAAGAACCTGAGCAAATATCCAGGTCCCTTCCTTGCTTCCCTAACGAACAACTGGCGTCTTCTCGACGTCTGGGGCCGGGATACGCACTTCACCTACCGCAAGCTTCATGACAAATATGGCAGCGTTGTGCGGGTCGGGCCGAATGTGTTGTCTTTCGCCGATCCGGCCGCCATTCCCGACATATACGGCTTGAACAAGGGATACACAAAGGTGAGACATGAGATTTCTTCAGATGCTGTTGCGCCAAAACTTACTTAACTTCTTTTAATCAGAGCGGATATTACGACGTCTTTGCCACTTTGAACAAGGGCAACAGTGTGTATAATCTGTAAGCATGTCCCCTATGGGAAGAGAGGGTGTGACTGACAAACATTAATTACCTCCAGCTTCTCCACAAGGTCCGAGCAATTCCATGCCCGATTCCGACGGTCAGTCAACCACGCCTTCGCGCTCTCGACTCTCCTCGACTACGAGCCGCTAGTGGACAGTTGTACTTCCTTCTTCCTCCGGCGAACCGAAGAGCTCTTCGCTACCACAGGGCAGCCATGCTCGTTCTCCCAGTGGATGCAGTTCTTTGCCTTCGACGTGATCGGTGAGATCACATGGTCGAGACGCCTTGGCTTTGTGGAAGAGAACCACGACATCTCGGACATCATCGCGACGGTCGACTCCTTCCAGAACTACGGCACCGTCATCGGGCAGAACCCCTGGCTGGATCGCATCCTCATCAAGAATCCTGTCAAGCTGTTCCTCGAATCTAAAGGTCTCTGGCCATCGGGTCCCAACGCCGCCATCGTCCGATTTGCTCTGGACCGACAGCGGGAACACAGCAAGCGGGCCGCGGATGACCTGGAGAGGAGCGGGGAGAACACTGGCAAGCGCGGCGTCAACTTCCTCCAACGGTTCCTCCAGTCCCAGGAGAAGAGTCCAGAGTTCCTCACTGATAACCGTATCACCGCTATGTGCGCCTCGTTGATCATCGCCGGGTCCGACAGCACGGCCATCAGCTTATCTAGTGTCTTCTACTACCTGTTGCAGAACCCCCGTGTGTACCAGAAGCTGATGGTCGAGATTGACGCGGCTGACGCAGCCGGCGAACTAGCGTCTTCGGAGGACACCACGGGCGCAGGCGACGTCGTCCCGTTCTCCGCTGCGAAGAAGCTGACCTATCTCGACGCTGTCATCAACGAGTCCTTCCGCATGCACCCTGCTGTGGGATTGCTTCTAGAGAGGGTCACGCCTCCCGGAGGCGCCACTATATGTGGAGAGTACGTGCCGGGCGGCACAGTTGTTGGGTGTAACGCCTGGGTCGTGCATCAGAACAAGGGAGTCTTTGGCGAGGACGCAGATGTCTACCGGCCAGAGCGCTGGCTAGAGAGCGAGGGCGCGGATACTATCCAGCTTTCTAGAATGAGGCAAAGTATGTTCCAGTTCGGCGCCGGGGCGAGGACCTGCATCGGAAAAAACATCAGCCTCATGGAGACATACAAGATGATACCGACATTTCTGAGGAAATTCGAGGTATGTTTACTTGGCAAACGGAAACCATGATCTAAAAGACTAACGAATCTGAACTGGATAGATTGAAATGGCAGCGTCAGAAGAGCCCATGTTCTTGAAGAATGCTTTCTTTGTGCACCGTAAAAACTTCAACGTACATCTCAAGCCTAGGGGAACTAAGACAGGGTAGCTGTGAGATACCTCTCATGCACTATTAGGAAATAAATTCTAGTAAAACTAAGGCGCTACTACTTCCTATATATAACCTCTATTGCTGCCCTTCTATGCCCTGCTCTGTGTGGTCCATCGCAGCGAACAGGTGACGCCTAGAACCGTCACCATGACACCGTACCGGAACTCTAGCACACCTAATGCGCGTCCCGACTGCGTGTCGATTACAGAGATCAAGTCCGGCACCGCCGCCACAAAGGTCTCGGTCCTGTCCTCGGCAATGTGCTTCGCGTAGATGTTCTCGGAGCGGCTTCGGTGCGGAAGCTACCTTGGCTGAAATTGATCTCGGCAATCATGTCCAGCTCGGCGTACAACAAGACGACCTCTCCCCAGCCCTCGACCTTTGGTGGCAGCTGCGCCACGGCATTGGCGATGAGGCTGATGACGATCCCATCGTCCTTGAAAGAAACTAGGGCCACGGCGGTGACGGACAGCAAGTCAAAGGCGGTGATGGACATGCCCATGGCGAGCCAGTAGGCCTGGTCTTGGGGGGTCACCCACGCGGGGGAGCCGTCGGCGTGGGTTCCGCACATGCTTGTCAGAACGGAAATGGGGTCGTTGCTGTTACCGGTGGCGCTGAGGTCCGAGTCGTTGATGAAGGGGAATCGGTACAGGTCCGCAGCTGAAGGGGACCGGACGACAGAGTTGTATCCAAATCCGAGCCGGACGCCACTGATGGTTGCAAACTGGAGTGTAATAAGGGCTGGGGCAATTATGTTAGTTTGATCGTGTGGATTCGTCATGAAAGCCAAGCCCAGGAAACACAAACAAGGAGACATCAAGAAGAAAAGGGAGCGGGAGACTGGACTACTCACGTCCATGCAGCTTTGCAAAGACAAAAACCGACTTGTAATTCTTGCCAGCAAGGGTAACAGTGCTGTATTCGCCCACAGCCAAAAAGGTATAGGGCGGGATCGCCAAGGCAATACCGCCGCGGTAGCTGTCCTGGTCAGATGTGGTGACATGTTCAAAGACGCCAGCCATCAGCAGCGGCGGCTTGCTAAGAAGCACACCCAGTCCATCAAGGCGCCACAGCAGGCTACCCACAACCGCTTCCAAGTTGTCCAGACGTACGCCGGCCAGCGAAATACCGGCACCAAACCCGAGCAGAGTGAGAGCAATAGGGCCGATCGATAACGTGCCATCTACGCTCAGCTAGAGGGAACCCTCTTTGTACTGAAGACCGATCCCACTGATCGAGACAATCCCACTCTTCTTGACGAGCGAGCCATTTGTGGGTGCCGCAGGCGGGTCGGAGCTGTCGCCCCCATCCGTGCTCCCATCTCCTGAGTCTGCAGTCGTTGATTTGTGGTCAAAAAAGTGGTCGAGGGTGATGGCTCCGTCCTGGGAGAGAAGGAAGTGGTGGCCGGGCTTGAAGACCACTGCGTTTGCTGTCTGGCTGGCCGTCGTGGCCCGGCAGAGGATGGGATCGGCCTCGCCAGGCTGGCTGTTGATGGTGGCGATATCTTGCACTGTCAAGGGGCTTGGCGTTACCCACATGTAGATGAGCTCTCCAAAGAGCGGAGGAAGTTCATTGACAAGTGGTATGTTTGTCATGGTTGGCAACCCTTTGGCAGTGACCCGCAGCACCCGTTTGGTGTCAGCCCCTCCCGACGACGTAGATTGCGCGGTCTGCTGTTTCGGGGCAGACAGTTGGGCCAGGGTGATGTTGACCGGCCGTGATGGACAGCACAAAGGTAATCTGCCCACTGCCACTCGCCCCCGTCTTGGCTATGCGGAGGCTGGCCGCCGTCTCCTCGCACAGGGCCTCGATGGCCATGAGCCCGACAAAGTCTGGCAAGTTGCTTGAACCCCCATCGACAAAGCAGTCTGCAACATCTGCAATCGAGCCTGGCGCATAGTCGCGAAATGGATTCGGAGAAGCAAGGTCACATTCGAAAGCCCAGTCGTGGTTGAGACCACTGGCTACTGTGATCGGGCTTGGATCCCCGTCATCGCTCTTGAGCTTCTTGTGGGCAGCACTGTCTGAGGCAGCTTCTTTGGTGGCGTATTGACAAAACAGCCGCAGCTCCAGACCACCAAGCGCAACCCTGCCCGTAAAGAGAAAGCTGCTGGCCTCCGCTTTTGAGTTGTAGGTGTAGTACAGGTCCAAGCTGCGTGCCTTGAGGTCCCCCAGCACAGACAGGATGGGATCACGGACATCTTGGTCAAAATAGCTCCAGAGGAGCCGGAACGGTATGCTTGCCCCTCCCGCACTGACCTCCCAGATCGAGTTTGCGTAGGAGAGCTGTGTGTGCAGGCTCGCCACCTCATCTGAGGAACCAGTGTCACCGGGCTGGCAGAGACGGAGGGTGAATGAAGCAAAAATGTCAAACGAAACCGCGCTATCCTTTTCGACGCTGAGCGAAATCGAATCCCAAATGAACGGGGACAGCGGCGCAGGGGCGAAACTGCCTGTTGAATCGTCTCTGACCAGGGTGACAGAGAGGGAGATGAGGCCAGTGTCTTTCGTGTAAGAGACCATGGCACTGGTGAGAGTGGTGGGGATGCTTGACGAGATAGACTGGGCCGGAGAAAACAGTTTGGTGAGGTCGAAGCCGACCGGAAGCGAGACGCTGGCGGGTGGCATGGTGAGGGGATCGTACCACGGCAGTAGCTGGTAGGTGGCAGGGTCAGGAAGCGACCCGCTAAAGAGAAGGGACGTGGCAAATGTCGAATCCGCAGAGTCGTACGAGAGCAAGAGCGGCATCGAGGTGTCGTCGCCGCTCGACTGCCACTCCAAGATGAAGCGCAACTGCCACCGAAGAAGGGAGGTCTGGCCGGCATCCTTGAACAGGGAGATGTTCCAGACGTCACAATGGGGGAACGTTCCCGAGTCGATGTCTGGCTTTGCCGTGTTCTGGGTCGGCACAGAGTCGCCACCACTCAGCGCAGAAAGCCGAGTCCACAAGTCGTCATTGGAGTCTGGATTCTCGGCCAGGGTACACTGGAGCCCAGATTGGCTGCACTCGAGCACAAAGATGAACCCCTTGGCCACAAGTTGTACAGTCAGGGTAACTGCACTCGAGATGGAGAACGAGGACGAGTTGGAGACTGAACCCGAGTCCGAGTCTGCATCTGAGTCGGAATCTGTTAGTGGGATTGGGATTCCCATCATGGTGTGCTGGAGGTAAAAGGTCGGGTTGGAAGCAATTGTGCTGATGGAAAACCCAAAGGCGTCTCCCAGCGCCTTACCGATGGTGCTCAGGGAACATGTCGAAGTGGCACTGATCTTGAAGGACAGGTTTGTGGCCACTTTGAACATGGAGCCTGGGAGGCACCAGAAGCCATTGCGCTTCTCGGACGTGTCGACGTCCACATTGACAATATCTCCAATCGCGGTGATGATAGCCCCGGTGGTATCGTCAGAGACGACGCCGAATTTGGTTAGCACGTCCCCGAGAGTGATTGCGGTTTTTCCATCTTGAAAGACGGATGGTATGGCGCCAATACCAACATCAAGAGCAATAAGGACGGGCCCGCCGCCGGCAGAGTCTAGCTCGGCTTCGGTAAAGTTAAAGCGAGTCGGGTTCTCAGAACTGTTAAACACAAGGCCCCAGAAGCGATTGTTAGTGGCAGCGAATGTGTCCGGCTCGTTGTCACCGCTCGCCTTGGTGACTGTGACAGCTGTATCGACCTCGGCTTCAGCAAGGAAGCTGCTCCACTGTGAGTTCAAGGATGTATCGCCAGCCGCCCTGACAGCTAGGGTACTGTATCGAACAGGCGGCGCAGAAGTGGTCGTCGGGACAGAAAGCTCAGAGAGGCTTCCTTCCGAGTCTGAGCTAGTAGCGCTCATGATTCCTGTGGCAGAGACTGTCGGAACATCAAATTCTAGTCTGCCCCGATTTAGCATGAAAAGTGTTTGGCTAAGAGAGCATACTTTGAACGCGGCATATCGGGCTCTCATCTACCAGCCCGCACGTCAGAAACGGTCTGGGCAGGGCGAATCAGAAGTGCCGGTGGGAGTGTGCGCTACGGACCACCCATAACTGCCCCTGCTTGTACTGATATGTCCCAGCATGTATATGCAACCTACCCCCAAATACGGCTGAGCTGTGTAGTAGCTATCCAAAGAAAACGCCATACAAATTGCAGACCCACAATTGAAGACAGGGGGTAGCCGCTGTAGAGAAAAGGAGAGTAGCTGCCGAAGACTTTTTCTACCTCCAAATACGGCTGAGCTGTGTAGTAGCCATCCAAAGAAAATGCCATACAAATTGCAAACTCACAATTAAAGACAGGGGGTAGCTGCTGTAGAGAAAAGGAAAGTAGCTGCTAAAGACTTTTTCTTGGCTAAAATAAACAAAAGTAGTATGCTTTTAATTAGCAAATTGAGAAGAATCTAGCTATGGAACTTTTAGTTTCCCAAGCAGCAAGTGCAAAAAGGTAGAGCTATGTTAGAATTGTAAGCGTTAGGGTTAGGATAGGTTAGAGTAAGATTGCAACAGACTAGGGTTAAAGACTAATGACTAGTTAGAGTAGCCATTTAGTGCAAGAGTAGCATAATAGGAGTAAACAAAAAAGTAGAAAGAGGTTAAGATTCTAAGGTTAAGTAGAATAGTTTAAAGCATTAAGACATTGTTAGGTTAGCAAGAAATCATAGAGCTATTTAACTGCTTGCCTAAATACTTGTTTGTTATTTGCATAAAATGCAAGGTTAGATATTATGTAGGTAAGGCTAAAACCTATTTGCGTAAAAAGCATAATTATATAAATGCAAGGCAGCAAGTAAAAGTTGTAAAGGCAGTGGAGAGATTAGAAAGTATTATGCAAAACTAAGATAAGTTGCAGACATTTTGATTCTTGCTACTAATAGTTAACCCAATCCTGTTTATTGCACTGCCTAAGTCTAACAGATTGCAATGCAACAAGTGTAGGTTTGTTATGCAAGGCAAATAGTAGATGAGAGATTATTGTAGGAAAAAGCATAGATAGAAAAGTAGATAGGTTAAAGGCAGCAATGTAGTAAAGAAGGCAAAACAAGAGTAGGCAGTGCTATAGACAACAGGCATGCATTGCTAGTAGTTTTTCCAGTCACATATAGCAAGCAGGTAGTTTAAGGTTAGCTAAGGCAGCAAGCTAGCAATAGTAGCAAAGATAAGTGCAAAGACATTAGAAAAGCAGCTGACACAAATCTATGCAATCTAGACAGCGTAGTTTAAGTCAAAAAGGCAGTTGATTAAGGCAAGCAACAAAAAGGCTAAGCTAAACAGATAGTTAGACTGTGTTAATTAGCTAACGCATTTGAAAGGTTTAAACCTAGCCTAGTTGCATAGCATAGTTAAGCTAATTAGCAAAGACAAGGTAATGTTGCAGTAGATATAGGAAAGCATAGAGTAGGTGATAGAGTAGGCAAAAGAGGCAGTAGTAAAGCAATGCAGGCATGCAATATTGTTTGAGATTAACAAAAAGAAAATACATGTCAAGCAAAAAAAGCTGTTTGATAGGCAGATAGAGAAGGATATGTAGGTAGATTACAAAAAGATATACTGCAAGTTGTTATGTTATATGCAGTAGATATAGGAATAGGATGATAGAAACTAGCTGCTATACATATTTATTAAAAAGCAAGGTAATTTGTTTGACAAGTTTTGCAAGGCAGTAAAAAAGCATATGCAAGTAGAGGGTATAATGCTGTTAGATAAGGTAAAGTAGTAAAAGCGTAAAGACTAGGCAAACTAGTTATGTTTAGATGCAACAGTTGCATTTTTTGACTATCAATACAAGCATATGCTATATAAGAATGCATTAATTAGCAGGTTGGCAGTGTTAGAATTACGCGATAATAACAGTTAGTATAGGCTAGAGGATTACATGCTAAAGTATTTAGCAGTTATTAAGGTAGCGTAGATATTAGTTATATATTAGTTAGTAGTTAAGCAGCAAGATAAGGTAGCAGCATTGGAAAAGACAATAAGTGCAGAGAAAGCATAAAAGGCAGCAACTAGGTTGTTTAAAATCACCTAGCTAAAGGTTAAGCAGTTTATAATAGTTGTGTTAGACAAGTCTAAGCTAGGCCTAATAGATTAGATATTTGATTTGCGCATATATAAAATGCAAGTCTAGTTTATAATGCTAGCAGCAAAGATAGTTGATTAAGTTAGGGATTAGATTATATACTAGCAGATAAAGATTAAGACAAACAATTTGGCAAATATATTGCATAAGATAGTTAGAAAGGTAAAAGCCAAATTAAGCAAGCTGTTGATAGTAAAAGGCAATAATTTTAAGTTAGTGCTAGCAATTAAATAGGGGCAGATAGAGGACAACTATAGCAAAGACTAGGTTAGATATTTATTTTTGCAAGACAATTGCAACAAGTAGTTAGCAAAAGGTTAAAGTTAGGTGATGCAGCAGATTTTGCAGTAGGCAGACAAGTAGAAAGAGTAGATAGCAGTAAAAGGCAGTGACAAGATGCTATACTAGGCTAAGGCAGTGCGCAAGTATAGGTTAGCAGTAGAGCAATTCTAGGAAGAGTTATTGCAATTGATGCATATGTTAAGAGAAATGCTAGCATAGTTGTAAAAGATTATAGAAATACAGCATTGCAATATAGTATATAGCAAGGTGCATAACATATTGATAAACTAAGGCATGGCAAGTTTTGTAGTGTTATATTACAAGAATTACCACAGCATAGGCAAGGTTAAGGTTATACACTAGTACTTGCTATGCAAAGTAGGCAAGTTGTTAGTGTGGTATTTGTAGTTAGTGTTGCTGTTTTAGCAGCAGGTGCAAGAGATAGTCAAAAAAGCAGACAAGCTAAGTGTGTTTTTGTAGGCAGATAAGATTGTAAAGCGCAAGGATAAGGCTATTAAGAAGGCAGAAGTTAAAGCAAAAGAAGGCAAGGTTAAAGACAAGGGAAAGGCAAAGGATAAGGTTATATAAGTAGCGTAAATCTAGAAGCAAAAGTAGACACTAGACTAGATGCAGCAAATTATGCAGCAGCATAGCAGGTGGTATTTAAAGGCATAGGTTGGTATAAGCATGTAGAAGCATATTGCAATTGCGATTTCAAACTAGTATTTAAACAAGGCGTTTAGAAAAGATATAGGCAAGGATAGCAAGTTTGACAAAGACAATAAAGGCATATTAGACAGCATTTGGGATTTGCAAGCTAGATATAGCATGCATATAGCAAAGATAATATATGCATAAAAGTTGTAGCAAAGAGTGTTTGAGATAGTTGCATGGCAAGATTAATTCTAGGCAATTAGCTAGAAATGGCACTGATTTTTTAGGTTTAGCATAGAAGATAAGGTTGCAAGGTTAGGGTTAAGGGAGAAATAAAAGCTAGACATATTTAATAGCATGCAAAAAGAAGCATAGTTCTAGCAGTTTACGCAGTTGCAGCAGGTAGACATAGAAAGTTAGTTAAAGGTTATAATAAGGAAGAAGGCATAGTTTTGCAGCATGCAAGAGAGGGTAATCTAGGCAATTATCTAAAGGAAAAGTCTGATTATGCAGGTGGCAGGGATAAGGAAAGGTAAGAGCATGTTGTTTATATTGCTAGCGTTTTGTTTGCTAGAAGGAGTGACAATTGTAATAGTGCTGTTAGTAGCATTGCAAAAGGATTTGCATAGGCAGTGCAAGTTATGCAAGATTAATTTACATGTTTGGCAAAGCTAGAAGGCAAACTAAGCAGTATTAATTATGTTTGTGACGCTAGAGTTGGCAGTGACAAAGAGTTTCTAGTTATTTGTTAACTAGTTGCAAGCATAGGAGTAGTTAGACTAGGTTTTTGTAAATAAGTGTTATATAGTATTAGATAGCAATAGGATATTCTAGCTGCAGTTAGGCAAGTTAAGCAAGGTGTTGTAAAAGATGGAAGTGCAGGTAGTGTTTTTAACAGTAACATTAGCGCTAGCAGATATTAGAAAGTTTTTTGCAAAGATAAAAGTAGATAGGCAGCAGGTTTGTTTATTTAAGTTAGCAACGATAAAAAAAAATGTAAGTTACTAGGTAAAGAAAGTTTTGATAGCAGAGGAGGAAGACAAAGAGGTGTGCTAGGTTGTATAGAAAGGGTTAGAGAAGTATAAGAGTAGAAAGGTAATTGTATATAGCAAAAAGGTCAAGCAAGTAGAATAGTTGAGAAAGTTGTTGTTGTGTCTAGTGTTTTATAGCAAGGTAGATACAATAAAAGGCAAGACATAGCAGTTGAGAGAGTAGGTTAAAGGTAGTTAAGTAATTGTGACAACAAATGCGTTAGGGATAGGCATTAACATTGCAGACATATAGATAGTAGTATATGCAAAGACATTGCATTAGTTGCAAGATTATGCGCAAAAAAGTAGGCAAGCAGGGTAGAATAGAAAAGCAAGCAAGGCAGTAATGGTTTGCAAAAGCAGTAATAGTTAGAGGTGGCAAAAAGAGAGGATAGGCAGTTAGGTAAAGCAAAGAGAGGAAGGCAAAGATAGGTTAGTGTTAAAGGCAGCAATAAAGGAGTTTATAAAAGGGTTACAGTGCTAGCAGGTAGTATTAGACTAGGTAATAGATAGGTAAAAAGGCTATGTATATTGCAAGAAAGGCAAGAAAAAGTGCAATGTATGCAAATGCAAGTGCAAGTGCAAGGAAAGGTTAGGGTTAGTGTTGGGAAAGACAGTGGCAAAGGTAGAGAAGCAGTTAGGTAAAAAAATAGAGGAGTTTTTGCAAGCGCAATGCATAGCAAAGCAAAAAAGGCGACAGGTAGAGAAAGAGGCAACAAGGGAGTACAAAGAGGCAGAGGCATTTTGGCAGTAGTTGGAAAGTTAGGTAGGTTGTTGCATATTGTATTAGATGGTAGGAGAAGAAAAGCAGTATTATAATGCAAAGGAGTGTCAAATGCAAGGCAGCAAGAAGTAGAAAGATATAGAAGATAGGATATAGCAGGTGGTTAGAAAGATAGTTACAAAGCA